TCCCCAGTCGTTCTTAGACTTCTTATTGGGTGAGCAACACAGCCAAGCAACACAGTTGGAGCCTCCCTCCTCCCTGGCCGGCAGGGAGGGAGGGAGAGGAGCTGCTTCCTTTGAAATTTAAGGGACATCATTTAAGGGACATTTAAGGGACATCCATCAATAAGGGACAGCAGCAGGACATGGCGCTGGAATATGGGACTGTCCCTTCAAATAAGGGACACTTGACAGCTATGCAAATAGCTCCTTAAACCAAGGTTACAGTCGCCAAAACAGAATGTCTGGTTGCCATTAGGGAACTGGACGGCTCTAAAGTTCTAAAGCTCTAAACTGTGACTATCAGTTAAACATCTGGCTAGTTCCGGTGAGAACCTTAAGCTAGGTTAAGAACTTTGATAACTTAAAGAAGAAAAGTCACTTGATCCGAGGACAGTCCACATATATATTGGCCCATTCCGATTTCTTTTTCTTAATGGTGACATGGACCATTCATAAGGTATACTCTTCACAACTGTGAGCAGGGCCGTTCACTGCTCAGGCTGCAAAGAAACAGCATTTTGGTTCCTAAAATCCATTCTGATTCTGCAGATATAGTGTAACTGATAGAATTCTGCAGGATGTGGTATGAGTGTGTGAAAACACTCAAGATCCAATGATTCCCAGGCATGCACTTTCAGATGGTGCAGATGTTAGGTGTCATTCTGGTACCCAGTCACCTTCATTTGGTCACAAATGGCCAATAGGCAAGTTCAAAATGCGCCCGGCAAATTTCAAACACTGACAGGAAGATGCCAGTTGCTGTCTGGAGAGGTGCAGGTAATGGCAGTGCCCAGGAGTGTTTTCCACAAGTTCAGGTTTCCCCATCAGCTGCAGTCCTATCTAGAGCAGCCATATCTGATCATGCTCACCCATGTCCTAATTACCTGCAACCAGGACTACTGCAATGAGCTTTCTGTAGAGCTGCCTTTGTTGAAGATGGTCTGGAAGTCAAAGCGAATGCTGAACTCAGCAATATGGATGCACTAAGTCTGAATGCATAGTACCGTTTGTGGACTAGTTACATTAGCCACCAGTACTTTCAAATCAAAATACTGGGCTGAACCTGTCAAGCCGTAAACAACTTGAGATCAGTTGTCTGTTCCTTCATCCACACAGTCCTGCCTGTGCACTGAAATCTGCTTCAGGGGCGCATTTACACTGGTTAAATTCTATGCAGCTGCAATTTACCCTTACCAGCCCAGCAAGTTTTACCATCTCCCCCATCTATGCACTGTTTTGAGAAGAACTCGATGGCGTTCATGTAACGCAGCTTTCGTCCTAGGGGCTTCAAAGCCTATATGGGGAAAGCCTATATGTTGTAGAGTTGTAAAACAACTAAGATAAACTACTGACCTGACAGCAAGCTGTTCTGTATCTCCTTAATCCAGCCTTTCAAATAAGCATGCAAAAAGTCCCAACCCTTGCAATTATGACAGATAAGATGCTGGTGGGCGGGGCGGGGGGGGGAGAGAACAAACTCCAGCAGTTTACAAACATTCTTACTTGCCACAGATAACCAGGCATGTTGCTAATGAGTCAACTATGTGATGCAGCAGCAAAAAAAGGCTAATGCAACTCTACGCTGCATCAAGAGAAGTATATTTATAACAAAAGTATAATGACAAGAGAAGCAATTCTCTATTCTGCCTTGGTCAGCCCATATCTCGAGTTCTGTGTCCTGTTCTGGATACCACAGTTTAAGAAGGATATTGACAAGCTGGAACGTGTGCAGAGGAGGGCAACCAAGATGATCAAGGGTCTGGAAAGCAAACCTTATGAGGAACGGTTGAGGGAGTTGGGTATGTTTAGCCCGGTGATGAGAAGACTGAGAGGAGAAATTATAGCGATCTTTAAATATCAAAAGAGCTGCCACCTGGAAGAGAGAGCAAGTTTGTTTTCTCCTGCTCCAGAGGCTAGGACTCAAACCAATGGCTTCAATTTGCAAGAAAGTAGATTCAACAACAGGAAAAACTTTCTGACTGTAAGAGCTGTTTGACAGTGGAACAGACTTCCATGAGAGGTATTGGACTCTCCTTCCTTGGAGGTTTTCAAGCAGAGGTTGGGTGGCCATCTGTCATGGATGATCTAGTGGAGATTCCTGCATTCCAGGGGGGTGGACTGGATGACCCTTGGGGTCCCTTCCACCACTATAATGTTATGATTCTATGATGATGACATGTTTGCTATAAGTGCTATAAGCCCCGTGTTACTGGAAGCCTTAGTTCCATGTATACAAGAGGGCTCAGCCTTCACATGTACAAGGAACACACATATGGAGGGCGGTAGCAAAACCACACACACATCATACGGATATTTTAAGGCACATCTGCAATATTCCTAAATATATATGCACTGCTCTTCATGATGAGGAACCCAAATGCCTGCATATGCATATATGTATGGACATAGGCATATTTGAGACATGTCCACAAATGTGCATACAGCAGTTTGGGGTGGCTGGCTGGCTGGCAGAGCCCCTGCCTCCTGCCGTAAGTGCTTTATTGTTCACACAGAAGCAATTCCTGTTGTGCGATTACTGAGTTGAAGATTAACAACAAAACCCTGTGCAAATTTATTCGGAAGCAAATCCCATTTTTGTTCAGTGCAGCTGACTCTCAAGCAAGCAATCAAAGGTTTTGAATAGACGCTCACCTTAAAGACCTGTTAAAAATTCATCTTTTAAAATTATTTTAGATGTGAATCATTGCACTGATTAGAAATGAAGCCACAAATTGGATCAATCTCCTTTCAGCACTAATCTCCTCAGATCTGACAAAATCCCTTACATTGTTTCTGCCCATTTGGTCTCCTCTAATTGTAAAGCTGCCCTGGCCGTCAAATTATAACAGTGTACAAAGTTCACAGTTCTGACATTCATTCCTCTGTGCCCCACCAACTCCTCTAGCCAACATTCTTAAGAGGGCACCTTTTCCTTCAGAAACTTACCAAACTACTCTTTCTAACCTTCCCCCATTCTAGGCCTGTTCCTAATCTCAATTGGTCTGACACAGACTTTCTGAGAGCCACAAAGAGTATGTTTATGTGTGGTATAGTGGGCTAGAGTGTTGCATTAGGACATGAAGCTTACTGCATGACCTTGGGCCACAGCCTGACCTGCCGCACAGTGGATTAAATGAAGACATTACCATAGAGGAAAAGGTGGGCTATAATTGCAATTAAAAAATGAATAAATAATTTACACCTAAGATGGATGTGCACAGTGGAAAAGGTCGGCATATAAACATGAGCACACAAGTGCATTTGTCAGGCAACCCTTGCCAGAGCATCCAGTTGGCCACTGTGAGACTAGATGGACTTTGGTCTGACCCAGTGGTGGTGGTGTTCTGTTCTTAACCCAGAGCTTTATCACAAGGTTGGGTAGGCTTTGCCAATATGGTGCCTGTTAGCTGTTTTGGACTACAACTCCCATCAATCCCAACCACCACATGGGAGCAGAGCAGGTGACAGCTGTAGTCCAGTTAGACTGAGTGGAGGCACCAGGTTGGGGAAGCCTTTGCTAGAAAGACAAAGATGCAGGTTTGCTACCAGTGTTCGAAATTAGCCAGGGGCCAGGAGCTTTTTGCACCTGGCTATTGGCCACTTGCAACCAAATGAAGATGTATTGGCGCCAGGATGGCACCTGACATCTCCACCATCTGGAGGTACATGCCTGGGGGTTATTGGATCTCAACTGTTTTCGCACACCAGTACCACACACTGTAGAATTCTAGCAGTTATATTTTACCAGTATAATCAGAATGAATTTCAGGAACCAATTTGCTTTTTCTGTGCAGCCTGAGTAGGAGCAGGAAATGTTATAGTTAATTGTTGTAGTTTGTCTTCCCTTACCCCACCCCACTGCTCTGCTCACAGTTGTGAAGAATATTATTACGTTATGAATGGTTTGTGTTGCCATTAAGAAAAAGAGGTAGGACTAGGCCAATATATTTGTGGATCAAGTGACTTATTCTGTAAATTCTCAGAGTCCTTAATCTTGCTCAGGGTTGTCACCTGAACTAGTCAGATGTTTAACTGAGAATCAGTCAGACCATCATTTGAAAAATAAGACTTCTGAGCTGGATTGCCTAAAAATGGCAACTAGGCATTCCTTTTTGGCAACTCAACCTTGGTTTAAGGAGCTATAAGATGCCTAGCTTATACATCTGAGTTTCTAACACTGTTTGCTGCCAAATGTATATTTTACAGGAAGCTGCAGGCAGTTGGGACCCATGCTAACAACCCTGTCTGATTAACACACACATTTGCAAACACTTGTTTGTTGCCACCAAACTTCACTTTGCACTTTGTACCTTTACAGTATATTCCGTGCACAAACCGTAACGTCTAAAGTAGCCCCCCCGGGGGGGGGACTTGTGGAGCGAACCCTTGGTGCTGCCCTGTGAAATAACCTCTCTCAAGCCTGAACTTCCCCTGCTCTCCTCTTGCTAACGCTTCTTCCTCTTTGGTCACAGCTGCAAGAAGTTCACCAGAGCAGACATCCAGGCGTGCGCGATTAGGCCACGTGGAGCGAGCGAGTCCCTACACGCCTACCGTATAACTGTCACCAAAAAACAAATCAAATGGCACACACCACGAACGCAGCCTCCGATTTCCCAGCCATTAGTCTTGTATGAACAATAGAACATTTCCCCTCCTGATTTCATTGCGCCGTCAAACGTTCCAGAATAATGGCAGGGAGAGTTAGGAGGAAACAAACAGCCCGAATAACCTATTCTGGCATCCAAATAAATCACCCTAGCCGGCGTGCAAGAGGAAGAATGGCCCTCGGCTCCCTGAAGCGCAAAGGATCGCTTTCAGGGCAATGCGGACCGTGCTCAGGGCAGACTGCTCAGGGCAGTGCAAATTCCTGCCAAATAAATCCAACCTTTGCTTCCAGGAGGAGGTCACTAAAAACCATGCCAGCGGATAAGCACTCGTGGTGCCGTCGGGGCCCCGTGCCATCTATGGGACTTACGGCACCGAAATGCCCCTTCCTTGCCCATCAGGCAACGCTGGCCGACTTTGCCAGGCGCTTCCCACCACCCTACTACTCTCTGAGCCTCGAGGGTGGGCTGGGTTGGAGCCTGATCCGCATCTCGTTTGATCCGGGCGCCTCTAACTTACGGTCGATACGATCCCATCCCCCTCTCCTCCGTCTTTTCTCTCTTTACCTAAGCTGAATGGGCTCCAGCTTTTGCTTCTTGGCTTGGGGCGCCTCTTCTGCCATCTTCATGCTCGTCCAGCGGCCGCCTGCAAGCTGCTCCCAGCTCCTATTATTTATTTATTTTGCAGACGAATTTACCCAGTTCCTTTCTGGGAAGCCGGCAGGGGGGAAGGAGGAGGAGGAGCAAGAGGAGGCGGGGAGAGATTTACGCACGAAAGCGCGCAGGGTAGGCTGGGCGGAATGCCTGATCCAGCAACAGAGTGGATTCGCGGGCATTGGCCTTAAAAATAAAAAAGGCGGAAGGGCTTGGCCCCAGATTTTCAGGTAGGACCGGCGATAATGCAACTCCCAGTTCTGCGCTTGGGCGCGCGCTTGAATTGTTAGCAAAAAATTGCAACCAAGGATGAAAACGCGCCCAGCGAAGTTCGCTGCGCTCCAAAACTCCAGAGCGGGGATGCAGTGTTCCTTTTGGACTAGGAAGCGCAATGGAGATGGCAGGGAAATTCCTAGGAAGGCAGGCGCCCGGGCCTCTTCCAACCGCGGCTTGCATTTCAGTGCAGGCAGTTTGCAAGGGCGCCCTGCCGGGGTGTGGTTAGCGATGGGGCTGGCCCCATCGGAGGGCTTCGCAGCCATCTTTTTGCCAGCGCTGCTGCTGCTGTGTGGCTTGTGCCGGATCCTGCTGCTCTAGAGTCAGTTTTCCGCTTGGAGGGTGAGTTGGTGGAAGGTTCGTGCGTAAAGGCACTTAGTTGCGCGTAGTTACGTTTCAGTTGGAGGTTGAGACTGAACTGGCTGCTTAGGATACCGTCCCTGACCCCCGCCCCTACTTTCCTGGAGAAAGCCCCGCTGCATGCAATAGGGCTTACTTCTGAGTAGACATGCTGAGGCTTGCGCTGTCGGTGACTCTTTGGGTGGTACCAGCTGGTTAGAGAACTACCAGATGTTTCTCCAGGCTGCTTGTAAAAAAACAAAACGATTCCTGGAAATGCTAGAAATCTTGCTGCTACTTCTGTAATCCTTTGCTGAACTAGTTTGGTGGTATTTTCAACTGTTGCGGGTTTGTTTTGGGTGGGGAAATGAGACGTGAGAAATACAGCTGGTCCCGAGGGTTGCATGCACGTTCACCGTTGAGCTAATGGCAGCAGTATAACTTAGATTACATGAGGGCTGAGGTTCTAGGTGAAGGGAATAACTGGGCTGTTTCCTTGTAATTTGGAAAGTGCTTGTTTGTCCTTTAGGCGTGGCAAGATGTAAAAACTAAAGGCAGAAAAACCCCAAACACCATATACATCTCCTCCTCCAGCAGTACCATAAGACAAACTTAACTGTTGTTACACAAACCGGCCTGCGGACTTTCAAATATTGGTTGGTGTTGGCTAAGCCTCAGGAGTTTGGGTTCCCCACAAACAAGGGACAGGCAGATCTGAATGGTCCATATCAGACTTCACACCAGGCAGTGGTTAAGGAATCTTAATTACATGTTTGTGTGGTGGCCATTGGCAATTTATAGTTAGCAGCTGGCTAGCAATCCAGAACCAGAAACCCTAGCTTGAAATGGATATGCAAACAATGGTTTGTGCTATTGGATAATTGACAAACCAGAACAGCTGATGGACTATAGAGATAGGAAAGAAAGGGGGGTGATTCAGAGTGCTGTTAACACCTTTCCTTCCACATCTGGAGCTCTTTTTAGGAATTAAGGGTGCTCTTGTCTGCATGGATGCTGCACAAAGCACCCAATGAAATATTTCATTATTAGGCTGGGTTGTAGCAATTGAAGTCAAAAGTAGCTTCTGCTTCGGGGGGGGATGGTGTTGTGTTTAAAGCACATGGTGTTCATTCTGCTGGCACTGGAATGCACTGGGAAGGTCTTTCCATAATTATTTCACTACCTCTATACAGCTGTCTGCTGAATTTCTTTGCCTTTAGTGTAACTAGGAGAGGAGCAATGGAGCACCTGCTGTGGGCAGATCCTAGTAAGGAGTGCAAAATAGGCATCCAATATGTTGACAGTTGTTAAATTAATCCTGGATTATATCATATTTTCTTTTCAGTATAAACTAATGTTCAGAACGGTAGTTGAAAAGGCAAGTTCTGCTGACTCAGAGGGTTAGTCGGGGCAGTGGACCAGGTGAAGTGGTCCTGTTGCATGTTTTCATTGGCTCCATGCAGTGTTCAAAATTAGCCAGGTGCATCTTGCACCTGTCTATTGACAGTTCACGACCAAGTGAAGATACCTGGGTGCCAGGATGGCACCTGACATCTCCAGTATCAGGCTAGCTGGTGCACAGCATCATTTTTTTTGCTGCCATGCTATGGCTCATGACTCAGATTCGTTTTCAACTTTGCAAACTTGCAAAACAAACAAAAGGCCTCTAAACATTTCATTGGTGCAACCGGGGCAATAGCTTTTATATCTCAGTTTCTATCATAGTGAAGGACAGTCATAACCATATGACACCTAGCCAGCTTTTGGCAGATCAGTTTGGGAGCAAGAAAAATCACTCTGAGATGTGAAAAATTGAAAATTCATTGGTAGCATCCTTAAAAGCCCATGGACATTTTCATCAGTGCTACTGGCAGAAAAGGAACTCTCTGTGATTGCATTGCAAATTGCAAAGATCTTCCAAAGACATTAATGGTTGTGTAATGTATTGATAGCTGTTAAAAAGACATTAATCATGTAGAATTTTCTGTTCAGCCTAGAATAATAGGGCATGTTTTCGGGATGATACTGACTTGCCCTGAGGCAAGAACCCTGAGGTGAAGAACTTGCCTCAAGCCCTCCAGATGTTGTTGAACTTTGTTTCCCAGCAACCCCCAAAAAGCTAGGTGCCAAATGGCTCCTTAAACCAGGGTTACAGTTGCCAAAACGGAATGCCTAGTTGCCATTTTGGGGCCAGATGGCTCAAAAGTCGTATTTTTCACTACAGCTTTTTGGTTCCTGAAATTCATTCTGATTGTGCAGATAAAATATAACAGAATTCTGCAGTGGTATTATTAGTGTGTGAAAACAGTCAAGATCCAAGGATCCCCAGGCATGCACCTCCAGATGATGGAGACACCAGATACCATCCTGGTGCATAGGCGTCTTCACTTGCTCACAAGTGGCCAATAGCCAGGCCTGGCAAATTTCAAACACTGCTTGCAGATATTGTTGTACTGCAGTTCCCATAATCACTGACCATTGGCCCTGCTGGCTGGTGCTAAAGGGAGTTGGAGTCATAGAATTAAAGCACTGTAGAGTTGGAAGGGACATCAAAGGTCAACTGGTCCAACCTCCTGCAATGCAGGGATCTTAACTAGATCATACAAGACAGATAGCTATCCAACCTCTGTTTAAAAACCTCCAAGGAAGGAGCATCCACAACCTTCCAAGGGAGTCTGTTCCACTGTCAAACAGCTCTTACGGCCAGAATGTTCTTCCTGATGTCGAATAACATCTGGGGGGGCAGAGGCCCCCCACCCCAGATCTACTCCATCACTCTCTGAACTATCCCTCTTGAACTTGCATGGTCCTTATTTTGAAGCTCTGTAAGTTAGTAGTATTAACTGCAACTTGTGCTATTGCTACTGAAATTTGTTGTCTCTTGAAGATTTACTTGCAGAGCCTAATTCTGATTTGATACACAAATAAAATCTAAAGGCTATGCCTAGCTAACTATTACTATTTCCTCCTCTAGCTAAGTTCCATTGAAGTTTCACTGAAGACTGTATCAATGAAAGTCTGCGCAAAAACAGGGTTTGTCGACTTAGCAGACAAAGAATATGACTTGCTACTTTCCCCAAGGCTGAGATTTTCTAACTGGTGTGTTCCTTTCGTCCTGTTAGGTTCCTGGAAAATCTCTTGTCATGGAGCTTTAAAACATGTGGTTTTTACTAATGCTAGAAAAAACCTTTCATAAACCGGCTGTGTAGATAGTAGCAGCAAATTTATTAAACCAGGTAGCACGCTTTTTAGTATTTAAATAACGCCTTTTACAGTGGCATATGAAAGATAATAATGCATTAGGAAATAAATGGGGCACTTCCAAATGGCTGCTACCATTACTCTTGATTTGTTTATCTTTGCTTAAAAGCAGCTGGCAGTAGAACCCAGATGATTCTCATAAACCAGTAAAAATTGCTATAATGAGAAACTACTTAGGTATTTTGTAAATCTAAAAGTAAAATAAAAACCTCTGGTGAGTTTAACATTGGACTTTCCATACGTTGACTCCAGCCAAGTGCTCTTTAGCTAGTCTGCAAATTGTTTCAGATGCAGCTCTGCAGGCAAATTTTCCTGACTGCTAACTTGGATAGGGACGGGGTGGCGCTGTGGGTAAAAGCCTCAGCGCCTAGGACTTGCCGATCGAAAGGTCGGCGGTTCGAATCCCCGCGGCGGGGTGCGCTCCCGTCGCTCGGTCCCAGCGCCTGCCAACCTAGCAGTTCGAAAGCACCCCCGGGTGCAAGTAGATAAATAGGGACCGCTTACCAGCGGGAAGGTAAACGGCGTTCCGTGTGCTGTGCTGGCTCGCCAGATGCAGCTTGTCACGCTGACCACGTGACCCGGAAGTGTCTGCGGACAGCGCTGGCTCCCGGCCTCTAGAGTGAGATGAGCGCACAACCCTAGAGTCTGTCAAGACTGGCCCGTACGGGCAGGGGTACCTTTACCTTTAACTTGGATTACCTTGCAGAAAATTCGTGAGTTTCAAAGGCTGGGTTCTTCCACTGACCCTCTTCCAAACAGCACACAGCAGTTATGTTTAAATGTAGCCTGAGCTACGTCTTCTATTGCATATGGTTCCCAAAAAGTTTCAGGGGGGTGGGGGGAGGGAGGGAGCAGATCAACAGCCCAAATAATTGTTTATTTGCATTAATATGTGTGAATGTGTCTCCAACAGAAAATGATCCACAGTCTGTTTCTTATAAACTGTTCTGGTGATATATTCTTGGAGAAGCACTGGAAGAGCGTTGTCAGCCAATCTGTGTGTGATTATTTCTTTGAAGCTCAGGAGAGAGCGGCCGATGTTGAAAATGTGCCTCCTGTCATCTCCACGCCTCACCACTACCTCATCAGCATCTATCGGGATAAAATATTTTTTGTGTCTGTCATACAGACAGAAGTGCCACCACTCTTTGTCATTGAATTCCTTCACCGTGTAGCAGACACTTTTCAGGTTAGTCTGTGGAGCAATTGTAGGGTTTCAGAGGGGAAACGAAGGTCTAATTCCTACGAGTTGCGGGCCTTGGGGAAGTTCTTAGCCAGGTATAGGCAACTCGGCTCTCCAGATGTTTTGGGACTACAGTTCCCATCATCCCTGACCACTGGTTAGTTAGGGATGATGGGAGTTGTAGTCCCAAAACATGGGGAGGGCCAGGTTTGCCTATGCCTGTTCTTAGCCATGTGAGCATTCCACGGGGTGCTCAGTTGCATTTAAATACACTTGTCCCACACTCTGGCCTGTTTGCCTGGAACAGGCTTCCTGAAACTTGGCCCTCCAGATGTTTTTGGCCTACAACTCCCATGATCTCTAGCTAGCAGGACCAGCGGTCAGGGATAATGGGAATTGTAGTCTCAAAACATCTGGAGGAAGCCTGGCCTGGAGGATTCCTCTCCCACTTTTATATACAACAAGCATTTAACTTTTAGAAATGCTTTGTTTTGTACAACTAACTAGTAATGTAATGAATTAGCCCAGAGTGGGTGAAATTGGGTAACTAGAATAGAAATAATTTTAGTCAAATACAAAAACAAAGTGGTAGTTAGCTTTTTTTGTTGAGAGGGGCTATTGCTAAAAGGAGCATCTGTCTATATTAGGGGTGGCAGACTTTGACAGGTGGGAAAGGCAGCTCACCTAAGAATTATATAGGCGCCACTCTAATGTCACAGGTGGGTTGCCCTGGCCACCTGTCAAAATTCTTTGCAGTCCCATCTGAGCATGGGAGAGCAGGGAAACAAGTGGACATCGGCTCTGGCAAGGACTGCTCCATTGCATTGCAATGGAGAAAAAATACCAGGTCTGCTTGCTTTTGCTGCACTCAGCAATTCATCTTAAGTGTGGTTCAGAAAGCTTGCAGAGCATTAGGCTGTGGCAGTTGCTGAATATAACATGGTTTTTAGGTGAAGGAAAAGCTTTTAACTGGAATAAATCGCCTCCTTTGCATCCTCTGCTTGGTTTAGGATTACTTTGGAGAGTGCTCAGAGACTGCAATTAAAGACAATGTTGTTATTGTCTATGAGCTTCTTGAAGAAATGCTGGACAATGGCTTTCCTCTGGCAACAGAATCCAACATCCTGAAGGAGCTCATTAAACCTCCCACGATCCTGCGCTCCGTTGTCAACTCCATCACAGGTACCACGACAGCTTCCAAACGCAACTTGTTCTTGAAATCAAAGGCTTGACCACTTTGTGCTTCTCCAAATTTCTGTTGGTTTGTGCAAACTCAGGAAGAGAAACCTTTGAATGTTTCTTAAGTTCCTGAGCTATGAGAGCAGGATCAGATAACATGCCCTCCGCCTTGGAGACACTGGCTGGGACTGATGAGATTTACATCAGCCATGTTGGCTGCTCCTGCAAAAGAGGGCCAGACCTCTTATCCCGTGACTGCTAAATTTATCCAGCAGCAGCATTTGCTTAGCGGGGGCTTTGTCAGAGAACTATGTAGTATTTACCAGACCAGCCTATCCACTTGCTTGTTGACACTCTCAAATCACTCCAGATGGCACTGAGGCTAGGGCTGGGCGATATATCAATATATAGTTCAAAACGAGTTTCATGAATTGGTTTTATTATTTTTGACCTGGCAATATATCATGAATCTTGATGTATGTGTGTGCTATGTAAAAATCAAAAAGTGGGAAACACCGTGAAGCCAGCCAATGCTCTACATAGCTCCATCCTTGATATTTAGCTGGTTACATATTGCAAAAAACAGATATTGAAAACCAGATATCGCCCAGCCCTGGCTGAAGCAAGATTTTCCTTGTTGATTCTTCTGCAAAGATTATTCGTCCATATACACATTGGGGAAACTGGTGCACAGTGCCTTTAAAGATAATGTATGCTTTGTACCAGTTTACCTCGGACAGATGTTAAGCTAATTGGCACGTAGCTTCCTGAGTCCCTTGTTAAAAATCAGCATCACGTTGCCTACTTTCCAGTCATTCAGTAAGGAGGGTGGTGGGTTTCTGTGTGTCTGTGTGTGTATGACAGGTTTTTTTGTTTCCTTAGGATATTGATTTCTTACTGGTTTCTTTTGGCTATTCTTGTATTTTCAAGGCAGCAGCAATGTGGGTGATACTCTTCCAACTGGGCAGCTGTCAAACATTCCCTGGAGAAGAGCAGGAGTAAAGTACACCAACAATGAAGCTTACTTCGATGTGATTGAAGAAATAGATGCCATTATAGACAAATCTGGTACGAGGCTTTCAAATGTGTGTTCTTATCCTTGGCAGAGTGAAATGGAAGAGTTAGAGCTGGGGTTGTGCTTCACGAATAGTCTTCAGTAATATCTTTTATATAGTAGCTTGGATTTCGAAGTTCTCAGTGAAATTTGATATCTCAGTAAGCCTACCTTACAGGGTTGTTGTAATGTCAATATTAACTACTCACATGTTGTAGATAAGGGGCCAATGCTGAAACTGAATGACTTTCTTAAGACCGCTTGATGAGGTCATGGGAGGAACAAGATTTGGAAATGGCACAGTTTGTTCTTCTAGCAGCTATGCCACAGTTGCTAAAAAACATCTTCAGTTGTTGTGGCAATTCAAAAACATATCCCCAGGACAAATAATATGCAATGAACTGAAGTCTGCCTGAAGCACATTAAATTAGTTTATTCACTTGCATGGTGCAAATGACTCCTTAAGGTGTGATCTGCTGATAATCCTCTTTTAGGAGATCGCTCTGTAATCTTTCCTTCCTCTCTGCCAGGCTCCACCGTCTTTGCAGAAATTCAAGGGGTCATTGATGCCTGCATCAAACTCTCGGGGATGCCTGATCTTTCACTTTCTTTTATGGTAAGTCACATTTTCGTTTATAGTGTGTGTGCATGTTCGTTCTAAATAGAAGTAGAGGTCTGCATTCACCTGAACGCAAATAGAACCCACCGTACAATCGTGGATCCTCAAGCAGCTGATTGGTGCTGTCAGCGAGTTCCGCTTGGAAAAAACCAGTCAGGATCTCACTTTGGTTCCTGATTGGTCTTTTGTAGAGCCATGTAGACATATGATATCAGGTGTGGGAGCAGGTGGCTATGGTTTGTGGGGAAACTGCCCAATTACTATTAGTAGTAGTAGTAGTAATTTCTGTACCACCCTTCATCCAAAGACGACAGGTTGGTTTGCAATATAAATTGAGGCCCAGGCTGGGCTTAATCAGGCTTATGGGCCAAAGGTTCCCCCCTCCCTGTCTTAAATAACAGTGAATGAGAGGAATTAAAGTAATTGTGCAGGAGAGGGACCCGCTATCCCAGCACTAGCCGTGTTGGACAGACTCCCAGCAGTGTGTCCTTTGCCTTGTTACTGTTGCTTCCAGTCGCTCTGGCCAGCCTAAATCTGGGTGAGCGAAGTACCCATGATCTAGATTATTCAACCCATGAGAAGGGGACCTCCATCTAAGCTCCCAGTCTGCACCACTCAAGCATCAGCCTGCCTTCCCCCCCTACCTCCTGTTAACTTAAAACCGGTACTGTATTTCAAGCAGCCAGGGCAGCGTGGAGGGAGCCCTGTCCCTGGGTGGCAGAGAATCCTCCTGTGCCTCAAATTCTAAATGCAGTAAGTTCATTAAAGAAGGGAAAACATATGAATGGCAGTGAGTATTTATTATTCATTTATTTAAGCACCAACGTGCCCAGTTGTGTACAGAGAGTCACTTTGGGGCTCCATGAAGTGCCCAGAAAAAATGGAGAAAATAACTTGGGAAGGAAATGAGTAACAGCCATGGGGTGATCCACTGGCAAAGGCTAACTGAAGCACTTGCAAGCTGCATGTAGGGAATGAGTCTGTTACAAGCGCCAGGAATCACCTTGAAGGTGAGGAGGAGGCAAATATGTGTGTTACACAGAAGGACTCAGGTCTATCACAGTTTGCGTGTGTGGTTTATACACAAATGAACGTGAGGGATAGATGTTGGCTCTTGAGAGTTGAAGCACAGCACTCATCCAAAAGCATTAATCATTAACTAGTGCAATCCTATTCATGTTGACTCAAAAGAAAGTCCCACTTAACCCTAAATTAGTTTGCATAGGCTTGTGGCTATTGTCTCCTCCTATCTTCCAAAAACCTTATTAGTTGGCACATGACAGTGACTTGCCAAATAACAAGGCAGTGAGTTTAACTGGGCCAGGTTTTGAAAATTTCTAGATTTGCCAACATCAACATATTCTAATGAATATGAGAGGGAAATATTATGACGCTCCAGGATGAATAATGAAATCCTAAAACTGTAGAGTTGGAAAGAAAAAGAACCCTTAGGTCATCTAGTCAATGTTTAGTATGACTGAGAAAGTGTTTATCTTGATCCATCTTCTATAGAATCCAAGACTCCTAGATGATGTGAGCTTTCACCCCTGTATTCGATTCAAGCGCTGGGAGTCAGAAAGAGTGCTCTCCTTCATTCCCCCAGATGGAAACTTCAGATTGATTTCCTATCGAGTCAGCTCACAAAAGTAAGTCTGAAGATGAGGGACTGTGTATATACACAACAGTTGTCTTTGCTGTCATCCACGATCCTGTTAAACTCTCTCTAATCTTTTCGTTGCTGCCGTACGCATGCTGATACCTTTCTGTAACCTCCGTAGGACAGGTCTTAGAAACATGGGCTAATATTGCTTATTTTTTCTGTGCCTAACAAAAACTGAGCATCTCTGTGTGCAAAAAATTAGGCAAATCCCTACCCACAGACTCAGAAGTGGTTTTGTTATGAGGATCCCATAGTTTGCTGAAAGCTAGTTTACACTGTTGATGAAAGAAAATGACACACTCTCTCCAGTTCACATACCCATTCACCTGTTGTCAAATGAGGGTGGGTGACATTTTGGTGGGTCCCCCCCCCTAATTTAGGGGTAAATTATTTTTAAAGGCTAGGATTTTTTTCACCAATGGTGGGAGTGGCTGGCTTTTTCTCTAACCGTAATGGAGGTTCTTTTGGTGACTGCCATTGCCACACTCCATGGCATGTATGTGGGTTACTCAGGGAGGTGGATGGCAGTCACTGAGACAAACTCCTTTTGTTGTTATTTTAAAAAGCAGGGAAATATGTTAGTAAGCCAACCCCAGCTATGTACCTTGGCACCGGGACATTCCCAGGGGAACTGAAGGAGGCAGTGGTGCGCCCGCTTTTAAAGAAAACATCATTAGATCCCTTAGAGCTATCCAATTACCACCCGGTTTCGAATCTACCATATCTGGGTAAGGTAATTGAGAGAGCGGTTGCTGAACAGCTTGGTAGGTTTCTGGATGAAACATCGGCTCTGGATCCATTCCAATCCGGCTTCCGCGCTGGTCATGGGACCGAGACGGCTCTGGTCGCCCTAACAGATGATCTCCGCAGGCAGCTGGATCGAAGCGGGTCGGGGCTGCTGATTCTTCTAGACCTGTCAGCAGCCTTCAACATGGTCGATCACGAACTCCTGGACCACCGCCTTGCCGTCGTGGGGATCCAGGGCACAGTCCTTCAATGGCTGCGCTCGTTTCTCTCTGGTCGGGGACAGAGGGTGGCGCTTGGGGGGGAGTTGTCATCGCGCCACTCCTTGGTGTGTGGAGTACCTCAGTGTGCGATACTCTCCCGATGCTTTTCAACATCTTTATGCGCCCTCGCCCAGCTTGTCCGGAGTTTTGGGCTAGGTTGCCATCAGTATGCCGATGACACCCAACTCTATCTGTTGATGGATGGCCATCCTGACTCGGCCCCAGACACACTGATCAGATGCTTGGAAGCTGTGGCTGGATGGTTACGTGGGAGCCGGTTGAAGTTAAATCCTTCGAAGACAGAGGTCCTCTGGCTGGGACGGGACGATATGGGATTGAGGGGGCAACTCCCATCTCTTGCGGGGGTGCAATTAGTGCCAGCACCGTCCGTTAAGAGTTCGGGTGTAATCTGTGATACCTCCCTCTCCATGGAGGCGCAGATTGCAGCTATAACAAAGGCGGCATTTTTTCATCTCCGCCAAGCTAAGCAGTTGGCTCCTTACCTCTCTCGCCCTGACCTAGCCACTGTGATCCATGCGACGGTCACCTCCAGACTGGATTATTGTAACTCGCTCTACGTGGGGCTGCCCTTGAGACTGACCCAGAAACTCCAGCGGGTGCAGGGGTCTTCACTGTGAGATCGCATTCATCCGGTGCTATACCAGCTGCACTGGCTCCCGGTGGAGTACAGGATCAGGTTTAAGGTGCTGGTTTTAACCTTCAAAGCCCTATACGGCCTAGGACCCTCATACCTACGGGACCGCCTCTCCTGGTATGCCCCACAGAGGAACTTACGGTCTTCAAATAAAAACATCTTGAAGGTCCCAGGCCACAGAGAGGTTAGGCTGGCCTCAACTAGAGCCAGGGCTTTTCGGCTGTGGCTCCAACCTGGTGGAACGCTCTGTCACAAGAGACAAGGGCCCTGCAGGACTTGACATCTTTCCGCAGGGCCTGCAAGACAGAGCTGTTGCACCAGGCCTTTGGTCAGGGCGCAGCCTGACTCCCTCCTTCGGCAATCTTTACAAAACTTTAGTTTTTGGTTGCCATCAATTTTGACTTTAATTAATTTTTATAATGTTTTTATAATGTTGCACTATTTTAGTGTTGTTAGCCGCCCTGAGCCCGGCTTCGGCTGGGGAGGGCGGGATATAAATAAAATTTATTATTATTATTATTATTATTATTATTATTATTATGCGGAACAGTTATATGGCAGAACATTTCCAAGATTCAAAGCCATTTGTCTAGGAGTTTGTCTAGTAGTTGTCTTGCGGCAATCTCTCATGTCCATTTAGTATAACTGTAAATTGTGTTTCTTATTATTAGTTTCTACTGTTTTATTGATTTATTGCATAGTTGTATAACATACTCTGTTCTGAAGGGGAGAAGGTCATAGCTGCCTGGGAGTGGGCCCCAGCCAGCAGAATGGCTGGGACAGGTTTCACAGTGGGGGATGCACTGGGACACCTGGTCTTAGTGATCACGGTTAGGAGGAGGAGTTACGCTAGGATCAGACCATGTCATTGCTGAGGAGGCAGGTTTAGTCGTCGTTTGAAGATTATCCCGGCCTCCAGGTCTGGCCTTGACCAGAAGGATACTGGAATCAACAAGGGAGACCCACATGACCCTAAGGTGCTGCTGTGCAATGCCAAGTCAATGATTCACAAGACCACCGTCATCCACAACTTGATCGTGGATGGAGGACTTGACCTGGCATATGTAACAGAGACTTGGTTGGACGAGGCAGATGGACCTGTTCTTGCTGCTGCTTGTCCACCAGGTTTCTCCTATGCACAGCAACCCAGGTCATATGGGTGGGTGGGTGGGGTTGCAGTGGTTTTTAGGAAGTCATTAGTTTGCACCAGGTGTCTTATTGGGAAGACCCGGTTTTCTGAGTTCATGTTCTGGAAGTTTGGCAATTGGGGCAATATGGGATTCCTTTTGGTGTACTGACCTCCCCGCTGCACCAACGATTCTCTGCCCGAGCTGCTTCAGGTCGTGACAGATGTTCTGCTGGAGACACCTAGTTTGGTTGTCCTAGGGAATTCTAACATCCATGCCGACACGACCTTACAAGGGGCTGCTTGGGACTTCATGGAAAGCATGGCCTCCATGGGGCTGTCCCTGAATAAGTTTGGCCCAACTCAAAGCTGCAGACATGCCTTAGATCTGGGTGGGAAAGAGAATGGAGGGGCTGTAAGGCAAACTAGATTTGGGCTTGATTTATAATGCAGGGAGAGAGAATCATAGAATTGTAGAGTTGGAAGGGACCCTGAGGATCATCTAGTCCAACCCTGTGCAATGCAGGAATATGCCGCTGTCCCTTATTGAGGATCGAACTTGCAACCTTGGCATTATCAGCACCATGATCTAACCAACTGAGCTATCTAGGGAGTGGAAGTGGAACCAGGAGTTCACTGTTCTGACTACTTGCCTTCATTCATTACAAGCCTCTACTTCCCAATGTGTAAAACAGCATCTCATATTTGATATGTGCCCACACGGTTAATGACTGCATTTAATCTCCTTTTTGAATGTATAGTTTGGTGGCCATCCCAGTATACGTGAAGCATGCGATTGGCTTCAAGGACAACTCATCTTCGGGAAGATTCGATGTCACAATTGGGCCCAAACAGAACATGGGGAAGACGGTGGAAGGAGTCCTCATGACTGTTCACATGCCAAAAGCAGTGCTCAACGTGAACCTTACAGCCACACAAGGCAACCACACGTTTGATCCTGTTACCAAAGTAAGTCCTGTTGTCCTCTGTGGGTTATATAACCCGCCTTTTGTATAATTTAGAGGGGCTTGCTCCAATGAAATGAAAAGAGGGGTGATGCCTGCCATGTGTAACGGAGCATTGGACCAATTCATATGGCTGCTTGACCTTCTCTAATCTCTGCTTAAGTGTGCTCACCTTTGACTGCCTTATGGGATGTTGGGAACACGTGACAAGACACCTTTGGATTTTATTCAGCACTGTGCAAGCAGCATTCTGCTTATGCAACAAGACCCCCACTTCCTCCCTTCTCCCTGTGCATCCCCCAAAATCTCCATCCAGGGAGTGCATGGGGGGGGTGGGCTTCAGAGGAGAGGAGATAAGGGAGAAGTTCTATGCAGCCTAGGATACAAGCTCACGCCTCATACTTGAGCTTTCCTTGCTGTTTCACACAACTGCTTTACTTGCATACAGCCTTGCCAGTGTGAGCTAAATGCCCTGTCATCACACACACACACTTACCTAACACAGGGATGTTGCAAGTGTAGCGCTGACTCATGGTTCTCGAGCAAATGATTAGAAATAGCCAGGTTAATGACACTCTAGAATTGCACAGAATTTGGAGTCCTGTAAATCTTTCACTCAAAAGGGTAAGGCCTCGTGACCATTGTCTTCCCTGTACATCCCACTGACTCCTCATTTTTCTGCTGATTTCTTTGCCTGCCAGAAACATTGCAAAAACAGCTGGGTGCAGAATAAAACCCAAAGATTGCTTATTGTGCGTGAATGTCCTCAAATGGATATTAATTAGGGGAGTTATTTTGCATTCCATTTGCCTCGACTGAAACAAATGTTTCTGGCCAGCTTTTCTCCCTCAGCTTCTCAGCTTGTCCTATTAAGGTTACAGTCCCAAGTACCCGATTTAGCAGTAAATCCAACTGAACTGTGAGGCTTACTTCTGAGTAAACATGGATAGGATTAGGGTGTGAGGCTGCATTCATGCACATGAGCCTTTGTAAATCCTGCTCAAACAAACAAAGAATTCCTTCCAAGCAAACAGGGTTAGGGGGTGAGGATCAGGCTCGTTCTTGGAAAGAGCCCCAGTGGAAGAATATTCTGTTACTTTCTTTCTCATGTTTCTGTTGCTTTTTGGTTTAGAAATGTAGGTTAGGAGCTTGCTGGCAGCAACAAAGCCGTTTGCTTCAGGATCCTCAGCCAGGCCTTTAGCGTGTATCTTGTCCAGCTTTTGTGAAACAGTTTTCTCTGTTTTTGCCCTGCTTGAAAGAACAGCTGCTGCATAGCAAGAAAGCCGCAAGCCAAGAGGCCTCTGGTTCAAAACTTCCTGGAAGTGGAGCAAAGTGCCTTAGCCAGTTATTTAAATCTCATCTTCAGCACATGCACACAATAATATGGGGGTGACAATGTTGACTTTGTTGACAGGAAAAGCAGTTTGGAAAGGCACTGTTACCACTACTGTTTGTTGTTTAGGTGTTAACATGGGATGTTGGCAAAATCACCCCGCAGAAGCTGCCCAGCCTTAAAGGGGTGGTGAATTTGCAGTCTGGAGCGCCCAAGCCAGAAGAAAACCCCAACCTGAATGTTCAGTTCAAGATACAGCAGCTGGCTATTTCAGGTAAGGTGCTTATCCCATTGGCCTGGAGCAGGACTTAGCGCTGAATTTCCCTCCCAAACTTCAGGGAACACACAGCAGGTTGGGGTGAACTTAAGACTTCAGTAGCATATTTCAGTTCTTGAAGGCGACATGCTTAGAGAGATTGGCCAGTTCCTGAGTTTCAGCTCACAAGCACAGCCAAGAAGCAGGAGAGGGGCTAGCTTTCTCACCATGCAGGGGCTCCCAAAGTACACGGTGGGACAAACAGAAGGGGCAGCAAATTGCAAGGAAGTTGAGCAAACTGCAAAACAGATGTAGCTCTCACCAGCTCCCCCCCCCCTTGCCACTCTCTCTCATACAAGAGAGATTGTACTGTATGACGACATAAAATGTGTTTTACAGAGGAAAAAGTACTTTTATAAGGAAATAATGTTTGCATGAAGTTTGGGCTTAATTCTTAAAACCACTGGGCTGACTAGTTTTGAGAAACCTGCTGCAGCTGGAGCTTTTTAAAATAAAAATAAAAATCTGATTTAAATCAGTATCTAAAAGTATCCACCCTATCTCCTGCAATAAAGGCCGTCCGCTCTACCTCTTATCTGCCACCAATGGCATTTCAGTAGTCTGTATAGAATGTGAGACCTGCAAAAATATTGCAGTTTGTCTACCAGAAGGAATGTTCCTTTTCAAGGCTCTAGCTACCGCTTTTCCAGAATACTAAGAGCTGCATAGTTAGTTCAATTGTTTCTTCCTCTGCACCACCCCTTTCCTATTTGGCACTTCCCATTTCCCGAAGGTCAGTGAGCACGCTCAGTCTTCATTGGGCTCTTCTTGGGTGGGGATTGCCCCCTTTTGAACTTTAAATAAGTTTTGCATTTCTGCATACTGCAGAGTTCATCTGAACACATTGTCCCGGCCTCCTTGTTCCTCAGCAGCCCCATTTAGGCTCCAGTCCTGTCAATAATCAGTCACCCAGGTTTGCTATTAGAGGAAGGAGCTGTCTGCTTTGCTGACTGCAGAACTGTGCTTTGGGGCACAATATTGGCATCCACCATAAAGAGTGTTTTTTCCCCCCTTATTGCTATGAAGATAGCAAATGTCTGATGCCTGCTGAAATCTTAAAAGTCTCAGAAGTGGCTGAAGATTGCCACTGCCTAAAGGGCTGTGTGTGGCCTCAGAGCCCTGCTTAATATTCTACCGTGTTCACATTTTAGTGGGGTGGTTCTGAATTTGTCCTATTATAATATTGCAAGATGAGCACTTAGACAACATTTTATCTTTGTGATGTTTTGAATTCTGCATGTTTTAGTAACTAAGTTATAGTGTGACATTTTTTATAGCAAGTGACAAGTGCAATGAATAATAGCAACAACAACAACATCTATCTCCATGACTAGCAAAAGGGGGCCAATCTGAACAAATTCAGCTGTTCATGGTGCAGAATTGTAACCTGAAATTGACACATACCCAGTTGACCTTTCCCACGCTGATGCTCTCTAGTTATTTTGGACAACAATGCCCATTATCTTTTATCGCCGATTATGGCTGATGGATATCCATCAACTGGAGGGCACCAGCTTGGGGAAATAAAGCTCATTCCAAGTTACCGTATTTTTTGCTCTATAAGACTCACTTTTTCTCTCCTAAAAAGTAAGGGGAAATGTGTGTGCGTCTTATGGAGCGAATGCAGGCTGCGCAGCTATCCCAGAAGCCAGAACAGCAAGAGGGATTGCTGCTTTCACTGCGCAGCGATCCCTCTCGCTGTTCTGGCTTCTGAGATTCAGAATATTTTTTTTCTTGTTTTCCTCCTCCAAAAACTAGGTGCTTATTGTGGTCTGGTGCGTCTTATAGAGCGAAAAATACGGTATATCCCCTATAAATTGAGAAACTGGCTACTCTGAAGGACTGACTTGCTGTCAGTAGTTGTGCTAAACAGATTTTTTTCATGAGGGGTTCCTCCGTTGTAAGAGTTGGGCTCTGTTTAAAGATTGTGTCCCTAAAACCTATCTTGTTCCTTATTTCAGGGTTAAAAGTAAACCGCCTTGACATGTACGGAGAAAAGTACAAACCGTTTAAAGGTGTGAAGTACATCACAAAAGCAGGGAAATTCCAAGTGCGAACATGAGACTCAAGATCCCTGCTTTCTTGGCAGATCAATGTGGGGTTTTCTTGGGATTCCCCCACCCCAGTTGAGGGGGAAGCAAGATGACTTGGTGACTTCAGTTACACTAGATGCCAGTTTTAACAGTTCCTCTTGATTAGACTCATTCCCATGCACTACACTTCTTCAAATTAAATCATAGTTTAAAATAGGTCTTTATATATGGCTTTGAAATTAACTTTCTGTAACAGTTCCCTTTTGTGGGCTGATTGGTTAAATGACTTGTGATTGCAAACGGGGACTGTCTGCAGAGCCAGCTAACATGGTACACTGCCAAGCAAACTACCAAAGCACAAGAGGAATGCAGGAACATTTGGACACACACTTTGGGACATCGCTGAAGGTAACTGACATTCTTCTTATAGCCTGTTGGAAAGAGTATTAGGGCATGTCACTTTCTAAGTCCTATTCAGAAACAAAAGGGAGGGGGATGGGCACAGTCCTCTGGCCAGAGCGATCTTCAGTGGTACGAACAAGGCTTTCCCTGCAATGTTTACAACATGCTGCCTTTCAAATCTAAACTGTTTTTTGCCTTACAAGCTTGTGCATTCAGCAGACAATCTGTAGCCAATTCTGGATTTTCTACAACTTGCTTTACTTCGAAGGTGAAAAATGTATGGTAGTGGAGTCTTTGCATTGTCCCAATAGGTGCCACCACTTTGGAAAGTTTTTCCCCCCTCTACGCAATTTGTTTGTGCCATGCAAACCTCAAGAGCAGCTTAACAAGGTTGTACTATTTGTAATGAAATAAAAGGGAATTCAGCTGTACTGCCTGGTCATTCGGTTAATTGAGTTACTGAAATGCGTACACAATGAGCTTTCGTTAAATGGACGTGCATTTAGTGCTGGCACTACTGTGCCAAACAGTCTATATTCAATGAGCAAAGTCGTTTCCCCTTCAAACCTGAAAATACTGACCTAAGTGGACATTTTATACAAATGCATTTTATTTTGTTTGAACAGAACAAAGAAGGTTGAAAATATTAGCATATACAACAAAATTCTGGTTTATAAACAAAGGTATTTAGTGGCAAAATGCTCCTAACTGACATTCAAGTTTGCTTCATCTTAGGTCTGATGAACAATTGTTCAGGAAAGCATAAATTGCATAAAGTGTGGAGGATATTAACTTCTATAAAAGACTTTAGAACTTAGTAAAACATTCTGAAGAAATATCCAAGGCAAATATGAGTCAGAGCTTTCCTTCAAACATTCCTTAACAAAAAGCAGTCTTTGGTATAAACCGTCATGTAATTAAAGGCATTAGTAATATTGCATTAATACAAAGTCAAGCTATTAAATGGTGATGATTTTAAAAGCTCGTGATGAAAAGGCTGGACTATATGTTGGTAAAAGACATTCAAAGTCTCCTCTTCCTGCTGAGTTCATGCAAACCAAGCAAAGGCAACAAGGCATCCAGACTAAGGCTGTGATGTGTTCCCTTTCATCTTCTGGTTGTGGCTACTTATTGTCAGAAACCTATGTGACAATTTTGAGTACCGCGCAGTCACTAAGTATTCAGGAAAAGGTGGGCAAGCAAATTCCCTTGCTCTAGGCAGGTGTAAAGAAGTCATTAAAAGGTCATTTCTGTGTTGTTTTTTTAAAAAATCCCTTTTAAATTGCACCAGAAAGAGGGGGCACAGAAGTTAAGTTTAAAGAAACTTTTAGCAGGTAAACAAGCGCCGCCTCTTAGCACTTCTATAGGTCTCCTGAGCATGAACTTCTGTTGCGTGACAGCACAGGGGCACCACAGCATCAGTACATAACTTATTTGCAAATACACAAGCAATTCAGAAGTAGGACTAGTGATTTGCGCAGGAACATCGCCCTGCAAAAGACAAGAGGTGCTCTTTCATTAGTGTCAGTGGCGCTTCTGCGAGAGGTATCTCTGATGCACGGGGCCATAAATTATCTGCTCTGTGCAACTGCAGAAGACAACGGTGTGTAGAACAGTACAAAAATAAAGGCATACTACTTCAGCACTAAGCATCCCAGTTTCCCTACCATGGTTGAAAGAGAACATTCCATTTGCCAGCCGATTCAACTGATGAGCACTGGATTTGAGGAGTGTTTCACTGTGTAAAAGCCCAAAGTGATCATTATTTGTGTTACCTCATAGGAGACGTTCTGCTTTCGTACCTTCTCCAACACATCCCAAGGGTGATTGGCTAGAACAGAGAAAGAACTGTTCCGCTGCTAAAGCAAGCAGGATAATCAAAACGAAACCTGATATAAACACACATTTTTGTCCTATGGGTACAATAAAAAAAAAAGGACAGGGAGGACAAGCAAGACATAGCCTCATGCCAGTGGGAACAGGCTGAAATATAATTTAAAACTCTCCCAGCTGTTTTGTTCCTGACCAAAGAGTAAGGGATGCTGCGTAATCTCTCCCTGCTCCCTCTCAATTAAATGCTCCAAATGGTTATTAGTGGTCAGTTTCGTCACCAATAAGGTGTTGAACTGACTAATGGCAGCTACTCCCAGATTTTGATGGCTTTTGAGATCACTATTGGGCAGAACGACGAGCAGCAGCAGCTTTTGAACACAGCACCTCTTCCCTTGCAGCAAGGGAAAACTTTTGAAAGAAATGAAACAAACTCAGCAACACACTGGTTTTAAAGAAGTTAGAGGAAAGGGAGCAGAAAACGGAAGTGCTGGACTGTTCTGTCTTCTGATTGTCCCTCACAATAAACAGCTAAGCAAACCAGCTTCCCAGAGTTTTCATCCATGCTAAAGTGAAATCTGCATATACTGCCTCTCGTAGAAAACCACTGGAATATATGCTGCAGAACAGGGAGGGGAAACTGAGGTTACAGAGTTCATGAAAACGGGAGATATAAAAAACCCTCAAAAGCAAAGAGAGAAAAGCTTGTCGTTGTGAAAACTAATTGTGGTGAGGTTAGATACCAAAGGTAGCTCAGCACACTTATGAAAGCCCTTAAGAGAGGGAGTTCCAGGGGAGGGGGCTAGTTTTAATCGCTCAAGCACCTTTTGGCTGTTTACAGAATTCTCTTTGCTCCAACAAGGGGGTTTTCTATTAAAAAAAAAATGCTTAGGGGAAAGGCAGCGCTCTACTGGTACCAAGGAGTTTTCCTGACCCAGCGTAGAGTGAATCCAGCATCTGTTCTTATTTTAATGGAGGCGGCCTCAGCTTCCCGAACTGTTTCCTTGACAGACTGCATAAGGTTCTGGGCATTGTGAACCAACATCTCCGTGGCCTGCAGAAGAAAGAGTTGTTTGAAAGCACTTAAAAATATATATATAAAAAGAACACAAGCGTTTTCAGATGAAAACCTGAGAGGCATGGCTCATTTTTAGAATAAAGAGCATCAACAAAAGGCTGAACTGGCAGCAAGCCCATTCCAGTATGTGGGCATCTAACAAGGTCTCAAGAACTTCATGCTAATATTTAAAACCTGGCTTTTCATCGGGGGGGGGGGGGGACATCTGAAGACAAGCTGTGTGCTTCAACAGTATCAATCCAATGTCCAACCTGAAAATCATGATTCTAAAGCACCACGCACAGCCCAAATGACACCAAGTATGCAAACATCTGACAGAGATGTTTTTATTTTAGTGGAATTTTCCACTCAGCCTCCCTGTGCTCCCTAATAGGAGCTGGAGTGCAGCAACATCGGGGGGTGGGGGGGAGACCACATCGGCTACCTTGCCATAGACCATTCTGGAAAATGCCAGCTGTAGGCTCCAACTGTTTTGCCCTATATGTGCCAATACAGCTCTTAGCTGCACATAGTGATCTCCGGCTGTGCTGGCAGTGATTGGGACATTCACATCCAACAGAGTAAAAAGAGTGCTGAGAGACAAGTTCATGGGATGTACATTCAGCTTCTGCTCTAACCCCTCGGCAGCTAGCTTTGCAAAAGTATTTCATAGAATTGTAGAGTTGGAAGGGACCCCGAGGGTCATCCAGTCCAACCCACTGCAATGCAGGTATCTCAGCAAAAGCATCCAGGAGAGATGGATGCCCATTCACTTGCCTTACTTAAAAAAGAAGAAGAAGAAGAACATGCATCTGTAAGAGCAGCCCTGGGGGATCTGGGAAAGGCCCATCTTCTCCAACTTCCAGCACCCAGGCAGAGAAGCCCATAGGTGAGGCATGAAGAAACAGTCCCAATCTCCGTTGACAGCCTGGATCCCACTCCAGGAATTTAGAGGTACATTGCCTATGAAAATGGAGTCCCTTTATCTTAACACAGCTAGCAGCCGTGAGGATCAGTCCTTCGGGCATTTGTCTTATCCCCTTTTAAAACCTCCAAAGCTAGTGGCCACATTTTCCTAATGGGAAGCAAAATCTGACAGTCACTGGGAAGGTTTGGGATAATTGTCCCCAACAGCAAAACAACATCTGCGTTGGATATTGATAAAATCTGGTGGCTTACGGCAGCGTTCAGGCAAACCAAAGAACGATTCATTTGTATCCACCAGAGGGTGCTAGTTAATAACTATTTAAACAGGCTGTGGGAAATTTTATTAATGTTGTATTTTAATCTTGTTTTTACGTTGTATTCTTTCAACTTGTTTTTATTATTGCTTGTTAGCCGCCCTGAGCCTGGCCTTGGCTGGGGAGGGCAGGGTATAAATAAAAATTATTATTATTATTATTATTATTATTAAGCAAGAAACCCAGGTCTACCTTAGGATCTACTCAGTACACAGCAATCCAAGCTGCTTTCGTCACGTCCTGGCTTACTTCCCTTGTAAGCCCGTCCCCTCAGTCCCGAGGCATAGAAGGTTAACCCTTCACTACACCCAACAGAATCATAAATTATATTTTGTTGCAGGACATCAACACAGCAAAAACAGGGACAGTTTGCCACTGAGTGTACCTGACAAAAAAGCACATCCTAGTTTTCTATTGAGGGTCAGTTCGTCATAGTCACACTTGTTGTTTCGAATCTACAAAGTGTGATGCACGTAGAAATAAGCACACCTTGAGCCACACCTTTCAGTTACTCTAGCAAGAAAACTTACAAGAGCAAAAGGACAGCAAGGGAGGCCCTGTTGGCAGCTGACATCGTTTCACCAATCGTGCAAAGCCTGATGCAGTGGACAATTCCAAGCTTGCAACACACGCACCCCCTTGTGGCAGGCGTGAGAATTACCTGTTCAGACTCCTCGTCGCTGATGTTAGTGCGGCCCAACATGGTGGCTTTGACAGTGGAGAGGATTTTGAGTTGCGTGCTGATGGTTGGGATTCGCTCGCAAACCTGCATGGAAACAGAATTGCACAGCTGAGAAACTGTCTATATAAAATTATACCACTCTTCTCTTGTGTGTTTCCCCCCCCCCAAAAAAAAAGCAGTGGCAAGCATAAATGTTCATTTTCCTTGGTTATTTCCCACTCCTCTTCAAGCCACCCATGTTTTTCTCAAGAAACACGGCAAGCTGCTTCAGTGGTAGGGAACTATCACTAAGGTATCATCTAAGGACTTGTGGGCAGGTTTGGGGTCACTTTCCAGCATTATTATTATTATTATTATTATTATTATTATTAATTGATATACCATCCTTATATCAGGGTGGTTCACAAGATAAAAATACAAATAAGTAGTTAAAACAAAAACAACAAAACAATAGCTCTCCCTCCCCCCAACTCCCACAAACACATTTAAAAGGCTATAGAATATCATTGCTTTCTTTGCCAGCCCTAGAGATTCAGAGGACCAGCTATCTACCGTATTTTTTGCTCTATAAGACTCACTTTTTCCCTCCTAAAAAGTAAGGGGAAATGTGTGCGTGTCTTATGGAGCGAATGCAAGCTGCACAGCTATCCCAGAAGCTTGTTTTCCTCCTCCAAAAACTAGGTGCGCCTTATGGTCTGGTGCGTCTTATAGAGCTGAAATACGGTATTTGAAGGCTGGCACCTTACCACCCTGCTCTGCAAGGCTCTCTGCACAAGGGGCTGTTCCTTGCATTCAGCTGCACTGTGCTGTGCTCGTGGCAGCGAAGCCTCAGGCTGAGGTGGTACAGGGCCACAGAAAGCGCAGCTGCTCAGGGAATTAGATAGTCCGCAGTCTGATGTCTTTGAGACCCTAAACTTGTCTGGCCAGGATTACATTGTCGTGCAGGAGAAGATAGGAGCGCTGTTGAGACCAGTCGAGAAACAAGCAGGCTAAAACAAAGCTGTTGCCACGATGAAAGACCTTGGCTGGATAGTTCTGCCATCTGTGGCACCTACCGTTACTGCCGCATTGTGACCTGGCAATCTTAAAGTAGGCCACAGGTCCAAAAGAACAAGGAGGGCGAATTTGAGCAAGCCAGCCCACTGTTTGGGCTCTCAAGTAGCCCCCCTGCTCCAAAACAAACCCATCTCTCAGTGGCGTGCGGTGAAATAGGGGTACAGTTAGGGCCAGAGGCAACAGCCTGCGAGGACGACCGGGACACTGCATGTGTGACGTCGCAATGATGTGCAGGTGAGTATCACACTTCCCTCCCTGAACTGGGCAGAAGCTTCCCGGGCTTTGGAAAGGAGACGTCAGGGGAACATTTAGGAGACTAGCCTAGTAAGGGGGGGAAGGTAAAGGACACCTGGGCGGTTAAGTCCAGTCAAAGGCGACTACAGGGTTGGGGCGCTCATCTCGCTTTCAGGCCAAGGGAGCTGGCGTTTGTCCACAGACAGCTTTCTGGGTCATGTGGCCAGCATGACTAAACCGCTTCTGGTGCAAGGGAACACCGTGATGGAAGCCAGAGCGCACGGAAACGCCATTTACCTTCCCGCCACAGTGGTACCTATTTATCTACTTGCACTGGCATGCTTTCAAACTGCTAGGTTGGCAGGAGTTGGGACAGAGAAACGGGGGCTCACCCCGTTGTGTGGATTCGAACTGCCAACGTTCTGATCAGCAAGCCCAAGAGGCTCAGTGGTTTAGACCACAGTGCCATCCATGTCCCTGCCACTAGCCTAGTCCCCTTAGTCCACTGACCGCATGCCATCTCTCTTACCAATGCCAGCTGTCACCGCTTCCCTGCCTTCTTCAGGCAGTGGCTGGTGACCCACCTGCAAAAGGTTTGTCCTGATGCGCTTGTCAGTGCACTGCTTCGCGACCTCCTTGGCCAGCCTGGTCACTTCGTCGGAAGCTTTCGCGATATCCTTGGCACACTGGATGAGAGCCCGCTTGTTCCCACTGCCGCCTCTGACCAAGCGCGACATCTCGGCCATGAGGAGGGCCATTCGCTTGGCGGCGGCGATGATGTCGTTGCCCTGGAAAAGAGCAAGGGTAGCCATGAAAGCTTGGGAGCCAGACATCGGCCCGCGCCGTCACCCCCGTCCTGTAAGCAAGCCCTCGCTCTGGAAGGGCAAGGAAGAGACATCCTGTGCGGTGCAGAGGCCGCTCCACAAAGAGCACTGGAAAAGAGCTTTGCCCCAAAGGCCAGTTGTGAAATACTTTCTCTCCCCCAAAAAGTGAAAAACAAGCTTTGGCCCGTAAAAAAATAAAAATACGTTGTGGACACGCAGTGTTAGTTTGCTGCTGAAGTGAAAGCGGCTAAGTTCAGACAGTTTTACCAGTTAAACATCTATCCTTTTAATAAGGGTGCAAGAAGATTGCCTTAAGTTTAAAGCATCCAGTGTTATGAAGGTGAATATTCTTAATATCAACATACAAATGGACATGGCGCATCCCAATTTGGCACTCTACAGTCACAGATGACAACTAACTTTTCTGAGGGGGACACAGCTGAGGGAGAAGTCAGAGCGTCAGTTAATCCTTTTGATCAGCTGTATATGTAAAAAGGCATGCTTAGAAGGTAGCAGGTTTTTTTAAAAATTGTAAATTATTTTTAATAAACCACCAGTTATTCCGCGTAAAAGGAAGCGGCGCTTCTAAGATGAGGCCTGCGGCAAGGTGTGTGCGCATCATCTGAAACCTCAAAAGAGAAAAATCTTCAGGACTTAGTCATTTGCAAACATATGAAGCTATTATTTATCAACTGGCAAACTCTCCTGTCGTGAAAACCAACTACCACTTAATTCATCAAGTTGACAGCCTCGCTGTAAGAATTGCCACCTTTCCTCCACTTAGGACAATCTCATCTTCCTTCAGTGGAGAAGAGAGGCATTAGGCTGCACTTGGACATCACGCTAAACTATAGGTTATGCAGCTGGCTTAGCAATGCAGTCTTACCTTGGAAGTTGAACAGAATCCATTCCAGAAGTCCGTTCGACTTCCAACGGTTCGGAAACCAAAGCGCGGCTTCAGATTGGCTGCAGGAAGCTCCTGCAGCCAACCAGAAGTCCCGTCGGACGTTCAGCTTCCAAAAATAGTTCACAAACTGGAACAGTCACTTTCGGGTTGGCGGTGTTCAGGAGCCAAAACGTTTGAGAACTAAGCTGTTCGAAAACCAAGGTATGACTGTAGTTTGTTGGGGGTGAATGAAATTGACAAGCTACAGTTAATCAAAAGTAGTATCAAAAGTTTCTGCACTCCTGTCTACTCATGGCCACACCAGAGCAGAAGTGGGGGAGTTTGCAAACTTGAGGCTGAACCGCAACCGTTCAGTTCAACTTGTAACACAACTTTTTAACAGCCACTGTTTTGAGAGGGAGTTCTTTATTTTTCGAGGGACAATATAAATAACTGGTGTTTGAAATAACATTTTTCCATATTAAATACTGTAGCTGAAAAAGTATTCAAGATCAATGTAATCAATTCATTTAAAAATAAAAAAATCTGTGCAGTGTTTTTGTGAAGGGTGCTTAGTTAACATGACATACTGACCAACAGTGAGAAAATAGGAAAAAGTGCCTGGACTGTAATCTTTTGCATGCAGGAAAGCGGCTGTTAGGCATTAGGACTACCGGGAGAAAAGTGTTTGTAACAACGGCAACAACAAAAGGCACACAGTGTGGTGATAGTTGCGGAAGGGGACTTGTGGTCCTTACGGACATATTTCCATTATGCAGTGCATAAAACCAGCATGTTGTACACATTACAAAAAGCTGCTGAGTTGCAAAAGTCTGAAGAGCCATATCCTTGTTCAGGAGTCTCTTCACACATTTGTTTTTAACCAGTGCACTGAAAATACTGTGTGTGTGTGTGTGTATTTGTACAAAAGAAAAATGCATGTGCAAACATGCATGTTCCACCACACAAATTGCGTATCACCATCGCAGGAGCAATGAGCCAGGATGCTAAACATGTGCTTGCTGCTGTGATGAGTAACGGTTAAGGGTGAACTGCCAGCCCCCTTGAGCAATGAAGGCCATGCGTTTTCTTGGCTGGTTTCTGAAGAGTAGAAGGCAAAGCAGAGTGTAAAATGAGAGAGGCCTTCACACCATGAGGCAAGTGGTGGCAATGGCAGGTTCTAGGTACCATTTAAGGGAGAGAGAGATCTAGCCCACGAAGCACAATGCAGCGACATGTTCTCATGCACATCTCACTTAAAATGAATAGGGGGCTTCTCCATTCATTTCAAGGAGATTTGCAAAGGAGAAAGAGTGTGCTAAATTGTGCCCCACATTAATCTACACATGGAAAAACACCACGTGAATTTTGCGCACAGGCACCAAAAGATCACCACCATTACTGACTGAAAAGACAATGAAAGAAAGACTCAATTTTTTTAAAAAAAGGGGGGGTTTCCACACATACATACCTAATTTTTAGTAACTGCACAGCCACACACTTAACTCCTTGCAGCATGCTAGTCCCAAAAGCGAAAAAGTGACCCGACAGCTCCCCAAACATTTGTTTGCGATTAGTGCCAGCAAGCTCAGGACTAAGATCACTCCGAGCCACGGACCGAGGATCTCCATCAACATCATGGGTTGTGTATTTTTTTAGAAAACCCAACGAAGTCTGAACTTAGCAACCAACACATTCAGCATAGCTTGTTGACCAAAGTCCTCTCACCATGGGCCAGCCTTTTTACATTACAGCCAAGTGCACATCAGCAGGTCCAACTCCTGGGCAACGCCGCCATACCAAGCCATTCCTGGTCTGTCCAACGTTTTAGTGGAAGCCATTGATAAGAGGCAGAAAAGCACAATGATGCGTGTTAAATGACTTCGGGAATGACAACGACGACTCCCTCACAATCTGGAAGTCACTGAGAGACTGTCAACCATGGCTTCACAGGTAGTCAGCTGGTTTGTACGTATGTTTGTTTGGTTTGTTTGTTTTCTCTTCCCTTTCGAAAAAGAACCACTGCCGTGAAGAGACAGGTAAGACAGAGAGCAACGACAGGGAAAGGAAGCCTTGATTAAGAAGGAGAGTAAAACGAAGGAAGTTGTGAGCCAAATGAAGCTTTTTGAGCCCGGCCATCATCGCCAGCAGGCCTGTCAGAAACATGTGAAGCCACTCTCAATCCTCAACAATGAAGTGCAGACAAACTCGAATTTCATTCCAATTCAGAAAAGGAAAAGAAAGAAAGAAAACGAAAATGGGACCCGGCAAGGATCAAGAGTGAATGCAAATGTGTCAACGTTCCAAAATGGCTGGATGCAACGCGGGTCAGTCGCCAGGGGGAAATGGAGGAAGTACCTTACTAGACCACTTGGTGGCTTCCCGGTGCAGAGACTGAGCAGCGGCCAGAATGGGCTGGTTAACGGGCTGGTTGGTTGGCATTAACAGCAGCTCAGGCTCGTAATCATCTTCAATGTCAGAGGGGAGAGTGAATTCAACATCTGCTTCCTCCTCCTCCTCCTCCTCCTCCTGATCTACATCTACATCAGCCTCAGGGGCTTCCTTAACCTCATCAGTCACATCAGGCTTCGCAGGTTGGGCGGGGGGGGGGATGCGGAAGGGGGGGATGAAGAAACAGGGACAGTTAGTATAAAGAAGCAGGATCTGGTCAAAGAGCAAGAACTGAGCTGGTTTTAGTAAATCCCTTTATTCTGGAAGGCAACGGAAGGAGGGGCAGGGAGGAAGGGACGCAATTCCAAGGAAACACTTGACCTGAGAATCTACAAAGGCTTCAAGGAGAGAAACAACAAGAGTTTAGAGAAAGCACACCAAGAATCATCATCGTTTTTCACTCGAGGTCCTCTCTAAAGTGTCTTCTATTTCACCACAACATTCTTTTCTGGCAAGACAATGGCGCCACGGAGACAGGAAAGGAAACGAGAAACAAAAGCAAGTGCAACACTTAAAGATTACTTAGGGGGTGCAAGAGGAAAGTTTCAACGATGAGGCTTGAGTGCTGAGAAAAAACCGCCAGGGAGCAGAGATGCCAGGGGCTGCTTTCTGTGCCCAAAAGAGATGGGAGAGGCCTTGCCGCAAGACAATCGAGGCAGGCACCCCTAGCAAGTCTTGGGTGCTATTAAGGGTGGGGAAGTGGCAGACCTGACCCTACGGAGCCTCACGGATATGAATGGAAGTTGCTCGAGGGCTTTTGTGTGTGTCCTTGTTGAAAAGAGCTCCTATTCATTTCAGCAAGGTTTGCACAGGAGAATTTGCAAGCAAATCGTGCCCCCTGTCCATTATTTTGTGGCAGGAATGTGGGGGTGGGGGTGAGGGTGAGGGAATTGGGACAAAGATGCCATATGGATTCTGCAGGCACCACCACGTCTTGGTCCAGGCCATGGAAAAGGAGGTTATTGCGAAAGCAAAACACAATGCAGGAAGGAAGTCAGGACAGAAAGCCAAGGGATTGTGGAAGAAACAGGAGAGGCTGCTCATTAGGAGGACATGATCAGTTGTTAATTGTTAGCAGACAGAAAGTGATGTTAGCAAAACACACAAACAAAGCCAGTCGGAAATGTTTCTGTTAGCAGAAGGTTAATGAGATGGTGCCAGATTGTTTTGCCACAATGTTGTTCTACAAAAATCCAAAAGAGGATTTCCAAATCGTTTGTCAAGAGTATCCTGAATCACATCCTGTGGGAAGGATGTCTCTAAAAAAACACAGAACAGCTCGCTATTATCGCAGCCAATCTTCAGGGTACCAATCCATTGCAGAAAGAGAAGACCAAAAGGGGCAAACACTGCCTTTTCAAGTGCAACCAGACCCACACACAATTATCACATTTTATTTCAGTTTGCCCCCCCCCCCCAGCCCCCACGTCCTTCACGAACCCTCCCCCCCTCCCCGTGTTTTTGCATGTTCACACTTCCTTCTTCAAGAATAGCGGCTTTCGGTATTAAAACTTTCTCTCCCCCCCCCCCTCCAATTACTCAGTTTATGCAATTATATGCTCTCAAATAATTTAGATGCAGCTTAAGTGTGGGATTTCATCTCTTTTTGCTTTCTGGACAAACACAGTGGTTAAATGCAGTGCGTTGAGTAAGGGCCATTTCTTTTCATGAGGACCAAGTGGTGAAGTCTTTCTGTCGGGCAACCTGAAACATCTGCTTAAGAGATAGCAAGCACTTATGGACAAAAGCAACTTGTTGCCTTCTGGGGAATTATTGATCCCAATGTGACCACCTCCCTTCTCCGTCCTGATCCTACAACTCAAAATGGGACAGGGGACAGCGAGCTGTGGGGGGAGTGCCTGAAAGTTAAGGTGCGTGTGTTTACTAAATATGAAGGACGTGTCAGTTTAAAAAATATTGGGTGGTATCCAACCAAATAATTCCACTCTTCTGGCTGTTGAATGGAACTTTCCCTCCCTCTCCTCTCCCGCCTCCAAAATATGCTCCAGAGGGTTGGGGGGAAACCCAGAACATATTTAGGGGGACTTGCAGGGAGAGGAGGCAAAGAGGAAGTTCTACTGCACCTTATTTCTAGGGTCATTCATACTGTCCATAACCCAAAGTGGTTCAAAGCATTAGGCAATTAAACCACACACACTTGCCACTAAAGGGGTTTGCATTAACAATCCGTCTTAGGGGCTCTATTTCAAATTTATTTTTCCATGTTGCCGAGTGAAGGATTCTGTGGGACTCTGTGCACTTTCGTAGAGGACATGGGACTAATAAATATCCCCCCCCCTTCTGTCTCACTACGTTCGAGTAACACAACAGCCAACAAAAATAGGGTGTATATCCTAGCAAATGTTCAAGTAACACTGGGAAGCAGGAGAGAGGGCAAGGCAAGAAATTTATTGTCCAGGAAGAAGGAAAAATTAAACTGGCAGAGCATGAAGAGAAAAGGGGGGAAAGTTAATTTGCTGCACAGTCGGAATAAACAAGTAATACACAACTGAAGCTATTTTTCACAGCCAGCCCAAAGCAATCTGCTCGGTTTTTGCGCCTCCCCTCAGAGCCATTGGCTTCTACACACAATCTCTTCTGCTGGAAGAGTGGCTCAGACTGTAGCCATTTATTCTCCACCTACTTTTGAAGACCCATAAACCCACAATAATATTTATGTGCAGGGAAAAAAAACCCACATTGCAGCCACCTTGGGACAGGGCACTGCAGATAATGTTCTCCTGAATGGAATTACCAAGATACAGCAGTTGGGTATCAGCTTCTCTCAAAAGCTGGGTTTATTTATTGATCCCCCACACACCCCAGTGACCTTAAAGTTAAAAGCTCAGAAGGCACCAAATCTCAACTACAATGTCTACCAGGACAGGTTTTAAATGATATTTTAAAACTACATTTTAAACTGAAGCAAGTGTGATGTAGTGGAAAGTGTCAGACTTAAGATCTAGGGTTCAAATTCCACACTCAGCCACGAAGCTCGCTGGGTGAATTTGGGTTTCTCAGTGTAACCTACCTCACAGAGTGGTTGTGGGGATTAAATGAGGAAAGAGGAGAATGATGTACGACTCCATGATCGCCTTGGGTAAAAAGGTGGAATATAAATGAAATAATATTGTTTTTCTCAAGCATGCTACTAAAATCAGCGAGAAAATGTTTGTGTGTGTGTATGTATGTATATTCAGTGTTGCTTTGCTTGGAAAATTCATTTTGGACTGTTTGCTTCTCTGTTATCCCTTCCAAAAATAAAAACCGCCAAGGTCAAAATGATACTTGTTTTGTGATGAGATGCAAAAAAAACCAACCCCCAAAAAACTCATTTGCAAGGGTTGGCATCGTTGTTGCAGCAATCTTAAACGAATCTGCCAAACATGGCAAGATGTTTGGCACCCACGTTTCAGCCCCCATTCAGAGGTAAGCGTGGGTATTCTGCTTAGCCCCTCTACACTGGCCTCTGGGGCGGTCCACTTCTTGCGACAGTCTGGTGGGGCAGGGGAGAAAGCTTGCAGAGCACAAAAAGGGCAAAAGGCTATGCGCTTGATTCCCCAACTCAAGCAGAAGGTCCCGAATGCTGGCGTACATTCTTAAGGCTCATTTCAGCTCAAGGCTCAAGTCCGGTGAGGTTTCCCTCGCCCTTCTCGCTACGCTAAAGTTCTACATACGCCAAGGCATGGTTTTGAAATCTGTGCGCAATAAGAGTCTTGGGAACGATTCTATGGTTTTAATGAAATGGTGGGATGTGAAAAGTCCCATGTTTATATCAATAATTTGCAAAGCTTTAAAAATAGCCTTGATCGACCCGCAAAGCTTGGGGCAGCTTCTGAAAAAGCCCACTTCTGGGTAGACTTGTGAAAAGGAGAGAGAGTGCGAAAAATATTGTGGATACTGTTGGAGATTACACACCACCTTTCCAAAGCATTGCAGCAAGGATGGGGAAATGTGCAGCCCCGCAGATGGACTCCCGACTCCCATCAGTCCCAGGCAGCATGGCCAATGGACAGGGATGATGGGAGTTGGAGTCCATCACCTTCTCTTGAAGGACCACAGGTTTTCCCATTCCCGCACTACAGAGTCAGCACAAGATAAAGGTTTTCATAGCTTCAAGGGGAGAAGCAACTCTGGATGCGACAGAAGAGTCAATTTTAGATTGCCTCTTTCCTAACTCCTGCAGCATTATCAAGCTTCTGTTTGTTTGTTTTCAGTGCTCTTCCAGAGCACACTGGAAACCGTTGTGGAGTTTCTCACCTCATTTGGGTGAGACGGATTGGTTTTCTCCCTCATCTGTTGGATTTGACCCCCAATTCCAACTCACCCAGGGCATAAAATTTCCTGGCAACCTGAGGAAGGTTTTAAACGAGGTCTTTGCACAGCAGTGATAAGAGCGGTCAACGTAAGGGTGAGGATTTGTAATCAGCAATTCGTTCTCTAAAAAGAGCCCAACCTCTGAAAATCTATACCAGGGGTCAGCAAGGTTTACCGATCATGGGCCGGATCACTCCCATGGAGATTGTCTGTGGGCCGGACTGGCGCAGCGCGACACCGAAAATCGTGTCTGTGCATGTCTGTGGCGCCGGTAATCGCTTCTGTGCATGCCCAGACACCGAAAACCACGCCTGCACAGAAGCGATTTTCGGCATCTGGACATGTGCAGACACAATTTCCGGTGTCCTGGGCCGGTAAAACAGTCTTCGTGGGCCGCATCCAGCCCATGGGCCACACATTGCTGACCCCTGATCTATACAAACCGATCTGCCTACAACACTGGGGTATCCCCAAGTGACATCAATGCAATACCCACGAAACACACCGGTCTGCAATTTCTTTGGGTTAAATGGAGAAGCAGCAGTTAAGCAAGAACACAGGGATGCATTGGCCGTTCTTACCTTGCTGGACCACTTTCTGGCTTCATCGTGGAGCTGCCTGGCAGCCATCATCATGGGCTGGTTGAGCACCTCCCCAGCCTTCGCCTCTGGGAACTCTTCATCCTTCTCTTCAGGAGGAGGGGGCCTGGGGGGAGGAACCTCGCCCTCTGGCAGCGGCGGCTTGGGAGGAGCAAGTTCATCTGTAAGCTAAGGGAAGAAAGGAAATGGGTTGCAGTACCCCAACGCAGAGATCCAATGCAAAATGGCCAAATCTATAGCAATCCACAGAATGGGGAATCTTCTTTTATTTTATTTTCAGCTTTTGCACCTGAGTTGTCCCTTTATTTATTTATTTTATACTTATTAGTTTTACATAGTGATTATTATACATGTCAAACATAACAATTCATACAAAAAAGAAAAAAAGACCTTCTGACCTCTATGGGTTCAATTTCTAGAAATTTGTTCCTGCATCTTTTACTGTAATCTATCTATTATAGATCCATAGTATCCAAAGTTTGTGTTACTTTACAAGTGTTATTGTATTCCCGCTAGTGATTTCAACTGTTTACAGTGGTCTCTAAGGTATGTTATAAAATTATTCTAGTCCTTAATAAAAATTTGGTCTTCCTGGTTTCTGATCCTTCCCAGGATGGGGAATTTTCAGTGCTTTGGGCAAACATTCCAAACTCAAATTCACAATTCTTTTGCCAAGCTGAGAATAATGAAAATTAAGACACCTACCCAAGAATATGATTTACATACTTCCTGGAGGGTTGGGCCAAGCATGAATGTGGCTCTCAGCCCTGAACTACATCCTCTTAAAATCCATTATGGTAGACTTTACAAAATGATCTCTTAAGTTAGCAACTGTTAGCAAAAGCGTCCTTCTTCCCTCTCACTTGGTTTTCTGATCTGCTAACCAGCAGGAAATTGTAGAAAGGGTGGGGGACAATAGCTCACTTCAGATGTCCTTCTATAGAGAAGGTAACTGAGGTTGTCTGGCGCTGGGGTTAAACCACAGAGCCTAGGGCTTGCCGATCAGAAGGTCGGCAGTTCAAATCCCCGTGACGGGGTGAGCTCCCGTTGCTCGGTCCCAGATCCTGCCAACCTAGCAGTTCAAAAGCATGTAAAGTGCAAGTAGATAAATAGGTACCGCTCTGGCGGGAAGGTAAACGGCGTTTCCATGCACTGCTCTGGTTCGCCAGAAGCAGCTTAGTCATGCTGGCCACATGACCCGGAAGCTGTACGCCGGCTCCCTCAGCCAGTAAAGCGAGATGAGAGCCGCAACCCCAGAGTCATCCGTGACTGGACCTAACGGTCAGGGGTCCCTTTACTTTTAACTTTACTAATGTGCTATCATATTATATATTCAACTCCTGCATTCAAATGCCCATGTTTTCAAGACAGCTTTCAAAGGCACGGACAGTGTTTTCTGAAATCTCAAAAATGAGCACCTACCCACCTTTAAGTTCTTCCTATTAATGGATGTGTTCACAACAACAGTTCCCCAAGTTCAAAGTTTATACATAATCACAGATGGCCTGAAAGGCACACGCTTGGCTTTAAACTGCTGCTTTTCTCAGCAAAATACAAGGACCCAGGAATCTGTTCTTTTCTTGCCACTTCTGTGGTTTTTGGTTGGATTACCTTCATACAGAGGGCATTGTACTCCGCTCTCAAGGGCCCCAAGCCCAAATGTGGCTTCGCAAGATGCTAAAGAAACAAAACTTGGGGACGCAATCTTGTGTGTATGCCAGCGTGTATTATATAAGAACACTGTGTGACTGGAATCAGATTTCAGCATTAAGTGATTCCACCCACACAAGGAAACCACAGCCATTTAAATAATTGAGAGTGGCTCAACCAAATGGTTGCAGATTACCTCTGTCCTTCCAGAGCAATTCTCCGTAACACGGCACTTACGTGAAGTTGCTCAAGATCAGGAGGCGGAGGGGGGAAGTCGGGTTCCTGGGGCTGGAAAGCCTCTCGGACTTTGGCCACAGCTCCCAGGATCCTGTAGCCGGAATCAAGGAAATTCTTCTGCAAACCTAGGAAAGGCAAGAGAGAGAGAGAGAGAGAGCGCTTAGTATTAAGTTTTGAAAATTCAGTAACAAGGCGCTTTGAAGAGTTGGAGAAAGCATCTTTGTCTAATGCTTACCGGGATCAGAAATATTTCCTGCCACAGCTTTCGCATCCATCACCATTGGCGAAATAGTTTTACTCAGGTCATCCGAGGCAGCTTTCACAGCTTCCCGAAACTTGGGATCCTCTGAGTTTTCCACCTCCTTCTTTGCCACTAACAAAATCCGGTTTGCTCGCCGGGCAATGCTGGTGGCCCCAGCGACAAGCATCTGCGGCTGAATGTTGGCCATCGCAACTTTGCACTTGTCCAGGTCTTTCTTAATGGCCTCCTCGGAAGCATCCAACAGAGACTTGGTATCAATTGCTTCGTCCACCATCCCTAGGGTAAGAAGTTTACAGATTTACCTCCCTTCATGTACACGGCAAGGGGAAATGACGCTGGAGGGGAAGGTCACCCTTAAATACAGGATGGAGTTCTGCTACCTTGGCCAGGTGAATTTGTCAGGGTACTGATTTGGTGCAATCCTGATTATGAGCATTTAAACTCTTATCACCCTTCTCACTTGGCTCTTGCCACCAGAGGGCCTCCAAATTCTATCAAATCCTCAAACAGGAATGGGTTTCATTTACACAACTGGGGATGAGTACATTTTTGTACTGCGGATAGTGGAAAACACGCAGATCAATGTTTCCCAAACTTAGGTCTCCTGCTGTTTTTGGACTACAATTCCCATCATCCCTAACCACTGGGTCCTGCTAGCTAGGGATTATGGGAGTAGTCCAAAAACAGCTGCAGACCCAAGTTTGAGAAACCCTGTGCTAGATTTACAGAAAGGGAACTCAGTGGGACAAGGGAACTTGGATGGAACTTCAATATGTAAAAATGGATGTCATATTTCTTCCTTAACAGCATCTGTGTGTGAACACAAAACACATCCAAATCTATATACAATTTCGCCGTAATGAACAAGTGATTGAAATAGAGTTGCATGACAATAATTTATCCAAAAGTTGTGTTTGTAGGCTGCCAGTGATCAGGCCAAGACATATTCCAAACAAAAGTATGGCACAATGTTTTCCTTGAGTCCACTGTGACTTTTTTTGGGTGTGTGGGGGGGTGACTTTTCCTTTTCTGTCACATGCTTAAGTCAACTGCATGAAGGAATTGCTCTTCCCTTTCTAGTTTCCTTCCAATTATATCTCAGGCTCGTCAACAGTGATTTGGGTCTACAAAACCATGGCCACAAGCTCCTCCATTTTACCTGTCATTTTTTCCACATTATCAATCCACTGGTTCTTCATGGTCTCAAAGTGCTCATAAGCAGCTTGATTTCCAGGATTCCTTAGAAGGATGCGAGCGGCAGATACTACCTGCCAATGCAAAAAACAGCCAAATATGATGGCAGTAATGATGCACAGGAACAGAAAGTAAGTGCACTGGGATTTATTTTGCAGTGTAGGTAATCTGAAAGTTAAGCATCTCTCATCTGAAATGAGTCCCAGTTTGGGGAGTTTCACAAGAAGTCTCCAACTGAAAGATGGATTTATACCACTCCAGAACACTCTGAGGTACAGTCGTACCTTGGTTGATGAACGCCTTGTGAGTCCAACATTTTGTTCCCCGAATGCCCCAAACCCAGAAGTGAGTGTTTGTGAACGTTCTTTGGAACCCGAACATTTGATGCGGCTTCCGATTGGCTACAGGAGCTTTCTGCAGCCAACCGGAAGCTGCGCCTTGGTTTCTGAATGTTTTGGAAGTCGAACGGACTTCCGGAACGGATTCTGTTCGACTTCTGAGGTACGACTGTACTGAGAATTTCCAAAGAGCAGAATTCCCAATTATGACATGGGGACTGCACAAAATTATTATTATTTAATTACCGCCTTTATTTAGAAGAAAACAACAACAAAATAAAGCCAAGAAATTACGGAAGTCTCTAGCGCAAATAGTAATTGTTAAAATACTTTCATCACGTGAATGTAAGTAGACTATTACACAACAGCTTGTAAAATTACTTTTTCTATACAGGAAATCCTTCAGATTTATTCCTACTCGAAGTACATGCTCCCAAAGTAGGAAACAGACGCCCAAAGGATCTGCTTATCCAGAGACCCAAGTGTGAAGACTGACCAGAGAGAGAACATATTACATGACAATCTGGTCAGTGAAAGATTCGCCATACACCATAAAAAGCTGTCCGGTCCTTCTTTCCTTAGGAGAATACGGTGGAAGATTATGGTGCTCTCTAGTTTTCAACTGAGCCTCAGAGGAAATTTTAAGCTGCTACTGAAAAACGCAAAAGGGGCAGGCACGATCCCAACGATGCTATGAACCATTCTTATGGAAGCCATCAGAGGAAATGAAGTTAACGCCAGCCACCCGGATTATGCCTGGATCCAGCTCCCACTGAAATTCCCTCCTCTTGCAGCTTTTTAGATTGTAGCTTAACTTCTAAAAGGTCTTTTTGGCCGAGAAGTGGGACGAAGCTATAAAATAAATGCAATGTTCACCTGAAAGTGTTCATTAATTTCAATGGGACTTAGAAAGTAAATCCTTAAGACTGCAGTCAAAGCGAGCCTCTGTTTCTGTAGGTTAAGCCAACCTATGCATACATTTTTATGAGATTTTATAGATTTTGATTTTTTTTACAGACTCCTAAAAATAGCCTACAATTTAAGGAAGTTACCCTCTCTCAACCTCTTGATTTGTGTGCTGTCTCTCACACAGCGAATCATCTCATCCTAATAGTTAAATACTCATGTTTTATTCTTTGACTCCTCTCATTCAATTTATTTACCGTATTTTTCCCTCTATAGGACACACTTTTTCCCCTCCAAAAATTAAGGGGAAATGTGTATGCGTCCTATGGAGCGAATGCAGGCTCCTTGTCTTCAGCGATAGCAACGCGAAGCCTCCAAAGCGCAGAGGGAGAGCTCCCCCCGCGCTCCGGAGGCTTCGCGTTGCTTTCGCTGAAGCCGCCTGAAGCCCCTGGAGCGCAGGGAACTTCCACTGCGCTCCGGGGGCTTCAGGCAGCTATCCGCAAGCCTTCAGAGCACAGCAGGAGTTCCCGCCACGCTCCGAAGGCTTGCGGATAGCCGCCTGAAGCCTGGAGAGAGAGAGGGGGGGGTCGGTGCACACCGATCCCTCTTGCTCTCCAGGCTTTGCTTCGCTGGAGAGGCACTGCACAGCGCCCCTTCAGAGAAGCGGGAGGAGAAATGGAAGGGGCTCCATTTCTCCTGCTACTTCGTTGAAGGGGCGCTGAGCAGAGAGGGGCAGATTTTTTTCCCCCCTGTTCTCCCCCTCCTATGGTCCAGTGCATCCTATGGTCCGGTGCGTCCTATAGAGCGAAAAATACAGTAACTTCAGGTTCAGATACTGGCGTCTCCAACCCCACTACATGCTTTTTGGAGATGAACTCTCTGAATAGAAACTGAACAACTGAATTTTTCATCCAGGTGAAGCTTTTGGTGGCTGCAAACTGAGCAAACTGGGGAACGTTCAACCAGAAGTGTGCAGATCTTTGGGCGTTCTGCAGTAGATCGGTGAGGATTTCTGACTTCCAATAGTTTAACAATAACAGCAGCAAAATGACCCCATTCTGTGGCATAAATTATACCAAGAAAATGAAGAAAGACTGGGGTAAATGAGAGTGGTTGCTGTCATTGTCAAACGACTTTGAGCTCCGATCAAAACCGGAGTTTCTGACAGTGAGAGGGAGAGATACCTGAGGGGTGAGCTCTCTTGCGGACTTCACAGTTGCTTGTATGCCTTCGACAGTACTTTTGTTGGCTGTTCCAACTGCAGCTGCCTTTTCTGCAGTAGCTCCAAGCCTGGCAGCATGGTTTTCAAAATTGGCTGCCCTGTCATCAAACACCTGAAAGTTGAAATACATCAACAACCACAGATTAAAAAATGCAGCCAGTTCAGAGTTTTATACCAAGCCAGGGGCCCATAGCAACTCACAGTAACCCATTCAATTACAGACTAGGTGCTTCAATTAAGGTTAGTTTAATCAATGATGAATTTATAATTCTTTGGCGATTTATTAAAAAACTAAAACTGTTCAGCAGAGAAACCGAGCTGCTAATCTTTCAGGGCTCTTTTGCTTTTTTTGCTGCAACCGACTAGCTACCCCTCTGAAAGATGAATAATAATAATAATTTATTATTTGTACCCCGCCCATCTGGTTGGGTTTCCCCAGCCACTCTGGGCGGCTTCCACAAAGACCAAAAATTTAGTGTATGTCACACACTAAAAACTTCCCTGAACAGAGTAACGCACACATTTCTTATGGACAGAACTCTTTTTGGCAATTCTAAGCCCTGGTTTCTCCTGCCCACCTAGCAGTTTGAAAGCACGTCTAAGTGCAATTAGATAAATAGGTAGCACTCCGGCAGGAAGGTAAACAGCGTTTCCGTGCGCTGCTCTGGTTTGCCAGAAGCGGCTTAGTCATGCTGGCCACATGACCCGGAAGCTGTATGCTGGCTCCCTCGGCCAGTAAAGCGAGATGAGCGCCACAACCCCAGATTCGGTCACAACTGGACCTAATGGTCAGGGGTCCCTTTACCTTTAACCCCTGGTTTACACACACAAGGCTACAATGATAATGGGCGTGAATGCGCCATGATAGATATGAGTACCAAAGACAGAGCTTTCCTCAGATCACCTTAAAAGCGCAATTCTTTTCAAGGAAGATGGTTCAGTCAGTCCGTTGTCACCAACCTGGTGCCCCCAGACTCCGAGCTTCCATTAAAAAGACATGTGACAAAATGTAAAGGTACCCTTCCAAGTGATTTCTGTGGAATGTGAGTGGCATGTCTGCCTTGTATATTTTTTCTGGTACTGAGGAATACTCCCTGTTGTCATTAGATAGCAATAACATCTGTGTGTGACCTCCACTGTAAGGACCAGAAGGACACAACTGACTTCCTGTGATAAGCATAAGGTTGTTGGGGTGGCTGTCTCTCTCATTTTGTGTTAAGTCACACAACCCAGGGCAGCCATTTTGTGACTGGCACCCGCAGAACACTCAAGACTCAGAATGTACCCCTACTCCAAAACATTTGGCTACACCTGGATTAAGTTATGGTAATGTTGCAAACTGTGGACACCAATTGCATTCTTTTTCCTCAGGGGTGGGGGGTGGGGAAACCATTTAAGTATAAAAAGTCTAACATCTGACTATTACTTTGGCCTACACAGAATTATAGTTGCTCACTGTAACTTAAAGACTGGTGCATGCTGGGAACAGACTCACCTCGTCCCTGTTGGGGGCGTCTGGAGGAGCAGTAGCCGCTACTGCCAACAGTTTGATTGGTGTTGTTGTGTCGCTGAACACATCAGATACTTCCTGGGTCATGGCTTCTTGCATCCTTGATTTCAGATCCTTAATAGGAATGCAAACGCTCCGTGTCAAAACACAGAAATGGGTTTGCCATGATGAAGTGCAGTGCAAAAGTAAAACGCTGGATCTGAATATGGACAGCCTAGGTTCAAACAAGGCTCAGCCATAAAGCTGAAGTTACAAACAGATAGGAGACCTTCAGAGATGGACCGTGAGAAGGACCGTGACAGTAGGGCCCCTGACGCCCCACTCCCAATTCACCATCTAGCTAGATTTTTAGTCTATATCCCTAACCCAGAACACTAAAAAAGCAAAGCTAGGAAAGAAGGGAGGTTGCTATTAAGAATGTGAGGTGGCTGACGTGGAGCAAGACCAACATGGCTCCACACTAGTGCTGTGGTCTAAATGACTGAGCCTCTTGGGCAGGTTTCCTCAAACTTCGCCCTCCACATGTTTTTGGCCTACAACTCCCATGATCCCCAGCTAACAGTACCAGTGGTCAGGGATGATGGGAACTGCAGTCTCAAAACATCTGGAGGGCCAAGTTTGAGGAAGCCTGCTCTTGGGCTTGCTGATCAGAAAGTCGGTAGTTCGAATCCCACGATGGAGTGAGCTCCCGTTGCTCTGTTCCAGCTCCTGCCAACCTAGCAGTTCGAAAGCACGCCAGTGCAAGTGAATAGGCAAAGCTGTGGCGGGAAGGTAAACGGCATTTCTGTGCACTCTGGTTTCCATCACGGTGTCCCGTTGCGCCAGAAGCGGTTTAGTCATGCTGGCCACATGACCTGAAAAGCTGTCTGTGGGCAAACGCCGGCTCCCTTGGCCTTAAATCGAGATGTGTGCCATAACCCCATAGTCGCCTTTGAATGGACTTAACTGTCCAGGGATCCTTTAGCTTTTATTGAGCAAGAACTGGGCCCAATCCACAAGAGTTCTGTGAGGAGCTCTATGCCCCAAACTGCCAAACGTCACTTCCGTCAGGAAATGGCCAGCAATGGGTGGTAGGGGTAATTGGAATTGGAATTAATTGGAATTAAGTTAAATTAATGGAGGATGCACAGCAGCAAAAGAATGTAGATTGTGTCCAAAGCATTTATGTCTATAATCTATGTTGCAAAGACCAGTAGCTTGAACAGGAAGATTCTCTGGCTTTGTTAGTTAACGCATATAGACTGGCAACACACTGTCCGACATGAGCTCTTCCTTCTCTTTTCAAATACTGTTTTTATTTACCTTCAATGAGTCCTGCAGCTGGGCAGCAATTGCCTTGGCTTGAGGAGATTCCCCTTCGCCTCGTGCTGCCAGGTCAGCTAACTGGGCAGCCAGCTGTTCCACACGGTCACATTTGGCGAGCAGGTCCTGGCGATAAGGTCCCAGCATGACATTGGCAAGACGGCGACCTTCGGCCACAAGACCCCGGATGGCAGCCTGACCTGCATTGAAAGTGATTCATCTTGCTTAATTTATGGAGCAAGAGAAATTAGAACAGTAGTGCCACCACTGTCAAGAGATCAGGCTGAGGAGTACTGCTTTGATGAGGAATGGTGGGAGCCTCCCCCTGCTCCTGACCAGGCTCCTGAAGCTGCCCAGGAGCAGTGAAACAGTATAGATTTGGAACAATGGTTTGCAGAGGGGCACAGTTCTGAAGACAAACTGGCGGTTGAACAGCAAAGTGAAGAAGAACTGGGAGAGAAAGAGAGCTAACAGACTCTCTCTCGCTGGAGAGTGTCCAGCCTATCAGTCCAAGGTCACGTAGAGTAGATAAGGTGGCTACACAAAAAGCACAGTGGTTGTGAAATCAGGTTGCAAGGCACAGAAGTGACTAGGAGGGAAGTGGGTGGAAACCTTAACTGGGAACACCATCATTCCGAGAATGGCTGCTTTGTTCTTTTGCTGTGATCATTAAAATCTCTTTAAATGGTAAGCGACTCTTTTCGCTTTGTCCTGCTTATCTATGGCCAAAGGGGGGGGGGGCGGGAACCAAGTCCCTGAAGCCTGACAACCACTCTCGAAAGTAAAGCAGAGTTGCCATTGTTAAGCTTTAGTGCCAGCATAATCACTACCTTCCCCTAGGTACTCTGAAATGCTACCATGCTGCAACACGTCCTCCCTAATAACTAGGCAGCCCTATTTTCTCTGTAGTTTTCCGGGCTTATACGAGTCGGCTTTGGGATGTCCCACCTGAAGTCATCACAGAGAAAAGACCACTTGTGAAGGGGATTTCTGTGCAGGTTAAAAAAAAGATGGCCTCATGGTGCTATATAGATTTTTATTTTGGGCTGCCCGTTGTTTTCAATTACTCATTCTCCAGTTTGCCTAAGATTCCCGATCATTTATTTGTTATCTTATGTTTAGCAGAGGTTGTTCTTTGTTATTTTGTTGGCTTCTGCTGTCCTCGCTCCTGGATTTTCCTTGATTGAGATTCCTGCATTGCAGATTAGATGACCCTATATTATAATATTTCCCCAGCCACTGTGGGCGGCTCCCAACAGATTATTAATAATAAAGAGATATAACATCAAACATTAAAGCTTCCCTTGTGGTCCCTCTTCCAACTTGATAATTCTCTGGTTCTTTGGCTTCCCAGAATAGAGAGCTGCCGGTTCCAAAGGAGAGGGAGGGATTGTTGGAAATGATTGTTGGAGCAGCGATTTTGCATTGAGCCACTAGGTGGACCTCAACTCCCACCTGAGTTCATGTTCACACGCACAGAAAAATTAAAACACTCACCTACTCCACGGTCATCAACTGTAGGGTTGTCTATCCATCTCTGAGCTTGCTCAATCTTCCCTTCTAGGTGGACAGCAGCCTTGGCAGGCCTGCTGTTTGCAACAGCCCTGTTGGTTTTAGACTGCAAATTCTGCAGCGATGTCGCTATTTGCTTTGCTAATGCACGGGCTTCGGGAGAATCCCCCTTTCCACTGCAGAGAAGAAGAAAAATCTGTTAAGGAAACCTCATTAAAATCAGTTCAAAAAGTAGGTTGGTTTCTGTTAATAAGACGTTTACGTATCGTAGCTGTGAATATGCTATTTACTACGCTTAACTGCATTCAACAAAGCACTGTGGTCTGCATTTTCACAAAGGATGAGTCAAGGCAATCTTTAAAAAAGGAAAGCAAGTAGCTTAATGAATGAAAGCAATTCCGGCAAGGAAAGTTCAACTAACAACACCAAGTGAAATTCTTCATTGAAGACCATTTCCGACACATTTAAAAATACTGGGGCCCTAGCAACACTACAAATGCATGTCACTTAAAGGTAAAGGGACCCCTGACCATTAGGTCCAGTCGTGGCCAACTCTGGGGTTGCGGTGCTCATCTCGCTTTATTGGCCGTGGGAGCCGGCGTACAGCTTCCGGGTCATGTGGCCAGCATGACTAAGGCGCTTCTGGCGAACTAGAGTAGCGCACGGAAACGCCATTTGCCTTCGCACCGGAGTGGTACCTATTTATCTACTTGCACTTTGACGTGCTTTCGAACTGCTAGGTTGACAGGAGCAGGAACCGAACAACGGGAGCTCACCCCGTTGCGGGGATTCAAACCGCCGACCTTCTGATCAGCAAGTCCTAGGCTCTGTGGTTTAACCCACAGCGCCACCCGCCAAGGCTTCTTCCAAATAATCCTGGGGTATGGTAGTTGGGCAAAGTGCAGAGAATTCTGTTGAGAGATCCGTTGCACACACATCCTAAACCGAGCTGGACACTACGATCATCATTTGAGGGCGCTTTTCATGCACCTCCTATGCTAGAAGTCTGGAGGGCAGCAACACAAGAGCAAGCCTTTTCTGTGGTGGCCCCGCACTTGTGGAATGCTCTCCCCAGGGAGACTTGCCTGGCACCTTTGCTACATCTCTTTAGGCAAAAACATTCCTCTTCCCCCAGGCCTTTGACTAACTGAACGATCTCTGGCAGGTGTTGTTTTTGTTATGGTATGTATTCTTTCTGTTTTATTGCAAATTGCCCTGTGATCTTCGGATGAAGGGCGGTATACAAATCATAGCTACAAAAACGATGATTGAAGGGTTGAAGGGCAGTATAGAAATGTAATAAATCATAGCTACAAAAACAATGATTCCCATAGTTGTGTGGGAAGAGGAAATGGCCACTGAACTAGTTCCAGTCTCTGGTGTGGACATGCCAAGAGAACGCTTTCCTTCGCCAACAGAAGCTAATGGGACAGCCATACAGCCATACTGCTAGCCAGTCATAAACGCACAAAGCAAACTACAGAGTCCATGAGACTTAAGACCAATGGAACTTACATGGAAGCAGCCATGCTCATGTCAATACTTACTGTTTCCGGAGGTCCGACAACTTAGCAGTCAGCGCCGAGATTTCTCCGAGGGACCGCAAAATGTCGTCTCGCTCTTTGGGGTCCTCGCAGAGCTCTGCAATTTTCCTGGCTTCAGCCATAATGCCTCGAATGTGTTCCTCTCCTTCGCTTCCCCCATGAGGATCTGCCAGCCAGCTCTTGATGTAAAAAGAACATGTTGACGCACAAAGATCCACTTACAGTATTTGAACCTTTTGTGGTGCAATAGTCTGAAATGCTATCGTACACCTCAAATTTAGCTAGGTTGAAATAAATATATTGATGTTCTTTTTCTTTTAAAAAAAGTAAGTAAGATTTTGTTTGAGTTTTAAAAAGATATGGGAGGACAAGATTAACAAAGCTGAAATATGGCCTCGGCCCAGTATACCTGAAGGAGCATCTCCACCCCCATCGTTCAGCTCGGACACTGAGGTCCAGCTCTAAGGGACTTCTGGCAGTTCCCTCACTGTGAGAAGTGAGGTTACAAGGAACCAGGCAGAGGGCCTTCTCAGTAGTGGCACCCATCAGATGTCAAGGAAATAAGCAACTATCTGATTTCTAGAAGATATCTGAAGGTAACCCTGTTTAGGGAAGTTTTTAATGTTTGATCATGTTTTTACTATTCTGTTGGGAGCAGCCCAGAGTGGCTGAGGAAACCCAGCCAGATGGGCAAGGCATAAATAATGAAATTATTATTATTATTATTATTTCTGAAACAGAAGTGCATCCTTGAAAGTCACACCTTTGCAGGAAGAGACCTTAAAAATGTCATGCTAGAACACTCCCCTTTTCTCTCTTCCACCTTGACATGTGAACGCCAGAACAGGAGTCTTGCTCCACAAACAGCTACTCTTCAAGAAAGATGAAGGGTACGACTTGCAAGAATGTGCCCAAGCCTTTCAAAGTACTGCAAGAGGAAGCCCTTATCTGAGAGCCATTGGTGGACAGTCTTTAAAGCAGGTATGAGGAACACATTGCACTGCCGAAGATGTTGGACTACAAAGCCCCATCGGCTCCTCACCACTGGCCATGGGGCTAGCTGGGTCTGATGGGAGCTGATTCCCTGTCCTCCCTTTAAAGTCAAATAACTGCAACGGCTGAAACAAAATAGGATGCCCTGGCTAGAAGAAATCCAAATTATATTATTAATATTGATTCGCTTCCTATGAAGCATCACAAAACAATACAAGACGCATATAAATCTGCTGCAAATGCAAAATGCATAGAAAGCAACAGCGTATTTAAAAATGATTAAGGCAAAGCAATTTGAAACCCATTCCAGAGATTGACTGGCGTGAAACAACTGAAGGAGGACTCAATGTAAGAATTAACCTGTATGCTAGTTTGCCAGGACCCATCGCGGTTCAGCGGAACTGGGAGGGATCATTTGGACTGCGATTACCTGAGCGGCATCAATTTTCTTTGCAATTGCCTGCTTAGAGTTGGTCATAGCCTCCAGCTTGCGAGCTGCATTTTCCACTTTTGCTGTGAGTAAATCCAAGCCTTGGGACACTTGCTGAGCCTTCTGCAAGGCTAGCGGTGTAGCACCTTGTCCTCTGTTCAAGGGGAAAGAAAGGCATGTAAAACCCAACACACTCTTGCAGTTATAGCCTATTGACTTAACTAATCCCATATAATAGCTCAGTAAAGGTAAAGGACCCCTGACAGTTAAGTCAAGTCCAGTCGCAGACACTGGGGTTGTGGCACTCATCTCACTTTACAGGCCAAGGGAGCCAGTGTTTGTCCACAGACAGTTTTTCCGGGTCATGTAGCCAGCATGACTGAGCCGCTTCTGGCAAAACCAGAGCAGCGCATGGAAACGCTGTTTACCTTCCTGCCAGAGCGGTACCTATTTATCTACTTGCATTTTTCACATGCTTTTGAACTGCTAGGTTGGCAGGAGCAGGGACCGAGCAATGGGAGCTCACTCTGTCGCAGGGATTCGAACCTCTGACCTTCAGATCGACAATCCCAAGAGGCTCAGTGGTTTAGACCACAGCGCCACCTGCATCCCAATAGCTCAGTAGTTGCTGCTGATTTATATAAGAAGTAGTATTGTAGGATGCAAGCAAGAACTGCAAAGATGGAGGGAAGTTGTCTCTACCCCTGAAAGCTGGGGGCCTCAATGCCCGGGGCAGGGAATTGGTGTTACTCCTGCCTGAACCACCTTTCAGACTACAATCCGTTCATTTCAGACTGCACTTTGTTCTCTTTTCCTTGCTGCAATGAAATTTGCGGAGGACAACGTACTTTGTGTGCTGTCACAATGCTGATTAATAAACCACTCAGTGAAAGCTGCCCATTTGCTGCCAATAATGCTAAAATTCAAAGGAAGCATTTCATGCATGTTGAACTGTTAAAATTGCTTTGGCTTAATTGGAAAGCAAGTTTTGAAGACTCCGGGATCCATTCTCCAATCCAGATGTGAAAGCATAAGTGTATTTTTTCTAGGCAGTACAATCAGGCCTCCATAAATCCACTCATCAGTTCATCAACGACAAGTCCCCCTGAAAGGTTCTCAGCGTGACATTAAATGAGCATAATGCTCATGCCGCTTCTGCCAGCTCCAAGTTGCATAATAATTTTTTAAAACCCTGCTCTTTCCTGAGTTTTCTGGCAGACACAGTACACCAGGTGGAGGAGAGGGTTCAGTGGCAACCAGAAACGACAGAAGGCTAGCAAGTCATGTGAAAATTCATGTATCCCAGAGTGTAGTTAAGATCAGAACTAGAATGCAAATGTGAAATCAAAACAGAGAGGCCCTTAAATGAGGAACTAAATAAGCATTAAGGGCCAGATAAGGGGGCACCTACACGATTCAGCCACTTCTCCCCAACTCAAAGCCATCTTTATTTTTAAATGGAAGAATGTGCACATAAGCACTTCCCTTTAAAACTGGGGAAGGTCTATGCTCCTTTAAATAAACGGGAGACCATGCACACCCAAGTCAACATTGGCAAACATGAGATCTTCCAAATAACCAATAGGGATGTTGATGTGATAATGAATCAGATCACATTATTTAAAAGAAGAACAAAACAACAACTGCTCGGTGTTTTAATACGCAGAAGGTTGTAATCAACACAGCAATGTAGCCCCACTGAAGTCAAATAGGTTTCAATTTGTTACATCCACTGATTTCTGCAACTGAATATGCCTTAGGTGGATTCAACCCACAATCACTTGTGCATTTGGGTTTCCTGAAGGAGTGGAGGAAGAAATAGCACAAAAGGAACAGAAAGCTTTGGCAAGACAAGAAGATGATGTACAGATGGTACACAACACCAGTGCAGTTAGGGAAAATGTACAAAACTAGTTCAAATATATGTTGGAAGTGTAAGGAAAAGGAGGGAACATTTTATCATATGTGGTGGGATTGTAAGGTAATTAAAAATATTTGGGAAATGATATACAACGAATTGAAGAAAATGTTCCATTTAACATTTGTTTAAAAACCCGAGGCATTTTTGTTGGGGATTGTAGGGAAAGACCTGCCAAAAAAGTTGAAAAACATCTTCATGTATGCGACAACGGCCGTGAGAGTTCTGGTAGCACAAGGATGGAAGACTGAAGAAACCCCAACTAAAGAATCATGGCAAGAAAAATTGATGGACTATGCAGAACTGGCAAAATTGACATATAAGCTACGGGACAAGGATAACTGTGATTTTAAGGATGAATGGAAACCTTTTACAAAGTATCTGAAGACGCAACAAAGTGAACTGGACTCCTTGGCAGGTTTTGAATAAACATTCACAATTTTTTTACTGATAATAGGATCTATACAACTTTGTAACATGCAGAAAACAGCATTATTAGAGAAACCAAAGACTGGAACTGAGGGAAGTCGGGGGTGGGGTGGGGGGTGGGTTCTGTGTGGGAGGGGGAGGGGGAGGGAGGAAAAATGGGGGGGAAATAAGGATGATATGTTTTTGGATAATATGTCTTGTTATAATTTTGAATAAAAAAAAGAAAAGAAAAAAAAAAGAAAGCTTTGGCAAGACAAAACTGTGCATGAACTGAATTACAGGAATCCTCCATGAAAATTATGGAGGCAGGTGGGGCAGAATGCAGGGCAGAGACAACGCACAGAAACATGATGTCCACCACTATTAGTATGTTGGCAAAATAAAGACATTTAATTTATCTTTTGTGTTGCTTTCTTAGAACGGCAGGATTGCTATTTCATAGTCCCAGGGTTAAACGTATTTAGTTAGCGAGAATATGTTTACCTAGCTCGAAGATCAGCCACTTGGTCAGTCAATTGGCCAAGCATTTTACAGGTTCCTAGAATCTCTCTGCGTTCTTTGCCTGCACAGAGCTCTCCAACTTTCCCTGCTTCATCCAGGATCTGCCTTATGGCTTGCTCGCCAGAGTCTCCTAGGAAGCAAGAATGTGGGAATGCAGACAATGAAGACTCATGCATTATTCACACCGGAGAAAATTACTGAATGTGTTGTACAAGAAATATAATCCGTCGTAATATAACAGCGTACTTGCAGCAGGGTAACGTTGTTGTAGAAATAGGCATATCATTTCAGCGGATTAGGTATAATGCACGCCACTAGAACCCAATTAATTTCAATGCTAAGACTAAAGTGGGAGTTATTTTTCTCCTGCATAATTTTAGAGAAAGAATGACACATACACTTTTCAAAAATTTCCCTGTGTTTCTGTTCTTCGGCATGTACAGCAATCTTTACAACTGTGATAGCGCCATCTCCTGGAGGTCCTCCAGATGTTGTTAGACTACATCTCCCAGCATCCCTGACTGTCAGCCACAGGTGTGGCGCTACCATTGGGTAGAACTGGGCAACTGGCGGGGAGACAGCAGCAGTGTGGCATTGGAGAACACAGCTGTGTATGCCACGTACCCTGTCCTGCACGCCTTAGGTTTTCCTGCTGCCTCCCAGTGTTGTGAAATATGCTGTTCCATTGCCTGTCTTGGAAGTACAAGTCTACCAGTCTGACGAGCTTTGGTATATGCCATGGGACTGGGGCACCATGCCATCCTTTGCTTTGGGTAGCAAAATGTCTTGGGCCAACCTTGATTGGTCATGCTGGCTAGAGCTGATGGGAGCTGAAGTCCAACAGCACCTTGAAGGCCACAGGTTAGCTACCTTTGCTTTAGAGCAGGGTCTCCAGCTGTTTTTGGACTACAACTCCCATCATCCCTGACTTGGCTATCTAGGGATGATGGGAGTTGTAGTCCAAAAAGAGCTGGAGGCCCAAGTTGGGGAAACACAGGTTCAGAGCATGTGAAAAGTACCCGGGCCATAAAGTATACATAGTATAAGAAAACTTCCAGTTTAGTTTGATCTCCTGTCCAAAGCAACATCTTTACTTTATATGTGGAAAGGAAAATAAACAAGATTCTTCACAATCCAAATCCAGCAACGTTTCATGAAGTTAACTCATGACGGTATGACATATACACTGCACTTTTATAGGCTTTTCTTACGGGTTCCAGTGAATAAAATACAGATGCAAAATCTGATCCATGCTCTCGAGAGCCAACATAACCAAGTCAAGATGCAGAGGCAGCATTAAATTTTATCAGTTCCACTGTTCCACCCTTGTATGCTTATTTTAATGTAGGACACATTTTGGAACAGCAGAGCTCTGCTAGTACGGTAATAAATATGCGACATCTTTCCAAGAAGAGCAGCTGTACCAGAATACTAATTTGGAAAGGGTTCCGAACTAAATAATTTGGATGGTAAGATAAGCAAAGCTTTCCAAACCACTTAGCATAGAATCAATTTGTTTTGCATTAATATTTGAAAGAACAGTGTCTTAAGAGCTTCCATTTGGAGTACCACAGTAATGCTGTAACTGAGTTATCACATCACAGACTAGCTTACAGCTTGTTGTTCAGCATCCCAAGAATCTCAGCTTTCATTTTAATGATAATAACTGTTAAGTTGTGGGTGAACATATCAGACGACACGGCGATTCTTCAAACAGCTCTTGTTTATTCACGGGCTAGAACAGAACTGAACTGAAGGATTCAGCCAGCCTGCTTATATAGAGCTCCACTACAACGCAACTGTAACACTTTCTGTAACTATCCAATCATTGAACGTCACTTTCAATCCCTTATTTGCATATGTGGACCTGAGTGAAAACTATCTACAGTATCCCCCTGCTGGCCCAGGGTGAGAACTTCAGTACATATCAATAACAGTGCTAAGAGTGCTAGCTGTTTAAAAAGGTGACACACAGGACTTCAAATTCAGGCTCAAGAGAGTGTAGGCCATGCCAGTTACTCAAAGGTTGGGGAGAGGACAGAGCTAAGGAGTATTTCCAGGGATGGCTCTTCCATGTCCCGGATAGCTCTTTGCCCTTCCCAACTATTTACAAGAGCAAAATATGCTATGGAAAAATAAAAATAAGCTTGGTGTATATTGGATGGGGGACGAAGGGCTTGATTTATGCAAATTGCATATTCTTGGTACAGAATTGTCCTCAGTACAGAATTTTTGCCTTCCCATCCTAAGTGTGGGTCCAATTTTGATCAAAAGCAGCAAGGACTTAAAGTTACCTGCTGGAGCGTTGGGGTCTCTAAGCCAGCCCTTGGCTTGGTTCATCTTGGAATCTATTAAGGCCAATGCTCTCTTCATAGCTTCTGTATCCTTTTAGAAAGAGGGGAGGAAAGGCAGATTATCTTAATTATGTCCCACAAAATGCAAGTATGGGAGCAACGGCAGAAACACAAAGTGAAGCACAACTCGCGGAAGAACCAACAGCTTAATGTTAAGTATCAGACACATTCCTGTCACTCAAAATGCAGAAGGCCGCAGCATGCATTGTTTTAAGGTTTTATTTCCCAAGCGAACACCAACTCCAGAATGAGGTATGGGCTTTTCAGAACTACCCTAAATGTTAAATATTTAATCTTAAAAAAAGAATAATGAAACCACCACACAATTCTCTGCATGCATTCTCCATTTTTCGACGCCCGCTAGGAGAGTGGAATAGCTCCAGTTTGCTGTAATCTAACACAGGTGTCATGGATGCAACCCAGGTTCGGAGGAGGAAAGCACAGGTGTCAAGGCCATGTTACCAGGTGCGTTTTTTTTTAAAAAAGGATTTATTAATTCATCCATTCAGGCACTCTCAGTCATACACATTCACATATGCTCTGCAGCGATAATAGTTATATGGCGGCTTGGTCTAACCAGATGGCCAGCCAAGTAGCACAGATGGGTGGGTGGAGATGGGGAAGTGGTGGAAGATTCTTACTGCTCCCACGGGTGCGACAGAAGTTTTTGCCCCAAAATACCCCTGTCCCCAGAGTTCTCATATTCCACTCCCTCTGTTTCTTGATATATGACAAGTAGACCGACATCACAATTACAGATGTGACCACAGGAGTTATCAGGGTACTTCTAGGGAAATGGGCACCTCTGACCTAGAATATGACATATCTTCCAAGAAGCGTTATTTTTTGAAGACTGATGTTTCGCTTAAAACAAATTCCTATTTATTTCCTATTTTCCTTTTTTTGCAATCTCATCAAGCTCACCTTTATTTCCAGCTTCCATTCATCCTTCTAATTCATACAGTTCATACTGATTACATTTAAAATCCCCTAAAATACACAAATAAATTTACAAAAATATTCAGAGGCTCATTTTGCAGAATCATAACTAACTGATTACTTATGAACTGCAACGTCACATTATAAGCTTTCCAAAAAACCCCAAATCTTCTGCTTCTTACTATACAGTGGTACCTCGGGTTAAGTCCTTAATTCGTTCTGGAGGTCCATACTTAACCTGAAACTGTTCTTAACCTGAAGCACCACTTTAGCTAATGGGGCCTCCTGCTGCCGCTGCACTGCCAGAGCCCGATTTCTGTTCTTATCCTGAAGCAAAGTTCTTAACCTGAAGCACTATTTCTAGGTTAGCGGAGTGTGTAACCTGAAGTTTATGTAACCCGAGGTACCACTGTATTATCTCTCAGTTAGTTACAGTGTCGTAGCATGGTTTGCCAACTCCCCGGGCCACGCAGAGGTAGAGGTGGGTGGGAGAGAAATGGATGGAGTACGCATGCGCATTCAACTACCTAACAATATCACCCAGGAGATCGCAGCCACAGAGATAAGAAAAGAAGAGTCCTTCCGTTGTCACTTCCTGGTCTGTGCCCCCCTCCCCCCAATGCCACTGGTTAGTTAGTTGCTTTATCTTGCCCAAGGCAACCCGAAGTGACAAGCAAACAATTCACAGACAGACTCATGCCTGGGCAAGATCAGCAATATGATATATACTGCAAGCAACAATAGCAAGAAATGCAGCTTTAACATACTTGTTTCACAGGAAAAGAGCCTTTGGAAGTAGGTAGTACGATCAAAGGAGGAATGTAAAAGATTGATTGGTTTCTAATTGCTTAGAAAATGCAACTATTCCTCTAAGGAACTGGCTGGCCAGGGGTTCACTCTGTTTCCCAGACTGGTCCTCCTCCAAAGCCAAGGACATGGACCCCTCTTACAATGCACCTCAGGTGCTTTCCACTGCATGAGCCAACATGCAGGTGAAGGTGATTCTCCATCACCACCTCCGCAGCAACAGAAGCTATATCTGAAACTTATGCTCCATAGGTGCTTGGCGGTGTGTAGCTTGTCGTCCGCAGGTATTAGAGATGCTTCAGGAATTCTTAGCCGATATCGGAGGGGAAGCGGCCTAATCTGAAAGGTCTGCCCAAGTTTGTGTTGGTTCATGCTGAGGAGGAAGGAGTTGCAAGGACCCTTTCCCTGTGCCATGGCAGAGAAGCAAGTTTTCAGGTAAAGCCAACATTACTGATCTTTCAAGCTCTCACTTGATGCAAAATAATATGGCCCCTTTATACAGATGACTTGCCAGCATAATATCTATGAAGTGATATAGTCTGGAGAGCCTGAGCCTTATCTGCATTTCATTACCAAAAAAGGCAATGCTCAAAGGAACACACCAAACCCAACTTTCTGACACAACTGCTAAGTCAGTCACCACGTATAGGCTCTCTAACGTCTCTTGGTACCAGAATCTTTGGAGAGCATACAGCCAACTAGAGCGGAACGCTTTCTAGGAATCTAATTCACATACTGCAGACTAAAATGGGAGGGAGGGGTAAACCCATGGAGTCTGCTCATAAGACACTACACAGCATCTAGATGGTTACAGGTTAAAATCAAAAGGGCAACAAGGATTAATCTGAAGAAGGTATTCCGTTTGCAGCTCGGGGATTTTCTCTCTGGGAACTAATCAGAATAGAATCACACAGAGAGAAAAAGCACAGTATCGTTCCCCTGTCTTCAAATTTCAAATTACACCCCCCCAAGACAAAAGGAGCACAAACTAATTATTATTATTATTAAATAAAGGTAAAGGGACCCCTGACCATTAGGTCCAGTCATGACTGACTCTGGGGTTGCAGCGCTCATCTTGCTGTATTGGCCAATGGAGCCGGCGTACAGCTTCCGGGTCATGTGGCCAGCATGACTAAGCCGCTTCTGGCGAACCAGAGCAGTGCACGGAAACGCCGTTTACCTTCCTGCCGGAGCGGTACCTATTTATCTACTTGCACTGTTGTGCTTTCGAACTAATAGGTTGGCAGGAGCAGGGACCGAGCAATGGGAGCTCACCCCGCCGCAGGGATTCGAACCGCCGACCTTCTGATCGGCAAGCCCTAGGCTCTGTGGTTTAATCCACAGCTATTAATTGAATAGGGTGTCCTTATTTTCATTGGGAATTTTTTGGAGGGTATGGGTTTATGTGACATGGGAGAATATTTCAACCTACACCCACCTGCATTCTGCAATGGTACAATCTTAGCAATACAGTCGTACCTTGGTTCTCAAACACCTTGGTACTCATACATTTTGGCTCCCGAATGCCGCAAACCCTGAAGTAAGTGTTCCAGTCTGTGAATGTTTTTTGCAAGCCGAATGTCAGATGTAGCTTCCGCAGCTTCTGATTGAGTACAGGAAGCTCCTGCATCCAATCGAAAGTCGTGCCTTGGTTTTTGAACATTTTTGGAATTTGAATGGACTTCCGGAATGGATTACGTTCGAAAACCAAGGTACGACTATATGTGCTTTTGGCTTTGGCTGCAAGTAGAAAACTTCAAGTAGAATTCCTTTCAAATGGTCAGACAAATGTTCGCATAACCGTGCAAAAGAAAATCTGTTAGTTGTCTTACAGTGCAACCACATACTTGACTGTTCAGCAGCAAGTCCCACTGAGTCTTAGGTGTGGATGGGGGAAAAGCAAGGCAATGAGAGAATAAACAGCAACCTTCTTAGTCTGCTCTCTGACAGATCAGGAAATTACATCACTGACAGGTAATCTATAGCAGCAAAGCTTAGCATTAAATATTATAACCCTGCACAGAGAAATATTGGCTGCAATCCAGTATGTGCAGAAGAAGCCCCACGGCTGCCCTATGGGGGATATTGGTCCATGAATACAAGCCATTCAATGGCAGACAAGACAAGGGAAAACTCCATATTGAGCTCCTAGTTTGCAGCTTAATAGTTGAAAGGTGTGGGTGGATTTTTCTGGCTAGTCAACATTTTCCTTCTAAAAAGGTATAAAGCCCAGGAATAGATTCCTTTGTTCTCCACAGCAGCTCCCAGTGCAGAGTACGAAAGCTCTCATTCTGAAAGATCTATCGGTTGAGTTAGTACCTTGGCGATAAATATATATCAGAATGAATTCTAAATGCCAGCAGGTATTTCGGGGGGGGGGCAGGGGGAGCTTACTAAACAGGAAAGGGGAGCTACAGTCAGGATTGTTCTTGAGCATCTTTCCATCTGAAAGCCTTTCCATTTCAGAAGATGCCCCTATTTCAAAGGTGCTTCTTACACAATATGCTCTCTTTGAACCCATTCTGATATCGCTGGATGAACTCTTCCCCTCTTTTAGAAACCACATCCACTCCCAATGCCTAAAAAGGTAGGTTTCCCCTAACAGGGGTATTTGTAATACCCAAATATGGACAATGGGGGTGGATTGGTAGAAAGCCATTCAGCAGAAAAATACCAGCCATTTTTAATACAAGGCAGGATTTTTCAAATGCCACGGGAAACCCAGACAATCTCCTAGGGCTTGGGGTGTGGCTCTATCAGATTCTGAACTGAACAGTTTTTGTTGCTGCAGCAAGCCTTCTGGAAAAAACCCTGTAAGAATACATATGATATCCAGGACACACACAGCTGCTTTCCTCAGTTCACAACAATCAGCAGTCGAATAATAAATACTAATCTCCCTGTGATAATAGTAGTAGTGGTACTTTTCGGGGGGAAATAAAACCCAGCTGTTTCCAGTTACATGGTAGTCCCACTATAGTGTTCACAAACAGCCACCTCCCTTTCACAAAACTGAAATTGTCGCTAAAGCATTTCTGAAGCATTTCCTGAATTTATTATTTTTATTTTTACTTTTACTTTGCTTGGGGAAAGCAGAGTCAATGCAAACACCTACTCCGAGTTATCAAGATTGTTATATGTTTCAGAAGCAAGAATCCCAGAGGCAGATTTCGCATCCACCAGGAAGCCTGTCATCATTAAATCCACATTAGCACGCCTTGAGATAGTATGGGGTGGCTGTCACCACCTCATAAACAACTCCATACCTCACAGCCTAGCTGGCAATGCTTTAAGTGAATCTTAATACTTTAGGAGTGAGTACAGTGTCACAACCAGCACACAGGAAAATGCACAGCACACAGTCTGCACACGGCACGACAACAACAACTCATGACCATGCTCTTCTGTTTTAGTACGAAAGGTAGAGGTTGTGGGTTGCGGAAGAGGGTCTTACCTTCTAAAAGGCGAGAAAAGAATAATAGAAACGGAGGAAAGAAACAGAAAAACAAAAGGAGTCATGAAAGGTAGACGAAGTATTACTTCACAATAAAAGAGTGATGGATATAAAGTTAAACTAATGGGCTGTGAAAGTTGTAGTTCTCAGGCCACAACAGCCACTTTTGGAAATGATGGATTTTATCCCCAACCCCAACACATTGGTAAATGGTTCCTTAGGGGTTTGCCTCCACAGCTATCAACAACAACAAAGTCAGGAGTGTCAGTCAATTGAAAGGCAAGTCGATGTAATTTCCAAAGGAAGAAAAAGAAAAAGAAGGACCACACGTCTTTTTTGATTAAGATTCAAGTGGGTTTCAGACTTTAAGTTGGGTTTAGGCATCGTGGGAAGGCAACAGGCACGCACATGCAAGCGACCTGCTCTGCACTGTTATCTTTGAAAAGTCAAATAAGATAGCTATTCCTCAAACACCAGTGGGGAAGAAGACAGGAGAATCCTCAGACTCCCCACTTTAATTTCAAAATGCTTGAACGGGGGGAAGGGGCCACAGACCGGTGGTCCTGCACATGGTCACGGGTTCAATCCCTGACATCTCCACAAAGGACTGGAAAGGAAACCAGAGACTTTCTGTCAGCCAGAACAGACCTAATGAGCTGGATGGACCAGTGGCCTAACTCAATGTAAGGCGGTTTCCTATCAAACAGAGTACGTTGCCATTTACATTCCTTCAGACCCCCAGTTTACACTTCCGGAAGAGGAGGACTAAACATCATTCCGTCTTTTAGGTTTCCTAACTAACTTGGCCTTCTAGCTAAAGCAGCCTTACTCAACCTTGGGTCCCCAGATGTTGTTGAACTACAACTCCCATCATCCCTAGCTAGCAAGGTCAGAGCTCAGGGATGATGGGAGTTGTAGTCCAACAACATCTGGGGACCCAAAGTTGAGAAACACTGAGCTAAAGGATCTGCAGTGGGGGGTGGGGGGGGAGTCCACCCTCCACTTTCAATTTCATTGCCACCGTGTCCCATCTACAAATGTTTCAGGGTTCTCATCCTCCAGCAAAACTAGTTAAATGCATCTGATCGGTGGAATGTAGAATTCTGCATCTTCGGCTGCTCTGGCTACATAGGTGCTTTTTAAAATGATATTGAGAAAACTGCAAGAACGGGAATTCTTAGTCTGCATTTTACAAGGAGGTATATACGCTTCTGAAAACAGTACTATCCCCTTCTCCCCACTTGCGCTGACTCTCTTAATCAATTATCTTTACCAATGGTCAAGGGCAAGCATGGGTCCCCAGATGTTGTTGGACTACATCTCCCATCATCCTTAGCTAGCAGCACCAGTGGTCAGGAATGATGGGAGTTGTAGTACACAAATAGCCAGGGACTCAAGTTTGGGAAACACTAGCTAAGGAGATGCAGAAGATTAGTCTGCGTTCATTCAGTGGTGCAGCTAGAGCAAGACCTTGAGGCCAAAGCCCATGGCTCCCACAGGCCAACCCCCTCCCAAATAACCACTTGCAGAGTGGCAGAAGCAAGCAGGCCCTGTTGTCCACACGTGGGTCAGGCGATGCTGACCATCGCAGCATCTTTTCCTTGGACTTCTATTGCATTTCATAGCAGGTGGGCAGATGAGTGGACAAGTGCATGTTTAAAGACGCTCATTTTATTACTTATTATTATAAATATATTCATAGCTGTCAACTTTTCCCTTTTCTTGCAAGGAATCCTATTCGGAATAAGGGAATTTCCCTTTAAAAAAGGGAGATGTTGACAGCTATGAATATATTTTCCCTTTCAACCACAAAATGGTGCTCGTTCTCCCCAGTTAACATGCTGCAACAAAAGCAAACTCTGTTTATTCCTGCAGTCGTGGTGATTTAAGTGAGTTTAAAAGGTGAAGCAGCACATTCTCGGGGTATTCCTCTCTCTTTTTTATCAGGGCTCGCAAACTGTTTTTTTGTTTTGGTCTTTTGCTCTAATACACGAGTAATGTAGAAGCAGGTATACAGAAAAGAATGACAGTGAGGATGGGAAGAGGAGAAATGGGAACATTCGCATGGCTATCTAAGGAGCCACCCTCTACCATTAAGTCCAGGAACTATAATTTCCTATTTGCACCTCCACCTACATTCCAAGGTCACTGAACAAGTTATCTTTTGGGATCCTTCAGTATATAAGTAATTCTGGTGCTTTTTGTGTGCGATTCAAGAACTGATCTTCCTACAAAATGAAAAAAGGAACTGTCTTTTCAGATAATTTACTTGCATCAAACATATCCAAGTTCATACCACATACAAAGTAAGTTCCATTGATTTCAAAGGAACTTGATCTTAATTGAGTCAAGTCACTTGGGAGTAAGCGCTACTGAAAATCAATGGGCTGCTACAAAAACTAGAGTGTCTCAATTCAGGTTATGAACAAGCCACAGGCTTACAGGGCCCCCCTCTTTCATTCCAGTTCAGTTCTAACTAGACTTTGCCATGGCGTCCGCACTGGCAAACTAAGGCTAGAACTTTCCAAACAAGAATTTTTAAAAAAAATCAGGGTCTGAAGTGGAGGTTCCAATTCTGGTTTGCAGGGCAAGTGCTAAGCATACGTCGATTTGGACATCATGGCAAATTATGATTACCGTATTTTTTGCTCTATAAGACTCACTTTTTCCATCCTAAAAAGTAAGGGGAAATGTGTGTGCGTCTTATGGACGGAATGCAGGCTGCGCAGCTATCCCAGAAGCCAGAACAGCAAGAGGGGTTGCTGCTTTCACTGCGCAGCGATCTCTCTTGTTCTGGCTTCTGAGATTCAGAATATTTTTTTTCTTGTTTTCCTCCTCCAAAAACTAGGTGCGTCTTATGGTCCTGTGCGTCTTATAGAGCGAAAAATACGGTACATAATCCACAGGAAACAAAGAGGGAATCTGCACCCAAAGGGGCAGGGAGCAGGGCACACTCAAGCCCATATTTCAATTTATATCCTCCAAACCATGGCTTGGAGTATCACACAATTTGAGGTTCTCCTAATGGGATGCCAATTTTTTTAATAAATAATAATAATTAAAATACAAATACAATTCGCTTGTATGAAGGAGGCATAGCAATGCTGTAATATTCTTAATGTAGCTAACTTACTTGTTACTAACAAAGTATTTATTAAACACCATCTTAGAGAAGGTATTTTACACCAAATCAGCGAGCATCACCTTGTGACTTGTTACAAGTAAGGATTATGTTTTCTTGAAACCAGTTACGGTAACTGGGACTGGAGAATTCTAATGCTGTTCCGAAACTGGACAAAAAACCCCACCTTGCTAGCCCAAGCGTCTTCATCCCAGGACGTGAGTTGCAGAACACGGATGATTTCATTTATTTCACCACTCATCTTCTCCACTGTAAAGTTGCGGTTTTTCAAGGCCTCCTCTATCCCTTGGCTTTTGGAATTTTTCGTTGTTACAAAAATCTTCATAGCTGCGAAGATTACACAGAAAAGCCTATCAGGAGGTTATTATGCAATATGCTGTACAAAACGCCTCTTTGGCTAAAACCAGGAAGAATAATTAAGTTATGATCACAGCAGATCTGGGATGAGCAGAAGCCAGATAAGAGATACACAGGTCGATCTCTGGGTGATTTGCAGCAGATCGTCAAAGCTTCCTGATGCCAAACTCTTTGACAAGAGCAACAACAAAGCAACTTCTTTCCGGCTAAAATCTGGCTGCTAAAATGAAGGAAGCTAACCAGAATAGACTTTTGAGTGAAAGTACTGTGAGATGAGTTCAGTTCTGATTCTGAAAACAAATTCTTAAGCTCACAGCGTGCATGGGGGAGCCCTGTCCTTTAGTTCTAATGATGTGGCATTTGCACATGGTTCTGGTTGGTAGAGGCCTTGTCAATCTGACCAATATATATATATATATGGATCAAACAAGCCTGGTTTGAGCCACACACAGGAAGAACAAGGATATACCGTATTTTTTGCTCCATAAGACTCACTTTTTCCCTCCTAAAAAGTAAGGGGAAATGTGTGTGCGTCTTATGGAGCAAATGCAGGCTGCGCAGCTATCCCAGAAGCCAGAACAGCAAGAGGGATTGCTGCTTTCACTGCACAGCGATCCCTCTTGCTTTTCTGGCTTCTGAGATTCAGAATATTTTTTTTCTTGTTTTCCTCCTCCAAAAACTTGGTGCATCTTGTGGTCTGGTGCGTCTTATAGAGCGAAAAATAGGGTAGTTTGAGTTCCTCACTTGCAGTTTTATAAATCATTTAACGTGTCAACATGAATAAAAGTTATTAATATCACAGTTGTTGTAGAAGGGATTATTATGATGACCGGAATGTAATGGAAATTAGTAAGATTTTGGAATGCAGAAATAAAGCGAATAATCAAGCCATCAATTCTAGCACCTTTTCTAAATTATATAATTCGGTATTTGAACTATTGGTATTAATAATTGTACAGTTGTGCCTCGCAAGACGAAATTAATCCGTTCCGCGAGTATCTTCGTCTAGCGGTTTTTTCGTCTTGCGAAGCAACCCTATTAGCGGCTTAGCGGATTAGCGCTATTAGCGGTTTAGCGGCTATTAAAGGCTTAGCGGCTTAGCTGCTAAAAGGCTATTAAAGGCTTAGCGGCTTAGAAAAAGGGGGGGGAAAGCGAAAAAAAAATCTCAAGACTCGCAAGACATTTTCGTCTTGCGAAGCAAGCCCATAGGGAAATTCGTCCTGCGAAGCGCATTGAAAAACGGAAAACCCTTTCGTCTAGCGGGTTTTCCGTCTTGCGAGGCATTCGTCTTGCGGGTCACCACTGTAATAATAATAATAAGTGGTATTGTTATAATGAGTCTGTTATTGGATTGAAAATTGAAAACTAATAAAAATTATTATGAAAAACAAGCCTGGTTTGTGCACCTCTGCAGTAGATGATCATCTCCCATTATGTTTATCGCACTTAACAAGAATGCATGTTTAAGTTTGACAAACTTGAATTGTTTGTGACGTCCATCCTAGCCGTCAATCCATGCAGTGCAGTGCCAGATGCTTCTGCCTCACTCAAACTGCCCAGTTAATGCACGGAATACCGAGTTAAACTCAGTGCAGGACCAACTGAATGCATGGCTAGCCAAAGTACTGGCCCTACACAGAGGCATGGCCTCCCTAATCCTATGCAGTATTTATGGGATACGGGGATGCAACCTTTAGATCACCAACGTCTTGAATTGCACCCCAGCATCCTTTGTGGCACTGGAAGAAGTCATGGGGTACACATGTCAGATCACATGTACCAGTTTGGTCGCTTGCGAAGTTAGGCTGGCCCTGACTTTGTATCTCAAGAGCTGCGCTAAAAACTAGGGGGAATTCACTGCGGAAGATAACCTGCCAGACCCTCTTTTGCCTCTCTGAGACGGTCAGCGGAAACTTTAGCTACTCTCCAAGGTTTCAAGGGCTGGGTAGCTATGACTTAAAGTCAGTTTTGGTTGCCATCTCTTTCTTATAGGATGTTTTGCTTCTATTCGGTTTCCTTCCAGGCGCGTCAGCTAAACGTAATTGCATTTTGATAAATTTGTCACTTTGTAAGCCTGATAGCGGAAAAGGAGGGCGGGTTGCGCAGAAGAGATAATTACTGTTCAAATTAAATCGGTGGCATTCTGGCAAGCAAAGATTTGAAGCTAATTAAAGTTACTATGACATCCAGTTTAATTTGAGGCATTTTCAATTCAACGAGAAACAAAGTGCTAGATTGTTATTTATTTTTCAAGCTAAACGGGCCTCTTCCCACCAACAGCAACTGTAATGCTTGTAAGGAAGGTTTTGGGGATAGAGGAGTATAGCCCATGTAATTTAAATACAAAATAGCAGCAGCACCTATGGTTTCCTACCCTATGGCAGAGCAGGACGTATTATTGCATATATCCTTTTCTCCTTAGTTCTCATTAAAAGAGGGAACCAATCTGTCTACCTCAATGAGAATCAGGCCGTAAATAAAGTGCTCAGTTACAGAGAAGCATCACAGATATAATTACATATAAATAGCCCATCAGTTCACATGTCACAGTGAGATCAGCTCTGAGAGCTTAAATAGGAGACGCACAGAATATGCAAGCCAGAATTTGGGAGGCACAACCTTCTCTTCCAAGGCAGCCACAAATAAAACCACTCGCTTAACTTACCCATAGTCGGTTTACAAGGCACGTTGAAAGCTTCCGTTTCCAAAAGCCTTTCAACGTGCGTTTACCTGAGCAGCTTTATTCCTACGTGGTTTTATGAAGCGGGCACAAACACAAGCCAATGCATTTCAGAGTACTTTTAAATCTTGTGGAAAAGCAAAAAAATAAATACCAGAAATAAGAACCGGCAGTAGCTCCTTCACGGTGTTCATGGAGTTCACCAACATGACTCTGTGTTCCTGGTGAGTCAACTCTTGCTGCCGCTCATCAATCATTTTGGCCATCTTGGTCATCCCTGTGTGAAGGAAGTCAAGGAAGTCATGAAGCGATACGGTATTTCCCTTACGGTTTTGCAATTTCAAGCAGAAGAAGATTACGCCAAACGGCAATTTTAAATGTTACATTTCCGCAGTTGCAAAGATTCTGTACAACTATTAATTCAAACAGTATATCCCCAGTGTTCAAGGGATGCTATTTTCTAAGGCAACGTGCATTTTTAAAACACAAAAATCAATACTAAATTGAGATCAGATCAGCAATTTGTGGCCCTTTGGACATTTCATTAAATGTCTGCTTAAGGAAACGCACAGAGCATGCCATTAGCTTAGCTCAGGCATAGGCAAACACGGCCCTCCAGATGTTTTGGGACTACAACTCCCATCATCCCTGACCACTGGTCCTGTTAGCTAGGGATGATGGGAATTGTAGTCCCAAAACATCTAGAGGGCAAAGTTTGCCTATGCCTGGCTTAGCTTATGTCAGAAACATACATCAAGGGTAGCCTAATCTGGAACCCAAACTTCTTATGAAGCCACATATCCATATATTAGAGCTGGCATACTACTGCGCTAAGATGCTGAACTATGGATCCAAGTGCTCCTGGTTCAAATTCACCTCTGCTATGAACTAACTAGGCGGTCTTAGGCAAGCCAACCTCTCTCTCAGCCTCTGCTCGCATCTGCAATACAGACACAATAATACTGATCTACCTCACAAGGTTGTTGCAAGCATCACGACAAAGAAAGAATTTATACCGCGCTTCCAAGTGTGATTATTGATTAGGTTATACACATCATACAGAAATAAACATTAGATTTTTAAGCTACAGCATTTCATACTGCAGATAAGACTTAAGATGGCTAATAGGCTAAACCCCTCTCCCTTGGGTACTAGCAAATTAGGGAGAGAGGTTCCCCCATCCCGTCCCCCCTGATGAGCTAGTCATGCAAGATGCTTCTTACAAGAGGGAATCTTCAAAAATATGAACAACACACATGAAATCTGAAGGGACCTATCCATTCACTATGAGGAGTGGCTGACAGACTTAAATTCATCCTGCGTATCAGAACAGCAATTCCGTACACACTATATTGGTTAGGGGGGAGAGAGAGAGAGAGAAACTCCTGCATGTGATGCTATTCTAGGCTTTAAATGAACTTTCCAGAGCAGGGGCTTTAGGCTGCTTTATATATGAGGTGACCCCACAAGTTTGTCCTAGGAAGACATGTCACTCCTCTCAAGCTCCATTCTGGTGCTGTCACCATCTCATATAGCTTACCCACATGCAGATTTGTGGAAGAGGAGTCCAGTCAAAGGGGACTATGGGGTTGCGGCGCTCATCTCGCTTTCAGGCCAAGGGAGCTGGCCTTTGTCCACAGACAGCTTTCCGGGACTAAACCGCTTCTGGCGCAACGGAACACTGTGACGGAAACCAGAGCGCACGGAAACGCTGTTTACCTTCCCGCTGCAGTGGTACCTATATGTCTACTTCCACTGGTGTGCTTTCGAACTGCTAGGTTGGCAGGAGCTGGGACAGAACAACAGGAGCTCACCCCATCGTGTGGATTCGAACTGCTGACGTTCTGATCAGCAAGCCCAAGAGGCTCAGTAGTTTAGACCACAGCGCCACCTGCGTCCCTTTAGTCTCCTACATACACCCAGCCATTAGGCAAACAGCAGCCCTCTCCAGGTGACAGTGCAGACCATTTGTGAGCTGCCCTTTCACCATCTCCCGCACTAACTTAGAAACACTTTCATTCCCATCAATCAAATTGCAGAGCCAAGTGAGGGGAACAGAGTTGGAGATCGGGAGCTGGTGACCCTTGAGGTGCACATTTGGCAGCTCTCTTCTCCACCATCTATTAGCTTAGTTGGTCAGAGTGTGGTGCTGCTAACCAGGTCATGGGTTTGATCCCCCACATGGGTGCATATACCTGAACTTCAGGGGGTTCAGCTAGATGTTCCATAGGTTCCCTCCCATCTTTATTCTATGAACAGAAAACAATGCAGCTGGCCAGTCCCCCAAAAGACTATTTGACAGGCGCGCTTGGACAAACAAGGCCTGGCAGATGGGCGGGGTATAAATAATAATAAAAAATATTATTTATTTATTTAGTAGTATTAATACCCCACCCATCTGGCTGGACTTCCCCAGCCACACTGGGCGGCTTCCAACAAATTATTAAAATACAGTGGTACCTCTGGTTATGTGCTTAATTCGTTCCAGAGGTCTGTTCTTAACCTGAAACTGTTCTTAACCTGAAGCACCACTTTAGCTAATGGGGCCTCCTGCTGCCGCTGCACCGCTGCCACACAATTTCTTTTCTCATCCTGAAGCAAAGTTCTTAACCCAAGGTAATATTTCTGGGTTAGCGGAGTCTGTAACCTGAAGCGTATGTAACCTGAAGCGTATGTAACCTGAGGTACCACTGTACAGTAACTCATCAAACATTAAAAGCGTCTCTAAACAGGGCCGCCTTCAGATGTCTTCTAAAAGTCTGGTAGTTGTTGTTCTCTTTGACATCTGGCGGGAGGGCGTTCCACAGGGCGAATGCCACTGCTGAGAAGGCCCTCTGCCTGGTTCCCTGTAACTTGGCTTCTTGCAGTGAGGGAACCGCCAGAAGGCCCTCGGCGTTGGATTTCAGTGTCCAGGTAGAATGATGGGGGTGGAGACGCGCCTTCAGATGATGATGGTGATGATGATTATAATATCCATATTTAAGAAAAAACAAAGCACACACCCTAACACTGCTGACATGCTAAGATGAACGCAGTAAGCTATTTAAAGTTGACTTGGGGTGGGGGGGGTAAGAGAAATGCCTCAAATCATTGCATTTAGAAATTCACATTTGTATTATATTTTATGACACTGTTGTATGCCACTTTAAGATGACAGTGTAATAGGCAGTACATAAATATTTTAATGACATAAATAATAATAATATAATGGAATCAGTGTTGGAAGGGACCACGAGGGCAATCTAGTCCAACCCCCTGCAGGAAACTTTCCCCCCAATGTGGGGCTCAAACCCACGACCTTGAGAACCTCATGCTCTACCGACGGAGCTATCCAGATGACTAAGGGCACTTCCAGCCAAAGGATTTTCTCAGCTGTCAGGCATTTTGGTCAGTATACTCAGCATCTGCAAAACGGACCCACACTGTGCCAATACCAACGCTGATCGCAGCTATTCCAAATGGTCAATTGGAGAATTGTAGTTCAGTAGCAGATTATGCACTTTGCAAGCTGAAGGTTGCAGGCCCAATTCTCATGTATCTTAATAATAATAATAATAACAATAATAATAATTTTATTATTTATATCCTGCCCATCTGGCTGGGTTTCCCCAGCCACTCTGAGCGACTCCCAACAGAATATTAAAAACACAATAAAACACCAAACATTAAAAACTTCCCTAAACAGGGCTGCCTTCAGATGTCTTCGAAAAGTCAGATAGTTGCTTATTTCCTTGACATCTGATGGGAGGGCGTTCCACAGGGCGAGCGCCACTACCGACAAGGCCCTCTGCTTGGTTAACTGAAGATGTCAACTAGCAGGAGTGGGAAAGGGAGTCAGTTCAGAGTAGCCAGGTTTTGCTTAGATCAAACAATAGCAGCTGACTCCAGATTACAAAATATAAAATACAAAAATTTCCCACGTTGAATGCCATACCAATCAGAAACACGATCAGGTGAACAAAAAATTCACTTCCACAATGTAAAAAGGCATAATAATAATAATAAATTTTTATTTATATCCCACCCTCCCCAGCCGAAGCCGGGCTCAGAGCGGCTAACAACAGTAAAATAATACAACATTCTAAAATCATTTCATTATAAAATCAGTTCAAATCAGATTAATGGCAACCATTGGGCTAGAGTTCTGTGAGGATTGCCAAAGGCCTGGTGGAACAGCTCTGTCTTGCAGGCCCTGCGGAAAGATGTCAAGTCCTGCAGGGCCCTAGTCTCTTGTGACAAGAGCGTTCCACCAGATTGGAGCCACAGCCGAAAAAGCCCTGGCTCTGGTTGAGGCCAGCCTAACCTCTCTGTGGCCCGGGACCTCCAAGATGTTTTTGTTTGAAGACCGTAAGGTCCTCCGTGGGACATACCAGGAGAGGCGGTCCCGTAGGTACGAGGGTCCTAGGCTGTATAGGGCTTTAATGCTACTAGTCTTAATATGTTCCCAACTTAGCACATCAATTATATTTATTCTCTGAACTATCGTCTGCACATCTCTCAGGAGACAGCGATCCAAATATTATGAGCATACCAGACAAGGTCATGCCCAAAAAGGTGGCAGCAGTGGGAAGGAGATGACTACGGCCGCAGCCAGCAGACCTAGATAGCCAATGCAAAATAAACAACCACAGCAAAACTACTAGAGCAACTGAGCAAAACAAAACACGTAAACAAAAAGGACAGGAAATGTTTCTAAAACAGAAGCATGGAAATTATTTCCCTTAATTTTTATGCTTCTATTTTAAAAAAAAAGTTTCCTTTCACTTTCATGCCATCTTGTTTCTGTGAAATAGAAATGCAGGTCAGCATATCCAACATTAATGATGCGTTTAATTAGGAAGGGAATAACAAAACAAAAAAACAAAAAAAGATGAACAGTTATCTGATGCAACTGGGCAGCCTATGGGATTGCAAGAGTAGAGGCAGATATTGGAACAGCATCACATAATTTGGGCAAGTTTGGAGTAGAGTTGGAAGCCAGAATGTATTTGTCCCACAAACTCTTAAGGCCACGATACGTTCAGAAAGTGAGAAGAGAGTGTAAAGAAAGCAAGGCCTGCCAGCAAAAGGCAGACAGAACTCCCAGAATAGAAGACACATCGACTAGAGTAAGTGTTATCTAAACAGAGGCCTCCACCAGGATAAAATATATATTCCAAGTCTTGAATTTATCCAGCGCCTTGGCTAGGCAGGCCTTCAGCGAAAAAACTCCACTTCCTACGAAGTCCCAGAAAATTAGAAAGTCAGGCCATAAAAAAGGGTGGAAACCTCACTGCCCTCCAAGTTGAGAGCAAAGCACTCACTTAAAGCAACTTTTGACAGCCTGATGTATTAAATATCTGAAACAGCTGCTGTGGGCAATGCTTTACATTGTCTCTGGCTGCAAGCAACATGGTCTCACCCCATTTTTGTCCTTCATCTGCTCTTAAAAATTCAGTGTTTCTGCGTACCTCTCTTGAACACAGAGACATGCTTGCTTCTTTCCCTACCACCATTTTTTTTAAAATCGATATTGGAGAATCCCTTGATTTTCCGCTCCATGTAGAGGCAAAGAGGTTCCAGCAGCTTCGAGCTGGCTGGGGAATGCCTGCCTGCTCATCCTGCTTCTGAATTCCTTTCTGACTCCCTTTCTGGCTCAGGAACAGTTCATTCCTCTTGGCCATTCCTCATTGTCAAAGTGAATGTGACAGAGGCATTTGTGTATTTGCCTGCCTGCCCCATTCATATTTAAGGGGAGAGTGGGAGAGGTCTAGAGGGGCTAAGTTTAACATCAGTAGGGGCATGCCAGAATAAAAGAGCTCCTGAACTGAGTCGGGCTGGAAGGAAAAGTACCTGAAGCAATGGGACCCAGGGAGATAGGGCAGGGAAGGATCCAACTCTTCTCTTTTAAGTTAAGGATTTTGTGATCCCATCCCATCCCCCGCTCTCCGCTGCCAATTTATATGCGGACAATGCAGGCTCATGAATTAAAAACAGGGCTATCACTGTCATAACCCACAAATAGTGACTGTTTGCTGGCTTTGGCAGACTGGTTAGAGGGAAAAAAGAGGGTTAAGTGCCTCTCTATGCTGCTACCACTTCAGGGTCAATGGTTCACAAAGTATGAAGGGGATGGCACAAATCGCAAAGGTTTTGTTCATATAGCACCTCCAGGGAGGTAACACTTCTCACACTTCAAGAAAACACATAGGTGAAATATTACAATCAGCATTAGAAACTCAGGTATATAAGCTAGGAGCCAAATGGCTCCTTAAACAAGGGCTACTATGCTCTTTTAAAATGTGGGGTTTGGGGGGGGGTATTGTTTTAGGGACACGGGTGGCACTGTGGGTTAAACCACAGAGCCTAGGACTTGCCGATCAGAAGGTCGCGGTTCGAATCCCCGCAACGGGGTGAGCTCCCGTTGCTCGGTCCCAGCTCCTGCCAACCTAGCAGTTCGAAAGCACGCCAGTGCAAGTAGATAAATAGGTACCACTCCGGCGGGAAGGTAAACGGCATTTCCCTGCGCTGCTCTGGTTCGCCAGAAGCGGCTTAGTCATGCTGGCCACATGACCCGGAAGCTGTACGCCGGCTCCCTCGGCCAATAAAATGAGATGAGCACCGCAACCCTAGAGTCGTTCACGACTGGACCTAATGGTCAGGGTTCCCTTTACCTTTTACTATTGTTGTTTTTATTTTGATTATAGATTTTGCGGTTTTATATTTTGATTTTATTCTGTAAACCGCAGATGATGATGATGATGATAGCGGTTGCCAAAACGGAATTGCTCAAAAGCCGTATTTTTCAATACGGCTTTTTGGTTCCTGAAATTCATTCTGATTGTGTAGATAACATTTTAACTGACAGAATTCCACAGGATGTGGTATTAGTATGTTAAAACATGTCAAGATCCAAGGATGTGCAGGCATGCACCTCCTTATGGTGGAGACATCAGGCACCATCCTGGCGATGGGGAACCTTCATTTGGTCGCAAGTGGCCGGTAGCCAGGTGCAAAATGTGCCTGGAGAATTTCGAACGCTGATTATAAACACATGGACCCCACAGAGACTCTAAAGTTTGCAATGCCCCATTTCAAGCCAATGAGTTCTAGATCTATTTACTCTCACAAGCGAGGTTTCTTCCTTTGCAGTGGCCTTGCACCCAGTACTGGGCACGGATTGGCAGGGACAAGGCTTCAGGTAGAGCCTTTTGGTTTGAAGCTAGAACCTTTGGCATGCAAGACATGAGCTTGGCAACTAAGCAATGGTGCCTCCCATAGCTCAGGAGAGAGAGAGAAAGAAAAATCTCCACATTATTAAAGGTGCCAGGTAAAAACATTGCTAGAATGCACTAAGAGGAATACTGGGAATGTCTAACCTGGCCCTAGGTTCTTTGTGTAGGTGACCAAGTCCTCCATAGTTTCCACCACCTCTGCCACTGTTAGGTATTCCAGAATTCCTTTGCAGACACGAATGATTTTACGGACCTTAAATAATAATAAAAAAGGTAATCATTAGTGTTTTTTCCTTTTATCACAACGGGCCAACATGGCTTCAAGTTAAAGGCACTGTTTCTGATCAAAAGCAGAGCATGCACAACATCAGTGGCAATACGGAGAGACACGCCACGGCATGGTGGAAGCGATTTGAACAAACATCTGGTGCTTTCCAGCATATAGTGGTACCTTGGTTCTCGAACTTAATCCGTTCCGGGAGTCGCTTCGACTCCCAGAACCATTCAAAAACCAAGGCACAGCTTCTGATTGGCTGCAGGAGCTTCCTGCACTCAATCGGAAGCTGCATCAGATGTTCGGCTTCCGAAAAACATTCGCAAACCAGAACACTTACTTCTTGGTGTGCGGTGTTCGGAAGCCTAAATGTATGATTACCAAGGCATTCAAGAACCAACGTACCACTGTATTTGTTTTCAGGGCAACAAACGTGTGTTGTTCCGCATACTTTGCAACAGGTCTGATTTCCCTCACAATAAAACACCACGTTTAGTTGCTCTGGGATGAATGTCTGGTAGGTGCAATGCTCTACCCATTACCCATCAATAGAAAAAGCTGCCTGCAGAGTTGCACACGACTGCCTCTGAGAATGCTTTCCCCCCATCATGTTCTTTCAAGTACAGTGCCTCTCTGGATACGCAACCTTCAGGTTACGTTCTGCACGCCGTGCGCATGCACAGAAGCGCTCCATCGCGCTGCGCAGAAGCACTCTATCACACCGCACGCGTGCGCAGAAGCAGCGCCTCTGGTTACGGATTTTTTCGTATCCAGAGGGTCCACTGTAATGTTCTCTGTGCAGCAATGAATGCAAAATCCCTTGAAATAAAATGTATGCCTTCTATATTTAGATGCTATATGAGCACTGTTGAATGTGTGAAATTAAGCGCAGCACGGGAGAGAATGTTCCATTTTAAAGCTTTAGCCAAAAGTTGCATTATATGACCGTTTCTTTAATATTTCCAGCGTGACAATGCAAGTTTGAGAACACGCTATCAAAATCACAAAGATGGGGAAAGAGCGAGCACTTTCCAGAAATCAGCTTCCCTGAAGGCAAATTAACTACTCCATAATTTCAAGAGCTATTATCTCCAATGGTATCAATAAGAAATGGGAGAGTAATTGCTAATAAATCAGGTGCCAAGGATATTCATAGAATGGCTGATAAGCTTTGCTTTAATGCACCTCTCCTATGCCCCCACAGTACTAACTAAAAAGCACTGAAAAAATACACAGTCATTGTGTCTGCTAAGGAACATCTTGCATTTATTCTCAATGCCAGAGCCGCATGCTGTAATGTTAATTCAAAACATGCGGAAATAAACTTCATAAAGAGTACTGGTGAGAAAAATCTTACTTTAAAAAACACGTACAGTCGTACCTAGGAAGTTGAACGGAATCTGTTCCGGAAATCCGTTTGACTTCCAAAACATTCGGAAACCAAAGTGCGGCTTCTGATTGGCTGCAGGAAGCTCCTGCAGCCAATCAGAAGCCACGGAAGCCTTGTCGGACGTTTGGCTTCCAAAAGTAGTTCGCAAACCGGAACAGTCACTTCTGGGTTTCCGGCGTTCAGGAGCCAAAACATTCAAAAACTAAGTTGTTCGAAAACCAAGGTACAACTGTAATACCATCGTGACAAGTTAATGCATTTCTGACTTTTCAATGCTGTGGTTGGGGGCTTTATAAACCGTGTTTTATGAAGCCAGGAGTGCGCTTCGCACTTCTCCTCTCCCTTTTCCTTTGTCTCTTGTGACATGCAGATTTTAGCCAGAGTCACTCTACCTTACTTTCCTGACTTGTTAACAACATTATGCCAGAGCCACAGTTTAGACATAACAGGGAACTCTAGCTTAATACAAGCCAGCTTCTGTGCACAGAAGCCAGGAATTTTGCACATGGTGTGCAACTCAGTGAGGGCAAGGGAAAGCCCTCCCCAGCCCCAATACTCAGCCCTGGTTTTATGAATCATGCTTTTATAAACCACTAATGCAGAAAATGATATTCAGGCAAGCGCTCTAAATTTGCAGTCAGGTACTGCATTAGAAAGCTCACCTCAGCCTCATCGAATGTCAGAAGCAAGTCCGATGTCCCAGAAAGGATGCCTCTTGATCCGTCAATGAGGTAATCACGAGCAGGTACTGAGTAAGGGTCCGTTTGGAGCATCTGCGCGGCCTGTACAAGTTTTGTGCAAGCATTTTCCACCCTAGGAGAAACCATTGTGAGAGAGAAATTAATGTCAGTCCCTCTACCTGTAGGGTACAGATGGGAGCCAACTCTGGAGCAGTATGACTACAGACCAGTGCTTCCCAGACTCTCCAGCTGATTTTTTGGACTACAACTCCCATCATCCCTAACTAGCAAGACCAGTGGTCAGGGATGATGGGAATTGTAGTCCAAAAACAGCTGCAGACCCAAGTTGGGGAAACACTGTAATAGACCATCTTCCTTCGGATTGTACACAGATTATTTAACATATCCTCTTTACTCCTACAAGGGACACGGGTGGCGCTGTGGGTTAAACCACAGAGCCTAGGACTTGCCGATCAGAAGGTCGGCGGTTCGAATCCCCGGGACGGGGTGAGCTCCCGTTGCTCGGTCCCAGCTCCTGCCAACCTAGCAGTTCGAAAGCACGTCAAAGTGCAAGTAGATAAATAGGTACCACTCTGGCGGGAAGGTAAACGGCGTTTCCATGCGCTGCTCTGATTTGCCAGAAGCGGCTTAGTCATGCTGGCCACGTGACCCGGAAGCTGTGCACCGGCTCCCTCGGCCAGTAAAGCGAGATGAGCACCGCAACCCCAGAGTCATCCGTGACTGGACCTAACGGTCAGGGGTCCCTTTACCTTCACTCCTACTCCCATGCCAGGGTGCGTTTTCTAGTTAAAATGTAAAACACAGAAACAGAAGATTGGTCCATCTAGCTCTTAGTACCCTTAGCCCTGGGCTGGAGGCACTTCTCCACGCTTTTGGACATGAGTGATTCCCAGCTGCTGGGAATAAGTATGAGACCTTCTGGAGGCAAAGCATGCATTCTGCCCCTGAGCCATGGTCCTTCCTCTTGCATAAAGCTGGTTTCATTTGAAGCATGTATGACGTATGTTGAAAAGGCCAGTGTTTGGGGAAAACTACACATTACATGCCAACATGCATTTAAAAACTATTAACCGATGGCCCGTTTTGGTTTAAAAGCTTCTTGCTGAAGGCAGAGGTATAGGACCCAGCTTTGTCACCAAGAACCTGACACCACCTTTACAGGTGGAACTATGCAGCAATAGGGCACATTGAATTTTTCAACTTTCATATTCCAAAAAGGAGGGGTACGAAAATGTTGTAACATGACTTGGGGATTCAAAAGATATTTCAGTTAAATTAATATAATTTAGTTTTGCTTGGTGAGTAAACTGTGCGAAACTGCATCAAAATCATTAAAAATGATTGCCTAATACCTACAGTTATGTTATATTATTATTATTATTATTAAGCATCGCAACATTAAAATTATTTGGTTTTCCGAAAGCAAATTATGTGCTTCTTCAGCAAACGCAGACTTACCAAGCTAAATGCTGCCTAATCTCAAAAACAGCAGATTTGAATTCCTCACACTCAGAAGCCTATTTTTGAGAACCCTCACTGAAGAAATTTGCAAAATTAAGTTTCACTCCCTAAAACGGCATGCCTTAATAGAGCGAGTCTTGGGAGCTCGTCCCACTTCTTTCAAAGATTGGCAGGAGGGGCAGGTCACTTGTTGGGACATCTCCATAGCTTCCGTTTGTCAATTAATCTCTTGCCTTGCTCATGTACCTTAGAATCTACCTCCTCGTCCCCCCAACTATCATCCCAGGGCTATTTAAAGGACCATCTTGCCCTGAGGGGACGGGAGAAGAAGGAAGCTTGAGGAACTGTCACCAGCCTGCTATCACTCAGTTCTGTTCTGATTGGAATACAAAAATCTGTGCATGACTCATACAGGTTTGGCATTCAGAGGTTGTTGGGTTGTTGTTTTTAAATTATGCTTTAACCAGGGAAAATGACTCCTGCTAGTCTAGACCATTTGACTATCAGCTAGGGCAGGATGACATTATTTGCTGGCTTGAAATATCGTTAAAACAAGCCATTACCTTATAGGAAGAATTCTAAGCCCAAAATTATTAAAATGCCATTTGTGAAACGGTTACTTTCCTTTTATTCACAGTGAGTTTTCTAAAGCGTCAAGTCTGAAATCAGACAATATGCTCTCGCAATGTACACAATAATTAGTTTCCTGGAGCACTAATCTGAGCACTTTTGGTAGCTCAGGGACTCAGAGCTGCAACGTAATTCTCACCTACAGTAATTTTTTGATCAGCATAATGCAAGAAAATGCTGGAGCAATGACCAACTTGTTGATAAAATCTGCGGATTTTGTCGAGTTCAATACACAAAATGATGAGTTGCACTGACAGCAAGCTACTGGACGTGCGATCTAAGCTGTAACACAGATGAGAGAGTAACATCCTATTTACAAGCCAAATTTAGCAAAAGATTAAATATAATTCACTTGGCTGGTTTTAGATAGCAGCCAAGTATCTTGTAAATGCCACTAGAGCCGTGTGTGCTAAAACATCTACGTCCTTTCCAGATAAAAACACAGCACTATTTATTTTTTTAAGGTAGAACTTCAGTGTCTTAAAAATAAAATACTATTATTTCTGCAGGAGTTAACGTATGTATCATTCTCTTGCCTATTTTGCACCATTTCCTTCAAGTTCTCCTATTTGTGCCTGTACAGGTCCTGACTTTGGTTAACAACTTCCTATTCTTATGGCTAATCTGATTTTACAACTGGCATCGAGGTTTGACTGCATATAAGCCGTAGCTATTAATCTTGAGGTGCTAAGAGCGCTTGGTACTGTTGCAATGAAGGCAAACAATTCCCACGGAGATGGTAGAGCCATTTTGGAGCTATATATTACAGATAGTTCACATCGCTGAACCCCTTCCCCATATGCAATTAACCCCTTCCACATAGAAAATGGTGTTACAAGAAGTGTTCAGCCTAGTCTTCTCCCTAACAAACAAGCTTGCTCGGTCAATTTTTTTTCCATGGAGGAACATTCATTAAGGCAAGCCCTCACCTGCAGTCTTCAGTCTTACAGCCCCAAAATATATTTATTACCTCAGTGTAAATATAGCCAGCAACACTGGGAACGCAACATAGGTTCGGATCCAACACAACGGGCCAGGTGGTGGTGGGGGGGGGACTTTGAACAGCTGACTCCCATGTCATAACACAGTGGTCCCTAATGTGGTACCCAAAGCCTAAAAGCAGGCAGGCCATTTCCCCAATTTAAAACTACCTCCCTTCCCCCCCCCCAACCACCAAAACAACTGCTATTAGCTGGGGGAAGAGACAGGGAGGGAGAGAAGGATGCAATGTGGGTCCCTATTTCCCTTCACAGCTGCTTTGAAAGGTGGTTTAAATCAAATAAAGACTGTAGGGGGAGGGATAAGGGTTAACCACCCCAGAACAACAGTCAAGCGAAAAGAGACCTGATCATGGATCGCCCGTGTCACAGCTTTTTGTGTCCACCAGTTCCAAAAGTTGTGTCCAATGGCATTTTCAAACCCTAGGCCCTATCTCTGCTGTCCGTTTAAAGCAGTATATCATGCCATTTCCAACAGTGATGGCTTCCCCCAAAGCTAAGGTTACCAGACGTCCCCGTTTCCCGGGGACAGTCCCCGGATTTACAAATCAGTCCCCATACAAAATCCATTGAAGTTGAAAAGTGTCCCCGGATTCATTGGAAAAAATCTGGTAACCTTACCCAAAGCATCCTGGTAACTGCAGCTTGTTAAGGAGAACCCTGTTCATCTCACTTAAATGCAGTAATACCAGAGTCTCCATGTGTCCCTATTTTCAGATCAACAAAAGCCATCCCGGTTTCTGATTTGATCCCAGAATGTCCCGTTTTTCCTTTGTTGTTGTTGTTTAGTCATTTAGTCATGTCCGTCTCTTTGTGACCCCATGGACCAGAGCACGCCAGGCACTCCTGTCTTCCACTGCCTCCTGCAGTTTGGTCAAACTCATGCTGGTAGCTTCGAGAACACTGTCCAACCATCTTGTCCTCTGTCGTCCCCTTCTCCTTGTGCCCTCCATCTCTCCCAACATCAGGGTCTTTTCCAGGAGTCTTCTCTTCTCATGAGGTGGCCAAAGTATTGGAGCCTCAGCTTCACGATCTGTCCTTCCAGTGAGCACTCAGGGCTGATTTCCTTCAGAATGGATAGGTTTGATCTTCTTGCAGTCCATGGGACTCTCAAGAGTCTCCTCCAGCACCATAATTCAAAAGCATCAATTCTTGGGCGATCAGCCTTCTTTATGGTCCAGCTCTTACTTCCATACATCACTACTGGGAAAACCATTAGGCTATCCCTATTTTCATTGGAGAAATGTTGGATGGTAGGGAGTTATGTGACCCCCTAAGCCAAGGAGATAAGTAACTATACAACCTTTAGAAGACATCTGGGATTTTTTTTTTAGTGTTTAATTGTGTTTTCTATATATGTTGGAAGCTGCCCAGAGCGGCTGAGGCAACTCAGGCAGAAAAGTGGTATATAAATAATAAAATTATCATTGTTATTGTTATGAAATAGGATGTCCTTATTTTCATGGGAGAAATGTTGACAGGTGTGTAATGCAGCATATTATACTCTCTCATTCACACTATGAAATCCCAAGACATAATTAGATCTTCCTATGCTTTAGAGAAAAAGTTGGATGTAATCATAGTGCAGTATATCTGATATTTAAAGCAGGCAGAGAAGCTACTAAGCAAATATTCAGAATAATCAACAATGCAAATAGGTCTTCATACAATTTTCCATTTAGCTTTTTCACTGCCCCAGATTTCCCACCTCCTGGCAAAGGCATTCATGTGCTTGAGGCAACATCTTTCTGCCCCACATCATGGGATGCTCTCACCCCCAACAATTTAGCAAAACCTTCATCTGTCTTAACTAATAAAGAACACACACTATTCAGAAGCTGGCCAGAAACAGCCTTTTTCAATAAGGAATTTATATTTGACATTGTCAAGGAAATTGGCTTAATGATAACGAAAGTGATTATTACGTCTTCAAAACCTCCAAGAAGAAAATCATTATATCTTTTGCGCCGATGCATGAAGTTAATTACGAGCACCAGTCAATTAGCTTTCAGGTATCAAACAAAATCTGAGCCAGACCAAGGGCACACACAGAGAAAAGCAAACACGCTACCCCTTGAGACTGTCATCCAAACTAAAAGGGACTTTTATCTTAGGGAGAAAAATATTATTTGTGCGGCTAGTCGTTGGAGAACTCTGTACTGAAGAAGCGGGATATTGGAACAGCTAAGACCACATTACAAAGTCCAGTCCAAATTAACCCAAATCTCTGATGAATAACAAGTCTAATCTTGTTCCTGATGTATTAGTTTGCTATGTGCAGGGATTTTTGCTTGCTTGCTTGTTTACTGACAAGCATTCAGTCAAGGGAGGTCTCATTTGCACTCCAAAATAGTACGGCACTGATACAAGGTTACCGAAGCTTTTCTAAAACCACTATCAAGACTTGCAATGTTTATTTTCTTACTTAATGAATGCAGGAGGCATGTCTCTCTTCAAAATCTGGTCTTCAGTTGTCTGTACGGTTTCTTTTCCAACCTGCAGCAGAAGCAAAAAAAAGTTGTTTTTTAAAATCACCCACTTCAGAATTTCAATGTAAATTTCTTAATAAAGTCAAAATATGAACAGCTTTTCCTGTTCCCATGGTTTACTACTTACCTGGCACTCGGGAGCAGTGCTAGAAACTCAGATATACAGTGCTACCTCGGGTTACATACGCTTCAGGTTACAGACTCCGCTAACCCAGAAATAGTACCTCGGGTTAAGAACTTTGCTTCAGGATAAGAACAGAAATCGTGCTCTGGCAGCGTGGCGGCAGCAGGAGGCCCCGTTAGCTAAAGTGGTGCTTCAGGTTAAGAACAGTTTCAGGTTAAGAACGGACCTCCGGAACGAATTAAGTACTTAACCTGAGGTACCACTGTATAAACTAGGTGCCAAATGGCTCCTTAAAGAAAGGTTATAGTCACCAAAATGGAATGTCGAGTTGCCATTTAGACAGCTCTAAAGTCTTACAGTGGTACCTCAGTTTAATTCGTTCCGGAGGTCCGTTCTTAACCCGAAACCATTCTTAACCTGAGGCGCGCTTTCGCCAATGGGGCCTCCTGCTGCTGCCGGTGCACGATTTCCGTTCTCATCCTGGGGCAAAGTTCTCAACCCAAGGTACTACTTCCGGGTTTGCAGAGTTTGTAACCCGAAGTGTTTGTAACCCGAGGTACCACTGTATTTTTCAAGTGATGGACTGACTGTGATTGATTCTCATTTAAAGATCTGGCTAGTTCAGAGGAGCACCTTGAGCTGGGTTAAGAGCTCTGAGAACTTCAAGAAGAAAAGTCACTTGATCCAGGGACAGTCCACATATATATTGGCCTGTTCCAGTCTCTTTTTCTTAATGGTGACACGGACCATTCATAAGGTAAGAATATTCCTCACAACCATGAGCAGGGCAGAGGGGTGCAGAGAAGGCAAGCTGCAACAATTAACTATAATGTTGTTCACTGTTCCTGCTCAGGCTGCCCAGAAAAAGCATTTTAGTTCCTGAAATTCATACCGATTATGCAGGTAAAATATAACAGATAGAATTCTACAGAATGTGGCATTAGGGTGCGAAAACAGTCACAACCCAATGATTCCCAGGCATGCACCTCCAGATGGTGATGTCACCTAGCATCCAGGCATTTTCACTTGGTTGCAAGTAGCCAGGTTCAAAAAGCTCCTGGCACCTGGCTAATTTCGAACACTCCTCTGAAGAGGAGAAGGATACCCAAGGCATTGGAATGAAGCAGACTAAAGTGACAGCACACTAGCACGGTCACAAATCTGAAGGGTTCCCATCTAACATGGTCACATTACAAGAATGGAATGAAGCATATTCGCTGCTCAACCAATTCCTCCCTAGTGCATGCTTGTGGGCTTGGGCAGAGAGATGCTGCAGCAGAGGGGTTCTGGAACAGGAAGCCCATGGGTAAAATCTGAACCCAGAGCTCACTGGATGGCTTTGGGCAGGCCACTCTCAGCCTCAACCCCACATCTACAATATAAATATTACGACTGGCCTGCCTTAACATGCTTGCTGTAAGGCTCGTCACAGGGGCATGTAAGTGAAACGATTTGGGCACTTGGAAGCGCTGTATTTCAACATGCAACTCTGAAAAGCGTTAAAACGCCACTGAATTGCTCTTTGTGATGCTAAATCACTTAAAAGGTCCACGTACAAAATAAATGCACCAATGGCAAGCACACTCCGTTCCCTAGCAAAAGACTTGAGACCCTTCTTGACTGGTTCACTAACAAACAAACTCCACAAGATGAAATTATCAGCTTTGTTTAAATATTGTTGTGGAAAACTGGGCTGTACGCCTTCTGGATTTTTATGCTGGGAACAAGCTCTTAAATATTTACTGCACCAACATTATATCACAATAAATAATAATAATAATTCATGAGAGAATATGTTATGTAAGTACGAAACAGAAGCTGCCTCCTAGACTGATGCCTGGGGGTAGGGATAATTGGAAAAATCTGGAGACAAGCTTGTCACTGTAGTGTACCTTGTAGATTTCTGACATTTCAATCGCTCACTTACTCGATGGATTTCCCCATTTCAATCTGCTTCTGAAGGAATTGTGCAAGCCATTTGCTAGCTACTAGCTGTCCAATCAAGCAAAATCCACCATTGCCGTGTCTCAGATTCCTTCCTTCACCAGTAACATTTAATACGTGAATGTGCCTTATAGAACTGGATGGTATCTGGTTTACAACATCACAATACGTCACCAGCTAAACATCACAATATACTGATATATCACGACGTCTGAAATAAGGATGGAGGCACTGGCTGGTTTCACATTTTTTTCTGCGTGCGCATGCGATGCAAGAATCACACCATGATTCATGATATATTGCCAGGTCAAAAATTATGAAACAGACATCACAATATGGACTTTGAACTGCTTTCGGAACTTATATCGATGTATCACCCAGCCCTAGTGCCTTACTGCACACAGTGCCAAGGAGAAACCGTGCACTCCCTGGCCCAATGACCACAACAAATACAAGGAAGCCAATACTTGGTATCTTGCATCATAACTGGTGACTCAAAAGTCATCCCTGAAGCTCCCAATGATATGAAACTCAAGGGTTTCTTCAGCCACTAGGCGGGAGAGTCAGGGGGCAAGGAGTTCTTTTTCCTCCTTCATGTTCCTCATAAAAACCCACTTCCTGTTATTTACACAGAGCTATGGGGACGCAGGTGGCGCTGTGGTCTAAACCACAGAGCCGGGCTTGCTGATCAGAAGGTCAGCGGTTAAAATCCCCGCAACAGGGTGAGCTCCTGTTGCTCAGTCTCTGCTCCTGCCCACCTAGCAGTGCAAAAGCACGTCAAAGTGCAAGTAGATAAATAGGTACCATTCCGGCAGGAAGGTAAACGGCGTTTCCGTGCGCTGCTCTGGTTCGCCAGAAGCGGCTTAGTCATGCTGGCCACCTGACCCGGAAGCTGTACGCTGGCTCCCTTGGCATATAGAGCGAGATGAGCCCGCAACCCCAGAGTCGTCCGCAACTAGACCTAATGGTCAGGGGTACCTTTACCTTTTTTGTGAGCAAAGGGAGGAATTCAACATTGCACCCTCTGATTGCTTTGCCAGAGCAAGCAAATCCCATTGCGCCTGCCCCCTGCACTGCTCTGGGGGGTTCTCCTGACCCTTGAGAGCAGATTTGGGGAACAGAGGGGAGAAAACACCACTGCACTAGTGGGAGCCCTTGCACTAACTTCTGCTAGCACACCAGCTTACTTGAACCCAAGCCACTGCAACATAAACAAGAATTCAGGTTCCTGGTGGTCAAAGCAGCTTACAGTCGAAATTTCAATATGGGAGCACACAACCAAGGAAAGGGAAGAAGCGGTGAATATGAGCAAATGCAACAGTTTCATACTTAGGTTCATTTTTGGCTGGGGATAAGGACTAGGCAACTAAGCCACAGGCTAGTTTTAAAAGGGAGTTGAGGAAGCTGGCATTCCTCACTCAGAGAAGCAAGTACTTCCAGTTAGTGCCGCAAGCTACAAGGAAACAGTACTATGAAATCTCTGCAAGCCAAGCAAAATACTTCCAGCCCACAAAAGGAAGAGAGGTGTATTTTAGGAGCGCTGATGCACTGAAATTACTATTTACAGCTCTACCAACACAACACCTCCCCACCCCCATTTTCTGCAGGTTATTATATAAATACATCTAGACATTCTCTTCTTGCACAGTATGGATCCCAGAACATGTTGAAACAAAAGGTAAGAATACAGAAGGACACACGGGCTAACATGAACATTTCTCTCTCTCTGTGTCTCTCTCTCTGTCTCTCTCTGTCTCTCTCTCTCTCTGCAGGCTTGCATGGCAGAAATGCTTCCCCATTTTGGACAGCGTGGGAAAGGGTTTTCCATGGATAGCAATTTATGATAAAGTTCGTCCATGCAGGGAGGGACTCTGGTCTGACAGGGCCCCTCCCCACATAAAAGAACTCTGCAAAGTAGTTCTACATAGAATCGTAGAATCACAACATCTCAGAGCTGGGAAGGACCCCGGGGGTCATCTAGTCTGTTATAAGAATTTTAAGCTCTCAAATATAGAATAAATATTCATAAATGCACACATATCTAAATATATGAACCATGTGTCTGAAATAGTACGGGAGAGCAATCCTGATGCCATTTTGACTCTCCCAGTGACCTCAAATATTCCTCTCTCTGCAGTAAGGGAGGCAAATGGGGAAATCCTTCCCATTGTCTTTTTGCTTACAAATCCTGTCTTAAGGGCGCATTTGTGTATGACTAGGGTGAGCCTGTGACCTGGATTCAGGAACTAAAGTATTAACCATCACATAAGAATGGCCAGACTTCCCAGGTAATGCAATCAGTCATTTCTGCTGTAGACCACCTCCCTCTGTGATGTATGTATGAAGTTTTTTGGGGGTGGTCTTGGGCTACAGGGTGGGCAATTTCAAAAGTCTATACAGTATAAGGGCCTGTGCACCATTGTTCAGGGTTCTCCTCCCTCCTGCGCATGGCGAGTGGGGACCCTGTTGCAACAGTTCCTTGAATAAAGATCAGGCTTACTAGCCACTTTGCTTCTCAATATACTCTGGTTGGCCTCTGTTATTTTCTCCTACTGATAGGGAACCCACTTAAGGACTCTGTATGGGCTCTGGAATACCGCATAATGGAAAGGGAGCAGTTTTTCTTCTGAGTCCCACCCCCTGCAGTGCAGGAATCTGAACTAGTCCAGTTGGTCATACCACCTCGGCTTAGAAACCTCCAAGGAAGGGGAATCCGCTACCTCTCGTGGGAGTCCGTTCCAATGTCGAAGTCCTAGTTATTCTGGGACTTGTGGACTGTTGAGGACATGGAGGAAAACAATTCCAGAGGGCTTCATCAACTCATTTAAGCTGAGCATCAAGACAAGAACTGCTCTCTTTCCTGCTCCTTTGCATTTGGAGGAGGCGAGAATAAACTTTTGCCTAATCGGAGCTTTCTCAAATTCCCAGATGTTCCCATTGTTTTTTTATGACCAGCCCTTTCTCCTTTCCCAAGGGGAAGAAAAATAATATCCATGGCGAGGTCAGTTGAAGACAGGAAAATGAAAAGTCTAACGTTCTAATTTTCAATTCGTCTCGAATAGGTTTTCAGCGCTGCTGCCCTTCTGACAATCAAACAGCGGGAGGCAGGGAGAGCCACGGGAACAGAACAACAGCCTATGATGATTACCCTTTTCCAGATTTGCTCAGTCACACTTGACATTTCAGACATGCAAATACTACGCCAAGTGTAATAATGTACAAAGCAGAGCTGTTTGGGTTGTTGTTTTTCAGCAGTGATCACATTATTATCTATGTAATCTGACCCCCCCCCCCAATCTGCTGCCAACTGCTAAATTGATTGGGGTGGGGGCGAGGATTCCTCCCAGTAAAGCCTTCCAATAATTCTATCGAATAGATTAAGGGTAGGAAACCTAAGGCCCGGGGGCCGGATGCGGCCCAATCGCCTTCTCAATCCGGCCCGCGGATGGTCCAGGAATCAGTGTGTTTTTACAAGAGTAGAATGTGCCCTTTTATTTAAAATGCATCTCTGGGTTCTTTGTGGGGCCTGCCTGGTGTTTTTACATGAGTAGAATGTGTGCTTTTATTTAAAATGCATCTCTGGGTTCTTTGTGGGGCATAGGAATTCGTTCATTTCCCCCCCAAAAAATATAGTCCGGTACCCCCACATGGTCTGAGGGATGGTGGACCAGCCCACAGCTGAAAAAGGTTGCTGACCCCTGGAATAGATGCATCTTTATAACACACCACCATTTAACTGAATAGAATGGCCAGGTCATTACTATTATTATATTATTATTTTGCATTTCAAGATAAATATAGACAGAAACCTTATAGAGAAATGTCCGTGACAGCTTGGTGCAGATGTGTGACTTGTTCAGTTTCCAGGCATGTGGCCAAGCCAAAAAGAATACCATCTTCTGTCCTCAACTGAGGGGCAATTCGTGAGAGGTGTTTCCTTACTGCAGCATTTGCTGCTACAAACTTTGTACAAACGATGCTGCACTGGGGGTATGTAAAAATAAATAGGCACTTAACGGGACGCGAGTGGTGCTGTGGGTTAAACCACAGAGCCTAGGACTTGCCAATCAGAAGGTCGGCGGTTCGAATCCCCGCGACGGGGTGAGCTCCCTTTGCTCGGTCCCTGCTCCTGCTAACCTAGCAGTTCGAAAGCACGTAAAAGTGCAAGTAGATAAATAGGTACCACTCCAGCGGGAAGGTAAAAGGCGTGTCCATGCGCTGCTCTGGTTCGCCAGAAGCTGCTTTGTCATGCTGGCCACATGACCCGGAAGTTGTACGCCAGCTCCCTCAGCCAATAAAGCGAGATGAGCGCCGCAACCCCAGACCTAATGGCCTGGGGTCCCTTTACCTTTAACACTCTGAAACCTTAACTACAACTAAATTTAAATTGCTATTATTTATCCTCAGCGCATTTATGTGGCCTCTGACCACCAATACACTCAATTCTAGGTTTTAATTTTCTGCTGGGGTTCTCCTGAACTACCTTATTCTATACAAACACGCATAGAACATTATAGCTCCTACCCTTTGGGCTGTTACCAGCAGATGAAAGATGAATCCATGTTTAATTGACTTGTTATTTAGCTAGGATCAGCATCAGATATTTATCTATTATTTAATCTGTTTAATCTGTTCTTTAATTCTGAAGACAGCTGGGGAGCCCCAATGATAACACACTCTATAAATCATTTGTTTACCACCAGCTTGTCAATGCTGCGTCTTAAAATCAGAACGAACATGAGTAAATATTTGGTTTGCAGGCTTGATAATGTTTTTGTGTTTGGCTGGCTGTTTTTACAACTGCCTTTAAATGATAAGCATGCAAAATTACACAACCCCTCCCCCCCCCAAAATAACCAACCTGCTTAATATCCACATGATAAACAAGAATTGGTCAGAGAGAACCAATTGTAATGTATTACAGAGAGCTTTTTAATGATCATGGTGAGACTATAAACCACCAAAATTCAGAATATGAATATGAAAGTATGTAAAATCAGGGGGAGGGGCAGACAACACATGTTTTCCATTTCAGAATACAAGGAGCCAGAGACTACTACTGTGGGCTACATCACAATCTAACAAAATGAGTGAACAGCTCACACTGGCCCAATAAAGAACAGGCCTTTAGCTACACAGATACAAATTTACAGAACATGCAAAATTCGCTACAGATTTTGTCATTTCTCCCCTGAAGCTTCATGTTTCTAGGTCCCCTGGCTCCTGCTGATTCTAAATTATATGAAACTGCCTTCGCTACCTTTGCTGAGGAAAGGAAAAGATGGTGTCAGGCAAACAACACAGAGCAAGTGGCTGGTTTTCCTATCAACTGATGGGAGTCACTCACACAGTGCCTCAGGGCAACCAACTGCCTAAGTGTGTTGTCAGTATCAGGAAAAAATATGGGAGGAGGAGGACACTCGTGAAAGGGTCGAGGATGTGAACCATGAAACTGCCATTTGTTAAGAAACTTGGCTGAAATCCTAAAACACATTTAACTGGGAGTAAGTTCCACAGAAGGGATGCGGGTGGTGCTGTGGGTTAAGCCACACAGCCTAGGACTTGCCGATCAGAAGGTCGGCGGTTCGAATCCCCGGGACGGGGTGAGCTCCCGTTGCTCGGTCCCTGCTCCTGCCAACCTAGCAGTTCAAAAGCACATCAAAGTGCAAGTAGATAAATAGGTACCGCTCCAGCAGGAAGGTAAACGGCATTTCCGTGCGCTGCTCTGGTTCACCAGAAGCGGCTTTGTCATGCTGGCCACATGACCCGAAAGCTGTACGCCGGCTCCCTCAGCCAATAAAGCGAGATGAGTGCCGCAACCCCAGAGTCGGTCACGACTGGGCCTAATGGTCAGGGGTCCCTTTACCTTAAGTTCCACAGAACTCAGTGGGAGTTACTTCCAGAAGGCATGACTAGACCTGCGTTATAGGTTCATCTGCTGCATCTAAGAGCTATGACGATGCTACTGGGCATAGGCAGGTGGGAGAGAGAGAATCATGGAATCGTACAGTTGGAAGGGACCCCGAGGGTCATCTAGTCCAACCCGCTGCAATGCAGGAATATGCAAACGACCCATGCAGGGATCGAACCTGCAACCTTGGCGTTATCAGCACCACACTGTAACCGCTTTTGGAATAACTGTATGGAACTGATCTTACGCTACGGACTTAAAGCTCTATCACTTCCTCAATGATCTGTTGGCAGGTTTTATCAATAATCGCACCAGAAACAACAAATACACATCCCCACATGTCTTTCTATAAATATAGGTAAAGGTAAAGGTACCCCTGCCCGTACGGGCCAGTCGTGACCGACTCTAGGGTTGCGCGCTCATCTCGCTTAAGAGGCCGGGAGCCGGCGCTGTCCAAAGACACTTCCGGGTCACGTGGCCAGCGTGACGAAGCTGCAGCTGGCGAGCCAGCACTAGCACCGCACACGGAAACGCCGTTTACCTTCCCGCTATAAAGCGGTACCTATTTATCTACTTGCACTTAAGGGTGCTTTCGAAATGCTAGGTGGGCAGGAGCTGGGACCGAACGACGGGAGCTCACCCAGCTGCGGAGATTCGAACCGCCGACCTTACGATCAGCAAGTCCTAGGCACTGAGGTTTTACCCCCAGCGCCACCCACGTCCCTTTCTATAAATATACTCTTTAGTATATTTCTCAGGCAAAACAAAAATCTGCAGGGTTTCTTCTCGGCATGGGGGCAGGAGAGGGAAGAAAGCTTCAGTCCAGCAGTCCACACCACAGACTTAACCCAGTTTAACAGCCATTTCTATCTCCCTAAGCGCTATCTGTAAGCAAATGTGCAGAACGCTTACCAAAAAAATAAAATAAAAATGTGTTTCTCAGGATTCCAAGGCAGTTCAATTGACATGAAAGTGGCATGAATGTTATTTCTTCTATGTGTCTTCCAAGTTAAGGAACTGGGTGCTACTGAAGTCTGCCTTAAAATATTTACAAATAGTCCACTAAAAATAAGCTTTGGGTCTGTTTAACTATAACAACATTAAATGTGCTCTACTGACCTTTATCCTGAAATCAAATATTTCAACTCAACTCAACTTAGCTACTAGGGGGGGGGAAATATTTTTATAGCATGTACAATTAAATCAGCCAGGCCTTTGGCTAATTAAACCATCTACGAGGGGCATTTTTTTGGTTGGATAGTATGGTATGGTATGTATGATTTGTGTTTTATATTGTAACCAGGGCTCAGCAAACTTTTTCAGCAGGGGGCTGGTCCACTGTCCCTCAGACCTTGTGGGGGGCCGGAGTATATTTTCGAGAGAAAAATGAACGAATTTCTATGCGCCACAAATAACCCAGAGATGCATTTTAAATAAAAGGACACATTCTACTCATGTAAAAACGACCTGATTCCCAGAACATCTGCGAGCCGGATTTAGAAGGCGATTGGGCCGGATCTGGCCCCCAGGCCATAGTTTGCCTACCCACGTTGTAACCCCCTCTGTGATCTTGGATGAAGGACGGTATTTAAATTTTATAAACAACAACAACAAATTATGATGATGTGTAGTTTTCAATTATATTATACTGAATACAACTCAAATAACCATGTTGATTTAGGGTATTAAGAATCCCCCCCTCCAATTTTCTAAATCACAATTTTCTGGGAAACCAGTGTCACTGCCTAGTATCTCTTGCCAGTTCACAGCTCTGTGTGTGTGTGTGTGTGTGTGTGTGTGTGTGTGTTTGAAGCTTTGACCTAAACCACCTGCCAACTTTACCTTCCTGCAAAGAAGCAGGATCACGGACTGTTTTATTCATTAAGCAACCAAAAACTCCTAGCAACCACAGTCCAGACCATGGGTAGGCAAACTAAGGCCTGGGGGCCAGATCCGGCCCAATCGCCTTCTAAATCCGGCTCACAGACGGTCTGGGAATCAGCGTGTTTTTACATGAGTAGAATGTGTGCTTTTACAGTGGTGCCCCGCAAGACGAATGCCTCGCAAGACGAAAAACTCGCTAGACGAAAGGGTTTTGCGTTTTTTGAGCTGCTTCGCAAGACGAATTTCTCTATGGGCTTGCTTCGCAAGACGAAAACGTCTTGCAAGTTTGTTTCCTTTTTCTTAACACCGTTAATACAGTTGCGACTTGACTTCGAGGAGCAACTCATAGCACGCGGTGTGGTAGCCTTTTTTGAGGTTTTTGAAGACTTTGGTGGTGTTGGAGAGGGGTTTGCAAGAATCTGGAAGCTTGTGTGTTTTTTTCTGCATTTTTATGATTTTCTGTGACCATTGGGCCACTCTGCTGTTTTTTAAAAAAATTTCTGGATTTGAATTTCTGTGTGGTGGGCGGCTGGGGGAACAGTTGAGGAGGGGGTTCTTCAGCAAGAAGCAAAGAGTGGAAGAGGAACCTTCTTCGAGTTGTCCCCAGAGTCTTAGAAAATGTACTGTACACTTTGTTGATTTTTAAATGTTTTTCTGTCATGTTTAGAAACTTAATTTATTGTTCCTTCAATTTTTGAAATGCTCTTTACAGTATGTGTGACTTTAAAGAGCACTTAATAAACTCTTGTTGTACCAAATTTGGCTTTGTTTGGACTTTTTTGACCATAGGAACGCATTAATTGAATTTCAATGCATTCCTATGGGATTTCGTGCTTCGCAAGACGAAAAATTCGCTAGATGAAAAAACTCGCGGAACGAATTAATTTAGTCTTGCAAGGCACCACTGTATTTAAAATGCATCTCTGGGTTATTTGTGGGGCATAGGAATTCATTCATTTCCCCCCCAAAAAATATAGTCCAGCCCCCAACAAGGTCTGAGGGACAGGACCAGCCGCCTGCTGAAAAAGTTTGCTGACCCCTGGTCCAGACAGTCAGTGTGGGAGCCACACTGTCACATGCGCAACACAATATAGATATTTTTAACAGTGTTACTCGTGTGCCCATTTTACAGGGATTACAGGTTCAAAAACAGCTAAATCAGAATGTATCTATATTTTTCCACTGTCAACTCAAACTACTAGCAGGAATTTACACAGCGTTCCCTAGCGCATCCATGATCTGGCAATGCAATGCTCCAACTTCAAACCCATCAGCAGAATTTGGGCCACATAGTGATCTGCAACATTACAGGACTCAATGCTTAATAAAGGCAGATGCCTGCTAATAATTCTCACCCTTTCCAGTTTTGATAGCCTTTAGGAATGGTGTGCTAGTAAATACTTCCTAGCTTTACCCAACAAGGAACATTAAATAGTTCCTAACTGGGGACCCCCCACAGCAGCACACAGAAATTGCAACACAAAGGAAGTGGAAGGCAGGGAAACTGAAAACAAAACAAAAAAACAGAATTTCTGCCCTAGCCCTGCACTTTGATGCCTCTTCTCCACTGGCAAACCATTAGCTCAAGGTGACATTCCGATACTGTTAATGTAAAAACAGATTAATTATTGTGTCAAAAAGCAAAGCATCTCCCCACATAGTGGTTTAATTACATTCTCTCCCCCCCCCCCACTGGCATTTTTACGGCCCATCTGTCACTTAGATTTATTATGTGACTGTCAACAACCTTACCTAGACTGTCAAAAATACTGGGTTATATCACTCCCCACTCAGAAGCTGAAACTAAGCCGTGTGTGTGTGCGTGTGTGTGTGAGAGGGGGCGCGGGGCTTATTCCCATCAGATCCTTACAAGGAAATTGTCCTCAATGGATGCCTAGCTCTTTCAAGTGTCTCCATCAGTTTCTCCTGCATCCTGCCAAGACTGCTAGCCCAGAGAACAAAGATTTACACTGTTGGCAGAGCAGAGTTGAACTGAACCACTTTGTAGCAGGCAGGCAGGCAGGCAGACAGACAACTCTGGAATCACCCATCAAAATTTACTGCAGCCTATTCATCAGGACAAGAGAGAAGATCTGGCCCTGAGAAGCAAACGGACAGTGAAGCGAGAGAACAGCTGCAGTGTCTCCAGACAGCCTCAATCTATTCAGCGCTTAAGATGAAGGAGGAAAAACCTGCAGAGGAGCCAGACTGAGAATCCAAGAGCCAAACCACACGCGAAAAGCGAGGCCTGTGGCTGAACCCCATGTCTTTTTCCTTAATGCAAAGTGGCACTGTGGGGTGGGTGTGTATTAATTTGATTGGAGAAGAGATGTTGGGGAATGGGGCTTTTAATTCTCTTCACTGCCCCACACTAGATCAGCACTTCATGTAACTTGCAGGTTTTTCTGACGTTACCATATTTTTCGCTCTATAGGACGCACTTTTTCCCCTCCAAAAATGAAGGAGAAATGTGTGTGCGTCCTATGGAGCAAATGCAGGCTTTCGCTGAAGCCTGGAGAGTGAGAGGGGTTGGTGAGCACCGACCCCTCTCGCTCTCCAGGCTTCAGGCAGCTATCCGCAAGCCTTCTGAGCGCGGCGGGAGTTCCCGTCGGGCTCCAAAGGCTTGCGGATAGCAGCCTGTTCTGGGGCTGGGGGAAGCTCGGGCTTCCCCCGTCCCCAGCCCCGCAAACTCCGGGAGCGGCGGCAAGGTTGCGCGCAATCTTGCCGCCGCTCCTGGACCTGTTTTGGGGGCTGGGGTCAGGGGATTGCGCTCGCTGTCTTGGCTTCTTTGCTCTTTGGGGCTGGGGGGGGGAATAATTTTTTTTTCTTTATTTCCCCCCCTAAAAACTATGGTCCGGTGCGCCCTATGGAGCGAAAAATACGGTACCTGGTATGCAACTTTTAAAGCGCAGCAGACCAGCAGGATTGCCAGCAGCTGCAGCTCACTTATCCCAGAAAGCATTTTTTTTCTGAAACAGAAAGTCAATTTCTGGAATAGGAAGTCAGTAAGATTTGCTGGATTGCCTGCACCTGGTCCCACCAGGCCCCCACATTGAGATCTGCCTCGGAGACCCTCCTAAGTATGCCCACTTCCTAGGGAGGCGCAGGTCAATTCTGTGTCCAGGGCAGCTGTCTATCAGCTCCATCTGCTACGCAGGCTGAGACCCTACCAGCCCATGGACTGTCTCGCCAGAGTGGTGCACGCTCTGGTTATCTCCCTCTTCAGAGACTATTGAAATGTGCTAAATGTGCTCTATGCGGGACTACCTTTGAAGGTGACCCGGAAACTACAATTAATCCAGAATGCGGCAGCTAGATTGGTAACTGGGAGTGGATGCCAAGACAACATAACACCGGTCCTGAAAGACCTACATTGGCTCCAGGTATGTTTCCAAGCGCAATTCAAAGTGTCGGTGCTGCTGACCTTTAAAGCCCTAAACGACCTCGGCCCACTATACCTGAAGGAGAGTCTCCACCCATATTGTTCTGCCTGGACACTGAGGTCCAGCTCTGAGGGCCTTCTGGTGGTTCCCTCCTTGTGAGAAGGGAGGTTACAGAGAACCAGGCAGAGGGCCTTGTTGGTAGTGGTGCCCGCCCTGTGGAACGCCCTGCCACCAGATATCAAGGAAACAAACAACTATCTGACTTATAGAAGACATCTGAAGGCATCCCTGTTTAGGGAAGTTTTTAATGTCTGCTGTTTTATTGTATTTTTAATATTTTGTTGGGAGCCGCCCAAAGTGCCTGGGGAAACCCAGCCAGATGGGCAGGGTATAAATAATAAATTGTTGTTGTTGTTGTTGTTGTTGAATTGTAGAGTTGGAAGGGACCTCAAGGGTCATCAAGTCCAACCCCTGCAATGTAGGAATCATGCCCACAGTTGTCCCTGGGCAGGCCCGAACTACCAACCTTCTGGTTAACAGCAAAACACACTGACCCACTGTGTCACAGAGATGTAATGTTGCTGTTCAGGAGGGACAGGAACTTTGGCATGGTGGCCTCACAGCTTTGAAGCACACTTCCCGTACACCTCTGATGAGTGACTACATTGCAAGGTTTTTGGAAGGTCTTGAAGGCTCATTTCTCAGAGCAATGTTTTCAGCTTGGTCGGATATTATGCCTAAATAAGTTTCATTCTTGTTATTCTTGAAGTCACAACACTGAAACAAACTATCTCTATATTCATTTTAGCATTTGTAGCTTAAGGAACGGGAAACGTTTGCAGGTTGGTGGCAAACAGCTGCCACAATGTAATCTGCAACTTGTTATCTACAGCTTATCTCTGAAGAACTGCTAGTTTCTGCACATTTTCCAAGAAAGGACACCTTCCTCCCAGACTCTGGAAGTTGAAAATGAGCAAGTTCAAGATGAATATTTTCACAACATCTAAATTAGCTCTGCGCACTTTGCGCCCTAAAGTTAAGATCTGGAAAAAAGTAGCATCTTTTTAAAATAAACTGTCAGGAATCAACAAATGCACTCACTCGCCATAGATGGTGAAGCATCTACCTTTCCCAGCTCTGGGCCAATTTTACTTCCCTCCTCTCTGGCAGGAGCAAAGGAGGTGAGCTCAGGAATACCTTAATGTGTATCATTGTTTGGATCATCAGGACAAATTTATAAAAACAGGAGATGGAGGAAGCTGACAGAAGCAGCAGTTCTCAAATGCCACACCTGAAAATTGTGGGCAGGGGACACACACAACAGATGACTTAATAAACCTTTAGTTGTTGTTCTACAAATCAAAGCACATGCATAACTCGATAATAACTGCAGCCTTGCCTTTGTCAGAGAATCATGGCGGAACTGGATTTCACCACTGCCTAGCAGAAAATCGCCGGCTACCAAGGCCAGCCAGAATTTGTGAATCCCACAGGAGGCTTACAACACTCGACAATCTCCATCACAAACAAGGATTGGCCCACAAAGTTCTATGCAACACTAATACATGTGTCACAGCTAGTGATGCAAACGCCTAGATTTTGCAGCAAGCCAACATGAGCTCTGTGAATGAAGGAACTTCCTCACAGAAGTAGCCTAGCTGTGGGGGGGGAAACTGCTAACTCAACTATACAGATACTTGCAGAGATTAATTGTCTCTGAAGAAGAACACGCTATTAACCACTAATGCCACAAATAAATCTTCCTACCCTCCAGTGTGCAGCCTTCCCATGACGGGCTTTTGCAAAATCAGCAAATGCAATTACATCCTATAATGAAGCCACTATGAATGGGGAAAAGCACATGTTTAAGTGCACTCTGCAGGTAAGGTAACCCACAGGTATTTTAACTGACTGTTTTAAGGTGGAAGAGAAGCCACATTCTGTGGCTAATGCGTTCCTTTCCTCTGGTTTTAAAACCACAAGTGCTGCTTAGGGGGCTTTTGCGCAATACCCCACAAGTATTAGGGTGCAAGACTAAGCAAGAATCCCAGCTGGCCCAGAATGAATGCCACAATATTTCCTCACAGAAATAATGATTTTTACATATTGTTTTCTTTCTGCAGCAAATAATCTTGGGTACAGTTAACTACCAGTAACAATACTTATTGGGGCAAAAGCAACAGATCGTACCTTTTGACATAAATGCAGTCCATTGCATTTAGTTACCAATTCACAGAAACTATTCTCCTAGAACATTTGAGTGAAGTTTGTGGAATAATCAAATGCCTCATCCTTTGCCTCATGATCTCCATTAATTTAATTTTTTATTTTTTTAACAGTATTTCCCTCCCATGACAACCATGCTTCAAAAAAAGGTCTGTATTAAGGAGTTCTCCACTATTCTAGCTACAAGAAGTTTAGCTGCAAGTGTAGACCCCCATTAATGACTTTACTTCACAAATTCAAAACACATGAACCCATAATTGAGACATTTTTTTGAGTCTATCAACCAATCAGCTCATTTGCCAGGCATTTCCGGAATATAACAACAACCAGACAGACTTGCATAAACTTTGCTTTCAGCCATGTTAAGAATGTCCTAGCATGGATGCAAAGGTTATTTTCCCACAGCAGGAACCACGGTCAAGATTCACAATTACAAAAATAGTAAGCCAGAAGGAGTGTTGATGACAGCCTTACAGAGAAACAAAAGGAGTTTAAAGACCGAAGCATTACTGAATTGTTCAGCTGAACTCGCATAGCAAAGAGTTTGGAGTAAGCTTGCAGTATAGCATTGGCTTCTGGTTCCACAAAGCCCAGTTCCACGTAGAGCAGGGGTAGGCAACCTAAGGCCCGTGGGCCAGATGTGGCCCAATCACCTTCTCAATCTGGCCCGCAGATGGTCAGCGTGTTTTTACATGAGTAGAACATGTCCTTTTATTTAAAATGTATCTCTGGGTTATTTTGGGGGCCTGCCTGGTGTTTTTACATGAATAGAATGTGTGATTTTATTTAAAATGCATCTCTGAGTTATTTTGGGGGCATAGGAATTCGTTCATTTCCCCCCAAAAAATATAGTCCGGCCCACCACACGCTCTGAGCGACGATGGACCGGCCCACGGCTGAAAAAGGTTGCTGACCTCTGGCGTAGAACAAATCCTTTACGACTCAACAGATGCAGAGCAATTACAATTTCCTTAATTGTTTCATTAACTCTCAACAAGATTTAGCCTCAAACTAGGACTGATAACCAGAAATAGACTGCGTAAAATTCCTACGGCCCAAGGGTGTGGACAGACCCCATGGATGGCTGAGGTCACCCAGCTGGGCATTTGACATTTGACCTCACTGACTTGCTCAAAGCAGCCGGAAGAGACTTGGCCAAGAGGGCTGAAAAAGCGCAAAATGTTTCCTCGACGTAATACATTGTACCAAGGAGTCTGAAGGAAGCCATTGTTAAGATCTTCAGTGAAAGAGCCCTCTCTAAATTGCATGGTGCTGGAAGATTGCAAGCCAGCCCCCAAAATTCCCTTCTAGGCAAGGTGGTGAACCAATTCCAGGGATTGCTTATACCACTTTATATTTTAAAGAGAACACCCCAAAGCGGTTTATATCACATTGAAACATCAAATAAAACAATCCAGAATAAAGCGAATTCAAGCTTCAAGGAAAATACTTCAGATCTTTCTCTAAGTGACATTTTGCCTTCTCCATATTTATTTACCTACATAATTTATACAGCTGCCCCATAGCAGAAGTACGCTAGGAAGCCAGGGTGGTGTAGTGGTTAGCAGGGGTCAACAAACCTTTTCAGCAGGAGGCTGGTCCACTGTCCCTCAGACCTTGTGGGGGGCTGGACTATATATATTTTTTGGGGGGGGTGAACCAACTCCTTTGCCCCACAAATAACCCAGAGATGCATTTTAAATAAAAGCACACATTCTACTCATGTAAAAACACGCTGATTCCTGGACTGTCGGCAGGCCAGATTTAGAAGGCGATTGGTCTGGATCCGGGCCCCGGGCCTTAGTTTGCCTACCCATGGGTTAGAGCAGGGGTCAGCAAACCTTTTCAGCAGGGGGCCAGTGCACTGTCCCTCAGACTTTGTGGGGGGCCAGACTAGATTTTGAAAAAATGTATACGAACGAATTCCTATGCCCCACAGAGATGCATTTTAAATAAAAGGACACATTCTACTCATGTAAAACACGCTGATTCCCGGACCGTCTGTGGGCCAGATTTAGAAGGCGATTGGGCCGGATCCAGCCCCTGGGCCTTAGTTTGCCTACCCATGGGTTAGAATGTCAGACTAGGACCTGGGAGATCAGGGTTCAAGTCCTCACTCAGTCATGAAGCTCACTGGGTGACCTTGGGTCAGTCACTGCCTCGTAACCTACCTCACAGGGTTGCTGTAGGGGTAGGGTGAACCATATATAAATGCAATAAATAACCTGCTTAAGAAAGCTGGAGGGACCAGCCGGATGGAGCCGTCAGGTTGACTAAGCTGGCATCCAGAGATCTCCACATGGTCGCAACTGGACCCGCACCACTCGCAAAACGCACCTGGCGCCTGGCTAGTTTCTAACACTGACTGGAACCAATAGTTAGCTACGATTAACACTAATGACAGTTCTTTGTTAACAAGGCCTTAAGAACTAGTTAGCAAGCCCTGGTTAAGTATACCTGAAGGAGCGTCTCCACCCCCATCGTTCTGCCTGAATGCTGAGGTCCAGCGCCGAGGGCCTTCTGGCGGTTCCCTCATTGTGAAAAGCAAAGCTACAGGGAACCAGGCAGAGGGCCTTCTTGGTAGTGGCGCCCACCCTGTGGAACGCCCTCCCATCAAATGTCAAAGCGATAAACAACTACCTGACATTCAGAAGACATCTTAAGGCAGCCCTGTTCAGGGAAGTTTTTAATGTGTGACATTTTAGTGTATTTTTGGTCTTTGTGGAAGCCACCCAGAGTGGCTGGGGAAACCCAGCCAGATGGGCGGGGTACAAATAATAAATTATTATTATTATTATTATTATTATTATTATTATTATGGAATCAGGGTTAATGTTAATCACAGTTAAGTTTGCTAACCACAGTTAAGGTCGGCCTCAGGAAGTCAAACTTCGTAGAGAAGGAAGCCCCAAATCGTGCTTTGATTCCTTTAACATGGCCAAGGGCCACTCTATAACAGCACCCAGACCCTTTACATCAGAGCAAATAGGTAAGATCAGTATGGCAACATTAATCATCTGCCTTACTTTTAATAACTACTAGAAACATGTACTCACACAGTCCTTGGACAGCTATAATTATAAATCCGAAAGATCATGACCAGACCCTTCTCAACATTATCGGGCTTATTTTTAGATTACTTCCTGATAACAGCTACTTTTTCAGAGAGGTGTTAGACTCAGTGAAACAGTGATCTGAGTTGAAGAGTACACACATCTCTTTTAAGAGTTGGTGCTTTGGCGCAGAATATTTCTCAAAGCAATTATAAGGCAGGTAGACAAGAGTGCATGAGCCTGTATGGCGCTCATGTGCTCCCAACTGGGAACATCATACTATAAAATAATAATAAAATAATAATAATAATAATAATAATAATTTATTTATAGCCCACCCATCTGGCTGGGTTTCCCCAGCTACTCTGGGCAGCTCCCAAAAGAATTAATGATACTAATAATAAAAAAGCAATAAAACACCAGACATTAAAAACTTCCCTAAATAGGGTTGCCTTCAGATGTCTTCTAAAAGTCAGATAGCTGTTTATTTCCTTGACATCTGATGGGAGGGCGTTCCACAGGGCGGGTGCCACTACCGAGAAGGCCCTCTGCCTGGTTCCCTGTAACCTCACTTCTCACACGAAGGGAACCACCAGAAGGCCCTCATAGCTGGACCTCAGTGTCCGGGCTGAACAATGGGGGTGAAGACGCTCCTTCAGGTATACTGGGCTGAAGCCCAGTACTGCCTTGAAATCCAGCAAAGCCCTAAGTTTCCCTTGACAGAACGGTCTAAAATTTAAAATATTGCAGCGGGATGGTGGCAAAGTCTCTGAGAGCCAAACTAGATATGATAGGGGTAGCTCCATTTATTAGCCCCGCATCTGAGATTCCTGCATCACAAGGGGTTGGGCTAGATGACCCTCAGGATCCCTTCCTTTCTGTGATTCTATGTATGAAGCAGTGCGGGCGAGGAGATCTAAACTCTCCCCCACCAGCCTGTTTTGTCTCTGTGTAGTTCCAATATAAGAAGTGTACCAAATTGGGGAGCGGAGTACCAGTGACAACAGAATGAAGGAATGCAAGGAAGGGGAAAGTTCAGCTCCCCTCGCCTCCCCGCCCATATTGATGTAAAAATTGGAAGCCACCCCCTGCTTTAATCCAGAACATGGAAAACATATGATTCAACAAGCATGGATACTGGTGTCATGTCAGCTTTGGTCCTCTGGAGAAGAGGGAAGCAGAGGAAGAGATCACTGCCTCTGGAGGAGTTTGGCGACAGAGCTACATCTATGTTATTGGTGGTGGAGCAACAAGTGCTACAGCTCCAGAAGGCCTTTGTCCTGGGAGCAGAACTTCCCTCTTGGCTGCTAAAGAAGAGAGACTTCTCCCTCTCCCTCCAGAGGCTGTATTATTCCAGCTGCCGCAAAGAGACAATTAGGGTGAGTAATTAAATTTTCTTCCACTTGTTTATGATCAAGGACTTGCCGAGGGAAACACTAATTTACTAGAACCTTCTCCCTCTGATAGAAGCCACATTCAGCCACCTTCTGTTTTCCTTTAAAGCAGCTGCTTGTTCAAGAAATTTCTTGCCTCCTCAAGAACAGGACCACTGCTCTGAACAGCGTACTACTTAAGAAGAGTCTCTGAAGTAAGGCTGTCTGAAGTGGTTTAGAAATTGGACGCACCCCAAAACAATACGTTCTTTTGTTGACTTCTGGATACACAGGCAGAGGTCAATTCCAATGCAAGCTCTTCAAAACGGTGACATAATCAATAAGGTTAACACTGCCAGCCAATCACTAATTCCAGAAGACTTAAAGAGCAGTATCAAATCTACAGAGTCCAGACAAGTTATATCATTGCTGGGAGCAATACACACCCGACCCGACCCTCCCATACATGAATGGAAAGCAGTTCCTTGTGGACACAGAGGAGGGAGGAGAATACCGTATTTTTCGCTCTATAAGACGCACCAGACCATAAGACGCACCTACTAGTTTTTGGAGGAGGAAAACAAGGGGAAAAATATTTTGAATCTCAGAAGCCAGAACAGCAAGAGGATCACTGCGCAGCGAAAGCAGCAATCCCTCTTGTTGTTCTGGCTTCAGCGATAGCTGCGCAGCCTGCATTCGCTCCATAAGACGCACACACATTTCCCCTTACATTTTAGGAGGGAAAAAGTGAGTCTTACAGAGCAAAAAATACGGTACTTCCTTCCAACAACATCCACAAGGAGGGGGGCAAGCTTGCAGGACTGCTGGGGTTCAGAAGGTATATAGAATTACTTCTGGTAAAAGGAAATAGATGAGTCCATGTGTGCAAACAAACGCTGCTTTGAATCTCATCCAGCCTGCCAATTATAATTTATGAACGGAGTACAACCAATTTTTAAAGAGAGATCTAGCGCTGACCACTTACAGGGAGTAAGCTCCATTAAATGCAATGGGACTTGTAGTGTATAGGATTACACAGTTGATGGCTGTATGGTATTTCCTCACTAAATCTGACTAGCATAGCCAACGTGCCCCAAACCTTTTAATAAGTGCAACTATCCCAGACGACGCAAGAATGCATACAAGATTACTGTGTTCATTTCATACAGGATTTCAGGTTCCTGACCTCTAAAATTAAGATTGAAGTCAAAGTGAGTTATAGTCCAACAACATCGTCTAAGGGGGAAAAGAATGAAACCCATTCACGACTGCCACCATCTTTGCGCTAAATAAAGGTAAAGGTACCCCTGACCGTTAGGTCCAGTCGCAGACGACTCTGGGGTTCCACGCTCATCTCGCTCTATAGGCCGAGGGAGCCGGCTTTGTCTGCAGACAGCTTCTGGGTCATGTGGCCAGCATGACTAAGTCACTTCTGGCGAAACCAGAGCAGCGCACGGAAATGCCGTTTACCTTCCCGCCAGAGTGGTACCTATTTATCTACTTGCACTTTGACGTGCTTTGGAACTGCTAGGTTGGCAGGAGCTGGGATTGAGCAACGGGAGCTCACCCCATCACAGGGATTAGAACTGCTGACCTTCTGATCCTCAAGCCCAAGAGGCTCAGTGGTTTAGACCACAGCGCCACCAGCGTCCCTTCGTGCTAAATAATCAGACCTAAATGAAAAGAGCAATAGTTTGGAACTTTATTTTTCGTTTTTAAATCAAGATGCACTACATTTGGCAGAACACCCATATCAGAAGTTCAAAACTGAATTTAAACAACATTTGACGTGTCGCAAAAGTTATATGTTCCAGTTTTTATTGTCATTCTCTTAGGTTTAATTTCCGAACTCAACTGCATTCCCCTTCAAATGAAATTCCACATCTCGGATTTCAGTCATCTTAAATAATAAATGCTACTTTATGCCCTGAAGCACTACCACGAGGGAAACTCCACACTTAGCAAACGTTGGAGTAAATGCTGAAAACACACCTACCATCAAGAAAATAAAGAGAAAGTAGTTAATTTTACATCAGTTTGCACATACATGTGCATATGTCTTTGACCTTAGTTCAGATTAAAACATGATTTATTTATTCTTTAAAAGGGGGTGTGTGCCAAATTCAATGTTGCAATTAAACAACTTTTATATATCGCTAATATATCCTCCCCTCCCCCCAAAAAACCCCTCAAAGCAATTCTTCAAACAGCCTTGCACATCTTTTCCCAACCTGGTGCCATACGGATGTTGTTGGACTACAACTCCCATCAGCCCAAGCCAGCGTGGCCAATGGTCAGGGATCATGGAAGTCCAACAACTGCTGGAGGGCAATAGTTTAAAGGTGGCTGTACTTGTATAATAGGATACTGTCATGTAACAAGAGTGTTTGCAAATACAGTAGTACCTTGGTTTACAACCATAATCCGTTCCAAAGGTCTGTTTGTAAACCAAGACAGGTTGTAACCCAAGGCGCACTTTTGCCAATGGCGCCTCCCAAAACAATTTGTTTGTAATCCCCCCCAAAATGGGTTGTAATCAAAAAAAAGGTTGCAAACCGGGACACACACTTCCAGGTTTGACGTGTTTGTAATCCAAAACGTATGCAAACCAAGACGTATGCAAACCAAGGTACCACTTATATTGGTTTGCTTTGGCCCTTAGCAAAATCATAAGCTGGTGTGAGTTTCGAACTTACACTCAACTCACGCTCTTTATAGTGAAATCCTAAAATGAAAGGAGGTAAGGCCCACTGAGCTCAGTGCAATTTACACGTGAGTAAACACACTTAGGATTGCTCTGTTAGCACTATCCTAAATCAGCTCCTGATGCACATCAAAGTAATGAAGTGTTTTTAGAGAGTCAATCCAATCCTACCCTGCCACACTCAAACACGCACACTTCAACAAGAGTAACACAAGCAGAAGTTTTCAACACAAGAGCTAAAGCATTATCCTACCCCTTACTAAAATTTTGCAGTGAAGCACAGAATTAATTTCAGTTAACAAACAGCCCCAAGCCCAGCTATCCAATGCACAGAGACCTCATTAAAGTTGCATGTTTAAAAGCAGAAAACGAAAGGGTTAAAAAGTGACAAGAGCTCTTCTTCCCGGACTTGAATTCATGAAAAGTGATCCAACCTGTTTATCCCCCACTTGCAATTTTAAAAGTTGGCTTCCGAAAGAAATTGGTTCAGTATGGCTCCCTCAAGAGATTAGCACTGGTTTCTGAACATCAACAATACTGAGCTACGATACAGTGGCGGAACACATCGTGGTAAAACATAACCTCAGCATCCGTTCAGAAATAAATGCCGCCAACATGCCAACAACATTGCAATCCAGCCTCATACAAGCTATAAACCTTGCAAGTCAAAGAAAGTTGGTGGTTTGTTTCCCCTGCACCGACAGATGCAACAAACCAACCACATGCAAGAGAAAAGCGCATGTAAGAAAATCAGTTCTAACCACTTCACCGCTAAGGAAAAGCAACTGGCAGTATAATGTGGGAACAAGCTCCACCCACCGCCTGCTATTACAGAAACATAGAAAATATGCATAATATTCAGAATCGGAATCCACAAACTGTGCCATATTACTGGCATTTAGATACCGACAAGATGAAATAAGAACATAAGAAGAGTTTGCTGGATCAGGCCAAATCCAATCCAGCATCTTGGTCTCACAGTGGCCGACCAGATGCCTACGGGAAACCAGGGAGCAGAACATTTAATAATACTAATAATAAATTTTATTTATACCCCGCCCTCCCCAGCCAGAGCAAGGCTCAGGGCGGCTAACACCAATAAAATTACAATAAAACATAATTTGGGGGGGGGGGAGAGAAACAAACAAACAAAAACCAGTTTATTAAAATACAATTTAAAATGCAGCCTCATTTTAATAGTAGCCCGTAAATCAAAACCATAAGGGGAGGGAAACATAAGGGTCAGACTGAGTCCAAACCAAAGGCCAGGTGGAACAGCTCTGTCTTGCAGGCCCTGCGGAAAGATGTCAAGTCCCGCAGGGCCCTAGTCTCTTGTGACAGAGCGTTCCACCAAGTCGGGGCCAGTGCTGAAAAGGCCCTGGCCCTAGTTGAGACCAATCTAACCACCTTGTGACTTGGGACCTCCAAAGTGTTGTCATTTGTGGACCTTAAGGTCCCCCACGGGGCATACCAGGAGAGGCGGTCCCGTAGGTACGTGGGTCCTAGGCCACACAGGGCTTTAAAGGTCAAAACCAGCACCTAAGACCTGACACTGTACTCCACTGGGAGCCAGTGCAGTTGGTAAAGCACTGGGTGAATGTGATCTGCAGAAGAGCCCTCGCCCCTCCCAAGATTTCCCATATTTTTGAACACTGCTGCCTTCCCAACTGTGGAGGCAGAGCATAGGCTAGTAGCCACCGATAGCCCTCTCCTCCAGGAATTTGTCTGATCCTCTTTTAAAGCTGTCCAAGTTGGTGGCCAATAGATTCCGGTGCCGTGAGGTTGTAAGCAACTGTTGCATCTGGGGCTGTTGAACTATCCGTCTAATTAACCGCACGTACCAATCGATACAAAAGGATTTACAACTCTGCAAAAGACACAGATGGCGTGGGCTTGAACTGAAAATATGCACCAAGCACCGTTGGGCTTTTCAAATGTGAGAGATCCCTCCCCCTTGCAAAAGAATGCGCAGAGAGAATGTGTGTCAAATATGTAGCATGATGAAGTAAGCAGGGGCAGTATATGAATGGGCAACAAGAGTTCTGAATGGGCAACAATAGAAGGGGCAGGGGGAGAATCCTGAATGAACTCCATGGAGAAAAAGTGGAGAAAGAACAATACATACCCGGGACTCAGCTATAAAGTTGCAAATAAAACGTTTTAAGTGTACTTTAAGTGCAATACACAATGTGACACTAGATGGCAGTGGTGAGCCTTATGGCAAATTCAATGTATTTTTTTAAACACTTTTTTAAAAAATCATTTTCATATGTGTACACAGTCTATTTTCATATGCCACAGTCATTTTCATATGCCAACACAGTCTACCTGAAGAAAATGGGAGAACTGGAGAACACACATGCCTCCCAACCTACCAACCCTGGTGGTTGGCGACTGTCCAATACAATATTTTGGGATTCGGGGATGTTTTCTGCAGCTGTTCCACTTGCAATTTGCTTCTATCTGCCTGGAAGGGGACTGTGGGAAAAGCTGGTAAGGCAAGTGGGGAATGCGTGCCAAGACCAGAAGTCGCAGAGACTGAAGCTTCAAAGGAACAGTAGCTCAAGTAAGCATCGTAGAACGAATGTCGTGGATCCATAACAGCATTGCTTATTCTCACTCGCAAGGGAAAGGTGTAATAAGGACAGGGAAGGACTTGTCAATGAAAGGGCAGGAATGCAAACGGGGAAGCCTACACCCAGCCGCACACAGTGAAACTGATCTAACACAGGAAAAGAGTTTGTAAACTGGAATCTTCCGTTTGCTGCCACTGCTAACTGGCTGCGGAAAATTAATTGGTTGGGTATTATCTCTGGCCACTGAGTTTCCTAAATCTTTTTAAGGATGCAGTAAGGTGAAAGGCACTGTTTGGACCTGAAAGGATAGGAACTTTATCAAAAAGTGGTGATACAGAGTATCTAAGGCAGGGGTCAGCAAACCTTTTCAGCAGGGGGCCGGTCCACTGTCCCTCAGACCTTGTGGGGGGCCAGACTATATTTTGAAGAAAAAATGAACAAATCCCTATGCCCCACAAATAACCCAGAGATGCATTTTAAATAAAAGGACACATTCTACTCATGTAAAAACACCAGGCATGCCCCACAAATAACCCAGAGATATATTTTAAATAAAAGGACAATTTCTACTCATGTAAAAACACGCTGATTCCCAGACTGTCCGTGGACCGGATTTAGAAGGCGATTGGGCCAGATCCGGCCCCCGGGCCTTTGTTTGCCTACCCATGATCTAAGGCCTAAGGAAGGGGGAAGGGGTAGAACAGTCAGGCTGAAGGGCTGGTCAAGGCAGATTTGAAGGGAGCAACACTGTTACTGCAGGAGCAGAAGTAAATATGAGGTACTACAACACTAGAAGAAGTGTAGAGCCTTGCAAGAGCTTCCTTTGGGAACAGGACAATGATTTAGAGGGGATGGAAAGTTGAGGGCAATGCAGGGACATACAGGGCAGGGGAAGAAATGGGAGGAGGGGCAGCTGTTCAGTAGGTCCCTTGTTTCCAGATTCCTCAGCACCGCAGAGCATGCTCTCAAAGAAAATGACCCCCATCCCAGCATTTGCAACAGTTTTAGAAGTCTGGCCTGGTATCAAATAACAGGTAAAAAGGTAAAGGACCCCTGGAAGGTTAAGTCCAGTCAAAGGCGGCTATGGGGTTGCGGCACTCATCTAGCTTTCAGGCGTTTGTCCACAGACAGATTTCCGGGTCATGTGGGCAGCATGACTAAAGCGCTTCTGGCGCAACGGGACACCATGACAGGTGCCAGAGCGCACGGAAATGCCGTTTACCTTCCTGCCACAGTGCTACCCATTTATCTACTTGCACTGGTGTGCTTTCGAACTGCTAGGTTGGCAGGAGCTGGGACAGAGCAACAGGAGCTCACCCTGTCACGGGGATTCGAACCGCTAACCTTCTGATCGGCAAGCCCAAGAGGCTCAGTGGTTTAGACCACAGCGCCACCCGACTGCCCCCATCAAGTAACAATGCTAAGGGGCAAAGGGGGTGGGAACAGTGAGAGAGTGATGCCGCCCCTCTGTTATTTTATTTTACTTTTTTAAAAACCCTCCTTCACAGAAACACAATAAAACATTATCCCAATAATACATTGCCACTGTCATAGCCGGCGAAGACCGTGCAGGAAAGAGGTGGGTCAGGGAACCGGGGCATCACCATTCTGAGGTGGCATCAGAAAATGGTGCCGTCCACGACACAGCACAGTTGGTAAAGCACGAGGCTCTAAATGTCAGGGTTGTGGATTCAAGTCCCACGTGGGGGCAAAAGATTCCTGCTTTGCACGGGGTTTGGCTAGATGACCCCTGGCGTCCCTTCCAACTCTACAATTCTATGATCCTATGAAAAGCAAGCCTTGCCAGGAAGCTGGAGTGGGGGCACACAGTGGAAAGGGTCATAGTTCAGCGGCAGAGCATCTGCCCATGTGCAGAAGGTTTGACTGCCCACCCCACCCCACCCAACATCTCCAAGTAGGGCCGGGAGAGGTCACAGTCTTAAACCCTGGATTCAGTGTAAGGGAATACTAAGCTATGTAGGTTAAGGATACAACTCAGCATAACAGTAGCTTCCGACATTCCTAAGAGGAGGAAGTAAGAGAGCCAGGAGGAGAATGCAAGATGGCATGTGTAGCATTCTCTCTTTGCAGAAGAGGGGGGAAATGCAGAGTTTGAGAAGAAGAGAAACACCCAGGACTTGGACTTATTCAGATCCTATCTACCTTCAGCAAGGAATTCACAGAAATAACTTTGAATGACACCTGTTGGGCTTACTTTTAAGTGTTTCATAAAACATGGAGATCTATAAATGAAACTATTCTGGTCTGCCAAGGTATGGGAAACAGCTCTTTGAGGAAAAATTAACTCATAAGTTACTGGTCTTGAGAGGCCAACACAAGGAGGACAAATTTATTTCTACTTGGTTATGATTTAATAGTATATATCACTAACCGAGAACACGAACAATCACCTCCTCCAGCTTTCAAATGGATTTGGCTGCTTTAATTGGCTAGCACTCTTTGAGGTGGCGCCTTTACGGTTCTCCAGGGATAGTTTTAGGTTATATTCTGAGAGTTATGATTAAGGCACCCCGTTAAGGTCCTGTTGAGGTATTTATATCCCTGGCTTCTTCTGCTATCAAAAATACGGTTATTATTCCGTATTCTTTTGATTCCGTAAGCTTTGTGAATCATATTCTGAATCACCCGGCCTGCTGTCCTACGATCCCTGTTCGACTTTAAACTCAACTAAAATTAACTTTTAAAAAAACAAACAAACTTTTTTGTTGTTTGAAAGAGGGGCAAAGCAAGTTTGGGTGTGTCAAGCAACTAAACGGGAGTTTGATAAGGAGGAGGAAGGCAGAAGGGGAAACTTGTCAGGAAGCCTTGGAAGGAATTTTTCCTCCCTCCTTCCTTTTTTGCTGGGTGGAGGAAAGAGAAGACCTTTTAACCTGGAAAGTCAACATGGGACAGCTCGGCCATTTCCCAGCCAGTGAGGCAAGACCAGGAACACACCAAGGGGATTAATCAAGACTCCTCCTGCAGTGACAACTTTGTTGCTGCCAGAACTTTTTCTTGCATTCCCTAAACACTTTCTTTTTTTTGCGGGGGAGGGGGGGACTTAAGGTGGGGCCCGATTGAAGTTTGCTGGGACACACACAGAGAGACAAACACTCCGCCATCAAACAGACAGCCAAGCTCCCTAATGCAGTTTTTGCATTAGGGAGCTTTGGGAGACCACGAGGCTTGGGTGTGTTTTTTCATTTGTTTATTTTAAGAGAGCCGCGTTTCTTCCGCAATGAAATTAAGAATCCCGAGCCTCCCAGGCAGGCAAGCAAGCAAGCAAGCTGGCTCTCTCTCTCTCAACTCACCCGGACCAGGTTGCTCACGGCGGATTGCACGGCGGCCACGGGAGCGGTGAGATCCGGGATGGCCTTGCCGTCCACCTCGCCCTCTTCGTGCATGATGACCAGGTGGGAGATCTGCTGCGCCACCGGCTCCAGGATACTCTCGATCGTGCGGGTGTGGAAGACGGGCATGGTTGCTCCGGTTCCCACGACGGTGCAGAGGAGAAGCAATAGATTTATGTAACTTCTGCGAGTGAAAAGCGGGCAGTTCCCCCCAGGTTTGGAACAAAACTGGGGAAAAGGTGGCTGAAAATATATATAGGTTTATCTTCTTCTTTTTCTCCACCCCACCCAGCTCCCTTGAAGAAGTCTCCGCGGACGCCCAGCCTCTCCCGCAGCGCCTTCCCAACTCCTCGACCGGCAGCGCTGACTGACGCCCCTTCTGCAGGCAGGCGGCGCTTTTCAGCCGGCGCAGCCTAACCCGTTCCCTGCCCTTCCCTTGCATTCCTCCTGCAACCCTGGGCAGAAGGGGACCGTCTGTCCCCGCCTCCTCCCCGCCTCGGCCAATGATGGAAGGCCAACGCTCGCTTTCATTGGAGGAGCGCCCGCGTCGATCTGCATTCCGACTCCACCCCCCGGGTCCTCCCTGCCCTCGCCTTCTCCTTCCCCCCCCTCCACCTTTTCTCTTTCCAGCTCTCCTGCCCAAAGGAGGTTTGGTTGCTCCGACACTGGTTTTCCCAGCGTTGGAGGTGACGTCAGACATTCTGGAGTCCATATAAGGAGATGGTGAAAGCCAGGGCGTTTGGGAGGGGGGAGAGGGGCGGAGGAGGATTCCACTGCGGGGGACGACCCCTCCCCTCCTCCTCCCCCGCGCGCATCCCTATCCCTATACAAGTAGCATATAGCTTACTTGTAGCCTCAGAGGCTGGTTCCATGCGCGTATACTTGGAAAGATGAGTTCCCAACTACTTTTAGTGGACTAAGTTACGTGTGCAAGAAGATGCCAGCCTTCTGTGCAGGGAAAACAATTATTGGGAGTAATATGGAGCGCAGGGAGTGGGGCAGAACCGGAGCAGAGGGGGCAGATCATGTTCTTGCCAGTACCAACACTCCACCCAATAAGTCAAAGATTTAAGTTTATTTGTTGTGGCGACCACATCGAAACTTATTTGTGCGCGGGGGGGGGGTGGTCTACATTTTAACATACATGTGTATTACATTATATTTCAACAGTGGATCTCTGTATATTTTGCACAATGTGCACAGAATACTTCTATTTCCTTTTTGGATGAAATGACCAGGATGGTTGCAACAGCAAATAAAGTCAGACTTTGTAGAATAAGCACAGATATTGTGCAAATCGGCCTGCTTGATGGTAAAGGTGGCCGGCAATAATGAGGGGAGTTAGGGTGCCAACTCTCTTGACAGGTTGCGCTGGCACGGGGTCGGTGCATTTATTGATGCACAGGAACTGGGCAAATGGGCAAATCCTTTACCCATAGCAACCGCTGTAGCTATTTTGGTCATTATCGCTGAGTAAATACGTGCTAGATTGGGCTGGACAGCAGTAATCTTCAGCTGTTAAAGCCATCCCACATACTTTAAATCTGTTTGCTCTGAAAATGTGTTGTGGGTTTGCCCCCCCTTTTATAGAATCGTAGAATTGGAAGGTACCCTGAAGGTCATTTAGTCCAACCCTCTGCAATGCAGGGATCTCAGCTAAAGTAAAAAGTCAATATTGGCTGTTAAACTGGACCTGAGTGCGCATTATTCCAAGGAAAGGGTTTCCTTAATGTCTGTATTTAGTCTTCCATTGGGAAATGGAATTCTGTTCACTTAGTCTGTTTCAACTGGACCGGCCAAGCTGTCTTCTCAGTAGGCCAAAGCTACTCTTTTGGACTTGAACGGGAACTCAACAGTATCAGTATCTCTTAAAGCTAAGTGCTACCCATCTTCCTGTTAGTTTTTTATAAAACCGCACATGCCATAGCAGGAAGGGAGGGGCTGTAAAACCACTTCCCTCTTTGCTGTATGCCTTTGAAGAAATGACTTGCAGTAATATTTACATTAAGGTGGCACGGGTAACGCTGATGTGCCACCTTTTACAACAAATTTATGTCAAGGAGTTGCAGAGACCCGAGAATCTTCCTTTGATGCGTGGATGACTGACCATTGCGCCATAACAGAATTTCCGTGTTTGGCAGGAGAACTGCTGTATTTCCCCTTCTGTACCCCAATCATTAGCTAAATCCTGGCCTTCATTAATTATGAACATTCACCAGCTTCCTAGAATTATGAGCACCTTTGCACCCCCAGCCTCTGGTACCCTGGATCGATAACAATATGGCAGGGAGCTGCCCCAGGCTAGCCGAAGGAGGACAGTAGGCAAGTTGCTGCTTATGAATCGTACAGAGTAGATTTATACTCACATTGCAATCGAAGATATCGGCTGCGTGACTGCCATATCCAGTGTGTGCTCGGCCTGGAAGCGGAGGGGGGGAAAACATACAGCCAAACATTAAAGAGCATCCCAGGACCCATCAACAAGGAACTGTGCCATCAGCAAAGCCCATATGCCACTAACACTTAAAATCGCCAATGAACTTGTGAGAATGAGCACACACCCAGCACAAAGCCGTATGAAAGCAGCTGCGTGCAAGCAGGTGTACATGAGGGTCTGTGGGTTGGTGTGACGGGGTTTAAAGGAATCTTAGAAGTGCTACCCCATTCCCCAGCTGGCTAGCACTGACACTGATCCTAGGGCCAGCCCTGTGACTAGGCAGAGGGAGGCGGCTGCCTCAGGCAGCAGATGCTGCAGGAGGACATGCAGCCTATCCCCTGTATCCCCCTAAGCTAACCTTCGGTCATCAGGTGCAAAACGAGCATGCAGTCCATTGACAGTGTGGGGAGAAAGGTTCAATTGCCAGGGCCGTCAGCTCCTGTGTCCAGAATTGGTATGTATGTGTGGAATCTTGCTGTTCATCTTAAGCAGCCAATGTCTTTGACCAGACCTGCTCTTGAGTGTGTGACAGCATGACAAGCCTGAGGCAAAGGAGGAGACCAGAATACCTCAAGGACCACCTCTCCCCATATGAACTGACCCGGAGCCTGAAGTCACCCTTCTTTATGTGCCTCCCCCACGTGAGGTCCGGAAGGTGGCAACACAAGAACAGGCCTTTTCCGTGGTGGCTCCCTGTTTGTGGAGTGCTCTCCCCAAAGAGCCTCGCCTGGCACCTTCATTATGAACCTTTAGGTGCCAGGTTAAAATATTCCTTTTCAACCAGGCCTTTGGCTGATTGACATTCGATGCCCTTTAAAAAAGGGGGGGGGATTATTGGTTTTGTTTTGTTTACTTTTTATTACACCTTTTGTGTTCTTTATGTTGTGACCCGCCCTGAGATCTACGGACGTAGGGCAGATACAAATTTAATAAATAAGATAGCATAGCACCCTATCCAAATTCCACATACATAAACCAATTGGACTGACAAGTGAATCTTCAGTGTTGCCTACCCTACAACATTTCTCCGATGAAAATAGGGATGTCCTATACAACAACAACAACAACAACAACAACAACAACAACAACAACAACAACATATACCCTGTCCATCTGACTGGGTTGCCCCAGCCACTCTGGGCAGCTTCCAACATATATAAAAACATAATAAAACATTAAACATTTTAAAAACTTCCCTATGCAGGGCTGTCTTCAGATGTCTTTGAGAGGTTGTATAGTTACTGATCTCCTTGGCTCGGGGATCGCATAACTCCATACTTTTCAATATTTCTCTGATGAAAATAGGAATGCTCTAAGGAAAAGCAGAACATTCCAGGATCCAATCAGAAATCAGGACTGCTTTTGAAAATCTGGGACTGTCCCTGGAAAATGGGGATACTTGGAGGGTCTGGTGTTTGTGTCCCCACCAGACCTGAGGAAGCAGGGAAGATTTGGGGCAAGGGCAAAGGAAAGGCAACCGTAGCAGAATAGCTGGGGGCATAGGAAGAACATTCAGGGGCTACTTTTGAGCCTATCTGCTTGACATGGTTGCTTCACTCCAATGTGTGATGTTCACACCCCTCCTTGACCTCTTGAGGGAAGAGAACCTTGCAGTTTCTACAGTTCCATGAGTCTATGATTATGATTCTAAGTTATTCCTCTTTTGTGTCATTAATTGGTTATACAGTCTCCGGCAAATGGGAGTTTGTAATTGGATATAAGCTCCTTTGTGAAGAAATATACCAGAGGCTTCGTAAAAAAATCTGGAGGGATAATTAAAACATCCTCCAAAAAGGCCCTTTCATGATCGTACTGGACAATGTAACCCAGTTGCCTGTTTCACTCTGATCATTCACTATTAATGGCTGTGAGTTTAAGCAGCCTTTGCTGTTCTAAATCACAAATGGGAATTATATATTCGATTTTCATCATGCCAGACGTTGCATCCATTATTACTATTTTGCATTCAAAGTAATTACTCATTTACTCAGTATGGATTGCAGATAATAAGTACACAACAGTGGAGAACACTGGAATATAGTCACTTCATTTATGTGACCTAATCATCCATTACATTCCATGATAGGGCAATATGCAACCTTTGGTGTAAAGATGTCACCCCAGGCTTTTGAAACTTAAAAAAAAAAAGAACGAAAACTGCAAGAAAAAGACCCCCTGCTTTTCATTTTAAAGAACACACACTGGTTTATTCATTCAGAGTTCAATGCTGTGATCATATAGGTTCTGCTGATAGAAAACAGATGCTCTTGGGCTTTATAAACAGCTACTTTATATGGAATACAGCTTCTTCTGCTACTGTATGTATAAAAATACACAGCTATAGACCTGTGAACATGTTTCATGGGTTGTGCAGTGGTGCACATCCAAATGCACATTGGAGTTTGTGGAAATTCTGCCTCTTATTTTACTTCACAAACAAAGCACTGACATTCATTTACAAGGACTCCCAGAGGTGAGCAGGAAAAGCAAACCCATTATGTGCTAGTCAAAATCCTATTAAACATTCTCACTGCAATTAATCCAGAATGCAGCAGCCAGACTGGTGACTGGGAGTGGCCGCCGAGACCATATAACATCAGTCTTGAAAGACCTACATTGGTTCCCAGTACATTTCAGGGCACAATTCAAAGTGTTGGTGCTGACCTTTAAAGCCCTAAATGGCCTTGGCCCAGTATAGCTGAAGGAGCATCTCCACCCCCATCGTCCTGCCCGGGCACTGAGGTCCAGCTCTGAGGGCCTTCTGGCAGTTCCTCTGGCAGAGGGCCTTCTCGGTAGTGGTGCCCTCCCATCAAATGTCAAGGAAATAAACAACTATCTGACTTTTGGAAGACATTTGAAGGCAGCCCTGTTTAGGGAAGTTTTTAATGTCTGGTGTTTTATTGTATTTTAAGTATTTTGTTGGAAGCTACCCAGAGTGTCTGGGGAAACCCAGCCAGATGGGTTGGGTATAAACAGTGGCAGAGCTTCATGCTCCGGCACTGGGGGGCGGAGAGCAGGCAGGAGCGGGGCTGGCGCGCATCCAGGGGCATGGGACGTGTCCTGGAGGTGGGGCACGCCGCCTGCAGGGGCGTGGTGCCCAGCGCGGGTGGGGGACAGCCGCGATGGTA